GCTATCGGGATGTTAAGAGCACCATGGAATATAACAAAGTGTATCTCGAGCCGGTTTCTCAAACCTACCCCACCTTTAAGTAGGCAAATTAACTCAAACACGTCATGTTACAATTATGTTGCTGCTTGCTACAAAAGGAAAACTTGCCAGTGGTACTTGAGTGAGTGATTAAAGGTAAAGACACTGAATAAAGTAGTTTCATGTGTTTCTCCAGTTCGGCGCTGCTAACCGAGCGAGCTCAGATTGTTGCTCTGATAACTTAAGATCCAGACGTCTGTGAATAAAATCCTTCATCCGGTTAAATATAGTTAAAAAAATACCAATTGTATTAAAGTTCAAGAAAGGATGGTTTGCGGGGAAAAAAGCAAAAAAATTGTCTTTTCTTCAATTCCTGTATGTTTTCATATCGCATGTATTAGAACTAGGGCCGGGACTCGATAAAAAAAATTAATCTAATTAATTAGAGGCTTTGTAATTAATGAATCGAAATTAATCGCATTTTTAATCACATATAAATATTTGACCTGAGAACAGTGAGAAGCAATTTTTTTTCACATGGATTTTAGTATACCATTAGGCCAGTGCTTGAATTGGAATGAAAAAGGTGCCAGTACTCTAAAATCAGCAACTTTTTCAAGTCAATTTTATATATACAGCCCACAAACAAGAATTTGGCTACTATAATGCTGGTGGGTTTGTCTCTTTACTACTGTATATTTTAGAAAGGTTCACTGTACTTAACATTTTTTATGATAGGCAGCGGATATGGCTAAAGCTCAGTAAAGTCAATATTAACTGAAAATATAGCAATCAAAGTCTAGATCTTCTGCTGAAGACACATGAAGCAGAGACCTTTCAGGTGAGAGCCCCTCTGGTGGTGTTCAACATTAATGACAAGGAAACAAAGCTCTGGTCAGAAGCATTTTTTATAAAAAGCTTTAACAAAATTAAGTATTTCTGTACATTTTGAATGCAATCTAACTTTCCAACTCAGAAAACGAAAAACGAAAAAGTGCCAAAAGTCTTCTCACATGGCTGAGCTGCTTTGCAATATACTTCACCACTGAAGAATACAAATATGTATAAAGTAAACTATGATGCAATCTAACTTTCCAACTCAGAAAAATGATAAAGAGCATGAACAAAGAACATGTAAAAACAAATGCAAAATTTGCACAATCTAAAATGAGAAACTGTAACTGCAAGTAACAAAGTCTGAGCCATGGTAAAGAGTTACATTGAACACCAAGCTGATCAGATAACTCCCTGGTTGGTCTGAAGTCCTTCTATCTCCAGGATCTGTACAAATCGGCACATTATGCCAAAGTCTTCTCACTGGGTGAGCTGCTTTGCAATATACTTCACATTGTTAGAAAAGGCTCCAGAAGGCCTTGGGGACATCAGTATCAGGGGCTGGAGCTGGACAGGCTCTTTCATCAGCACTTCTCCTTCCCTTTGCCAGCCAGGACCTCACATACTGTTCCGGATTGAACTGTCCTAGTGATGGTCCATTACATTTAATGAAAACCAGGCTGGACAGTCGGCTGACAGAGAGAGCATTCCTTTTTGCAGTAAGGATATCGTTCATGCAGCTGAATGCCCGCTCACACTCACTAGTGGAGACAGCGATGGTTCGGACTGCTTTCAGTAGAGGCTCCATGGCAGCAGGTGTACGGGATGCCCTGGTTTCCTTGTATTCGCGAAAGCCCTGAACAGTCTCTCTTCTGTCCACTTTCAGCACTTCGCACAAACGTAGCACCTCTACGTCCCCATACTGTACGTCTAACTCCTCTTCAGGCCAACTTCCAGGATGGATAACTTTCATGTCCTGGATTAGCTGATTGTCCCGGGCCTCCCGGCCATGTAATGGGATTTCTCTTGTGCTGACATGAGAGGAGGTTGTGGAAGTCATTCTGTGTCTCAGATTCTCTACCATACTGCGGAAAAACTGACCTGCATGAATCTGTACAAGCCTGCCATTCTCACGCAGGGCAACACCCTTGAAGGACTTCTCAGCTAGAGCTGTATGAACTGTAGTCATGTGTGGGCCAGGCATGGTGACCATGGATTCAAAAACTCGTATTTCTCGAGTTAAGAGCCTATCTGCTGTAGGCAGTGTCATCTCTCTTTTTTGGAGTTGCCGAGAGAGGTCGCTGAGCTCTGTGAGCGCATCGTACATCAGTCCCAGATTGCTGACAAACGTTGCAGATGTGAGCACATCATCCAGGCCCTTGTACTTTGCTCTGTCTCTGGAATCCCTGCTCGTGTCGTTTGCAGCATTTGTGAAGTGATCATGAAGCACTCGGTAGTTTTCCCAGACTGCTCTGACGCTCCTTTCACTTGAAGCCACCCAGCGGATGGACAAAACACGCCCTATCACCAGGAGACGCTGTCCGACTGCTTGCGCACACTGCGCTAACTGCCTCTGATTTTTGGGGGAGGCATGGAACAAGGAATAAAGATTGTCAAAAAAGATCTGGAAATGATTGAGCCCTGAGACCTCCTTGACCACATCCCCAACTGCCAGCTCTAGACGATGATTGGAGCAGTGCCACACAAACAGGCTTGGGAATTTACTACACAACTGGGTAGCAACGCCTGTTCTCTTCCCTAGCATGACTGAAGCCCCATCACATGCAAAAGAAACGAAACACTGACCTAAAAGTCCTCGTTAAAAATATCTTCCAGACACTCCATTAACGCCTTTGTGATGTCATCAGCCGTTGTTCCATCCAACTCGATCAGCTCCCAAAAAAACGTTTCGGGCTCAGCATCAGCTAATGCTGAGCGTAGACACACAACAAGCACCGTTTTACCACTAATAGTGGTAGATTCATCGACCAAAACACAGAGTTTTCTTTGGTTTTCTGTAATGTCTTTTGCCATTTTTTTTCTTCAGCTCATGAGCTATGTGGTCGATGATTTCGCCACAGGTTTTATTGGAGTGCAAAACCCTGCCCACGTTCAGCCCATTCAGTTTCTGTACATTCAAATCAATTGGCATGTCTGTGAATGGCCGGCTATGTTTGCCAATTTTATATGCCGTTCGAAAAACTCTGATAGTGGTGTCTAATTCAGATTTATGCATAGACTGCACTTGATGTTGAATAGTTTCACATGAAGCAGATGTAAGGATGTCAGCAGCTTTTACATGGGCTTGTGATTCTTTATGTTCTTTGATTTTTTTTCTCAGGCTAGCTTGTTGTTTGCCCTTGTCAACACCGAAATGAGACACTGCACACTCACCCCATTCAGTTGACAGTTTCAGTCCTTGTCCAGTGTGTATTCCCAAAGATTTGACATCTCTGCATATCCGACATCCTAGCTTCTTATCTTTAAGAAGGAGCCATGCATTGGTCTTGCAAAAATATTGCACCTGGTCCGTTGTCCAGCAGTCAGGTGCATCGCTTTGCCCGGTGTTGGTGGTGGCAGTTGCGCCAGCAGCAGCTAACATTAGAGGCTCTGGAGGAGGCGGCGGAGCTAGTGCTAATGCTAATGCACTAGAACTTGGAGCAGGAGGATCAACCAAAGAAAGCTCCCCATCAGACACAATTTCCAACACAGGCACAGCATTCTCTGTATTTGAAGTTTCTTCCGGCAACAACCGCTGTCTTTTTGCACTTTTATTAATCCACGCTAACATTTTAGAAATGCTAATTTGTGACGTGACTTGCTTTCCTTCTCTCGGGGGGCGTGCCTGCTCTGTTCTATCACTCTACATAGCCACCCACTGGGTGGGAGTTGCACTGCATAAACACAACACACGTGCATCTAGGTATGTAAATTGTAAAGCATTAAAACATGGTTTTACTAACAGTTTTCAGTATGTTGTTACTTCGGCATTATTATTATTATTATTTTGAAACGTGTATTACTATTAAATCACGGTCAAATAGGTTAATTTTGACATAGTCGTTTCCACCACAGTATTTACATGGAGAAGATAAGCCCCGCCCCCTTTCCAGCACGTTCTGTTTGAATGACAGGAGTAAACAGCTGACAGCCGCTGTGAAACTCCAGCGGTTAGAGCGATGAGAATGTCCGTTTGGCACCTCATGACGCATCTACTGAGTACCGGGCGGCTGTATATATATATATATGGATGTATAATAAGAACGGCGGGAGAGTGTTGAGTACTGGCACGGTGCATGAGTACCGGAGTACCGCCAGCATGCCGGTACTGAGCAAGAAGTGCCGGTACTCCATGGGTCAGAATCAGAAGTGCCGGTACTGCGTACCGGTGAGTACCGGCCCAATTCCAGCACTGCATTAGGCGCATTCACACCGCAGTACTTTTCCCACAAAGGTTCATGAGAACTCTTTGAACCTGGGGGAGGATTAGGCAAATGAAGCCGCTGACGTCACTTCTTCTTCTTCTGCTTTGGGTTTACTGGCAGGCCGCAAACCACTTCACGGCGTATACTGCCGCCCAAAGTCCCCGGCCGGAAGTCCCTGGAGTTGGGGACTGGCTTCAGTAGAAGCTGCTGGGAGTCCCAGCAGCCTCTACTGAAGCCTTCCGAGTAAATCGCCAGAACGCCGACACCTCCTCATCTCCACCGCTCCCATGTTTTATTTTGTGTTGCCATAAGTTAGTCTCTCTGCGTTTCTGCGCTGGGCTAATGCTAATAATGCTAATGCATGGGAAAAAAATGGCGGCTTCACAAAACTTTTTGGGAGTTTTACGGGGCGTGGTTTGCAATCCGCCCAGCCAATCAGAAATATAGCTCTTTCTCACAAGAGAGCCGTACGAAAGTCCCTGCTCTCTAGCAGCTCTCTGCTCTCTAGCAGGGACTTTCGTGGGGGTAAAAAGGTTCTCATGAACTAATTTTAGTACCGGCTCTTTTTGGTGTGAACGCGATAAAAGAGGCTAACGTCCACGCTAGCTTCCACGCTAGCTGCTATATGTTTTGCATTGAGGTGATACTTGAGGCTTGATGTGCTGCGGTGATATGCGAATTCCTTTTTGCATAATTTGCACACAACCGTGCTCTTATCGACGCTTCCATCCGTCCGTTTTTTAAAACAACATTTCCCACTGTTGTTCACTGTGGTTTGTTGTTGTCTGAAGTCATGAACGTTAGTTGGTGCTCCAGTATAATCGGTACGCCTGAAACTCATCCAGTGAGAAACGTTCCGCGGTGCAAAAATAAGTGCGATTTAAAATGCGTTAATTTTTTTAACGCGTTAATTTTTGTGTAATTAATTAATCTTAATTAACGCGTTAAAGTCCCGGCCCTTAGAACGAAATCTAAAATGAAAATTGTAAATAAGCAATCAGTCTTAAATGATATGATGAATTGGAAATGGGGGACCCTGATGTAAACAAGACGAAAGTCTTTCTCTGGTCTGCATCCCCTTAACAATTGTATGTTTTGAGCTGTACTGTACTATACCCAATATACAAGCTGTTAATACACTTTTCACTCAATCAATCAATCAGGGGGGAAAAAATCGCAATGTCAGTTTTTTCCAATATCGTGCAGCCCTACCTTCAATGTAAAACTGCGGATATGCTAGTCAAGTGCTATGTGTCCGCCCATCTAGTATTACTTCAAGTACGTACTTTCTGAAAAGTCATTTTTACAAGAAAAGAGGTGCCTGGATCCTTCTCATCTGGACTGACACTGCCACTTAGTATTATTGAATGAAAGGTTGTAGGATGGAAAACAAAACGACATTGTTACTGATCATCCGACCAGCTATTCTGCGGTTTAAATTGCAGGTATGAATGCACCTACATGTCCACCAGACAAAGACACTCTCCCAACTGAGCTATTTCGGCTCAAAAAGACTTTGGTGGCCTTCATACGGAAAAGACAACAACAACATTCAGTGATGTTTTTATGGAATGAAGGGTGTGCTTGCTGTGCAGTTGGATACAATCGTTGTAATTTTCTTGTTGAAATGTGTAGAAACTAGTCCGATATGTGTTTGATTTTGTTGATATTTACTGTAATATGGGTTACGTTTTGCACGGCAAGTACTTTGCTCTATTGTTGTTAACCGCACACTTCTGTTAAGTTATCATTGCCCATGTTTCTTTCAGCTCGGGGTGATCCTGGTTCAGTGCCTGTTGATGATCTTCTACACCAGCTGTGTGTTCCTCTTCATCGGCACCTGTGTGTTGGGACTGTGCATCAGCAGCGTGTTCCCCTCCATGCTGGCCTTTACAGAGGACATACTCGACTACAAAGGTAAGACCCAATCACATCAACAGAGCTGGCTAGCTGACCAATCAGAGCAGACTGGGCTCTGGTTTCAGACAGAGGGTGAAAAGAGGTGCTGCAGCACAGGCTTTTTGAACATTAAAGCATGGAGACATGTAGAGACACTACATACTGATATACACCTGAACATCAGCAGGAGAGGACTCTTTAAAGTAGAGACACTACATACTGATGTACACCTGAACATCAGCAGGAGAGGACTCTTTAAAGTAGAGACACTACATACTGATATACACCTGAACATCAGCAGGAGAGGACTCTTTAAAGTAGAGACACTACATACTGATATACACCTGAACATGAGCAGGAGAGGACTCTTTAAAGTAGAGACACTACATACTGATATACACCTGAACATGAGCAGGAGAGGACTCTTTAAAGTAGAGACACTACATACTGATATACACCTGTACATCAGCAGGAGAGGACTCTTTAAAGTAGAGACACTACATACTGATATACACCTGAACATCAGCAGGAGAGGACTCTTTAAAGTAGAGACACTACATACTGATATACACCTGAACATCAGCAGGAGAGGACTCTTTAAAGTAGAGACAATACATACTGATATACACCTGAACATCAGCAGGAGAGGACTCTTTAAAGTAGAGACACTACATACTGATATACACCTGAACATCAGCAGGAGAGGACTCTTTAAAGTAGAGACACTACATACTGATATACACCTGAACATCAGCAGGAGAGGACTCTTTAAAGTAGAGACACTACATACTGATATACACCTGAACATCAGCAGGAGAGGACTCTTTAAAGTAGAGACACTTCATACTGATATACACCTGAACATCAGCAGGAGAGGACTCTTTAAAGTAGAGACACTACATACTGATATACACCTGAACATCAGCAGTAGAGGACTCTTTAAAGTAGAGACACTACATACTGATATACACCTGAACATCAGCAGGAGAGGACTCTTTAAAGTAGAGACACTACATACTGATATACACCTGAACATCAGCAGGAGAGGACTCTTTAAAGTAGAGACACTACATACTGATATACACCTGAACATCAGCAGGAGAGGACTCTTTAAAGTAGAGACACTACATACTGATATACACCTGAACACCAGCAGGAGAGGACTCTTTAAAGTGGAGACACTACATAGACTTTTCATTTCATTTTATACTACTTTACTCTACTGTAATATTTATTTTACAGACTTACTGTATTTACTAGTTACTTAATACATTCAGATTTTGAAACACAATAACTAAAGAAAACGTTTTAAATAACATTATACGGTGTCAAACCATCCAACATTAGTATAAGTAATTTTAAAGTGTGGTTTTAGTACTTTTACACAAGTAAAGAATCTGAATACCTTTTCTTCCACTGAAAAATATCCTTCCTAATGTTGTGTGTTAATGACTTGTATAAAGACCATGTTCATACATGCAGCTTCCCTGCTTCTGTGTTTGCAATACACCACAAAAAACTGAACAAACAAAGTAGAACAGCTGGAAGAATAACAAACGACAAAGAATGTGACAAACAGGTTATTGCAATAAATAAATGTTAAGGTAAAATAAGATATGAATGAACAACACAAATAAAATAAGTTACATTCATTTGTTATTGGCTATGGTAGGTTATTGGTTATGTTCACATACTTATTTGATTACATCCACTTGTCTAAGATGACAACAGAGACTTTCGACCCAAACCCAGCTGTTGACTTGTGGATGCAAGCATCTAATCGCAGACTCAACCAGAGAGAAAGTAGTAGGCCTACATCATCAGCTACCATGTCTGACAGAGAGGAAGACAGTGAGGAGAACAGTCAGGAGGGGAGTGATGACAGCTTGTAGGATTACTGGTCGTGCTAATGTTGTCATGTGTTCGCCTCTGCATGTGTGTTCTGTGTTCACCTCTGCACGTGTGTTCTGTGTTCACCTCTGCATGTGTGTTCTGTGTTCACCTCTGCACGTGTGTTCTGTGTTCACCTCTGCACGTGTGTTCTGTGTTCACCTCTGCATGTGTGTTCTGTGTTCACCTCTGCATGTGTGTTCTGTGTTCATCTCTGCATGTGTGTTCAGTGTTCACCTCTGCATGTGTGTTCAGTGTTCACCTCTGCATGTGTGTTCTGTGTTCACCTCTGCATGTGTGTTCTGTGTTCACCTCTGCATGTGTGTTCAGTGTTCACCTCTGCATGTGTGTTCAGTGTTCACCTCTGCATGTGTGTTCAGTGTTCACCTCTGCATGTGTGTTCTGTGTTCACCTCTGCATGTGTGTTCTGTGTTCACCTCTGTGTGTTCTGTGTTCACCTCTGCATGTGTGTTCTGTGTTCACCTCTGCATGTGTGTTCAGTGTTCACCTCTGCATGTGTGTTCAGTGTTCACCTCTGCATGTGTGTTCTGTGTTCACCTCTGCATGTGTGTTCAGTGTTCACCTCTGCATGTGTGTTCAGTGTTCACCTCTGCATGTGTGTTCTGTGTTCACCTCTGCATGTGTGTTCAGTGTTCACCTCTGCATGTGTGTTCTGTGTTCACCTCTGCATGTGTGTTCTGTGTTCACCTCTGCATGTGTGTTCAGTGTTCACCTCTGCATGTGTGTTCAGTGTTCACCTCTGCATGTGTGTTCTGTGTTCACCTCTGCATGTGTGTTCTGTGTTCACCTCTGCATGTGTGTTCTGTGTTCACCTCTGCATGTGTGTTCAGTGTTCACCTCTGCATGTGTGTTCAGTGTTCACCTCTGCATGTGTGTTCAGTGTTCACCTCTGCATGTGTGTTCTGTGTTCACCTCTGCATGTGTGTTCAGTGTTCACCTCTGTGTGTTCAGTGCCGTGTGTCTGGCAAATAAAATCAAGACCGCCTCAAAAGTTACGGTTTATTTCATTTTAAGGATGAGCACCAAGCAACATCTCCAGGTGCTCCTTTGAGAACCAGGGCAACAAAGTTATGTGCACCCCTGGATATAACACAATTCCTAGCACAGCTTACCCTCAGCAGTGCTCACTTCAATGTGAGGGGAAAGCGGAAATCACATACAGGCAACGGGAAATTGTTCCCACCAGAAACATAACTCAAAAACATCAAAAAGAAACAATCTCATAAAAATAAAATTCACAACCTATTATAAATCGTAATTTATAACTAATAATTATGTCTACACATTTTTAACTCTGTTACACATACATGCAAATAAAAGAGATCTGGACAGGTTGATGATTAAACCTCTGATACATGTTGATGATTCTCAATTCCCATCATATAAAACCCTTCATTACATCGTGTGTTTCCTGTGTGTTTCAGGTTGTGCCACCACGGTCCTGGTGACCAGTGCCAGCACCGGAGAGATGCTGCTGCAGCTATTCATAGGATCGGTAACACACTTCACACTCTTTAAATGTCCTTTAATTCACAATCAGTTCATTTAATCTGCACGTTTATGTTTCTTGATACCTCATTGTCACAATAGTGTGTGTGTGTGTGTGTGTGTGTGTGTGTGTGTGTGTGTGTGTGTGTGTGTGTGTGTGTGTGTGTGTGTGTGTGTGTGTGTGTGTGTGTGTGTGTGTGTGTGTGTGTGTGTGTGTGTGTGTGTGTGGTGTGTGTGTGTGTGTGTGTGTGTGTGTGTGTGTGTGTGTGTGTGTGTGTGTGTGTGTGTGTGTGTGTGTGTGTGTGTGTGTGTGTGTGTGTGTGTGTGTGTGTGTGTGTTGTGTGTTAGTGTGTGTGTGTGTGTGTGTGTGTGTGTGTGTGTGTGTGTGTGTGGTGTGTGTGTGTGTGTGTGTGTGTGTGTGTGTGTGTGTGTGTGTGTGGTGTGTGTGTGTGTGTGTGTGTGTGTGTGTGTGTGTGTGTGTGTGTGTGTGTGTGTGTGTGTGTGTGTGTGTGTGTGTGTGTGTGTGTCGGTGATAGACAGTCAGGGCAGTTACTCCTTCCTGTTGTGCTGCACAGTGACGTCGTTCATCAGCTTCTGTCTCTTCCTGCTATTCCTCTCTGTCCAGCATCACCATAGAAACGGCCAAACAGGTAAACACTCATCAGGTATAAACAGTACAGTGAATTTAATCCCAAATCACTTTGTGTACTACAATATCACCCTGGATAATGATCTGATGCTAGATGTACTATTTAGGCTGTGTACAAAGACTTTATCATTTAAAGAGAGTGCGATACCGAAGTGTTGAGATATGACGGGAAGAGGATATCTGTCAGTTTGCACCACTATTATCCGGACAGAATTCATGTATAATTCATTGAGGACGTACTGACCCTTATTTCTCTAAAATAGATTATTTACAAGCAGTGTCTTTGTGAATTTTGGTGGTATAATGAACCAGGAAGTACGGTGTCCGACAGGTGCAAACGCGCTACAACGGCCCTAAACATTTCTATGAGGAGAAACACTATTTCTGAAATAGTATGCTTTTTCTCTTGCAGGTTTATCACAAGGTGAGTTCTTTTTTTAATTCCTGCTTTTTAAACACATGTGCTCTCCAGTACAGGTTAGCTCTGAGTGTTAGCGAGGCTTGCTAATGTAAACAAAGACGTCCAAAACACGTCAGGCATAGTTTCTAAAACATTTTTGTTTTAATATTTGCATGCTTTTTGAAGCATGTTCAGGTAGAATGACAAGAGTCAACATACCGTAAAGGTCCATCTCAGGATCCGGTGGTGGTGGTGTATAATGATATGAGTTCTGGATGTTCGTGTTGTCTCGTTGTATGTCATCAGTTCTCTGTTAATAATCCCTCAGACTAATAGACACGGTTTATCCCTCAGATCCGTCTAAAGGCACGGACCTTAAAGATAAGCCAGAACCCGGAGGTTCCTGATCTGAACGTCCCTGAGAGACTGAGGGGGATACACAGGACCAATGAAAGTGCTCCGATGAAAAGACAGCAGGATAAGAAGAAGCCTCTGACACATGGACTCAGAACAGGAGCTTTACTCTGGCCTCCTCCAAATGAACACGTTTGACGTACAGAACCCTGATGATCAACGAGCAGCTCGATGGATGAGAATTACTTGACTTTATTTAATGTTTGGCACAATTATCTCTTACAGCACTTTGTAACTTTGTCCTAGCCATGACACCTTAAAGAGCTTACGAAATGAAGGACAATACTGTTATTATTACGATAATATATATACTATTATTAATGGGAAATCATGTCATTCATGACAATATGCCCACTGTATTTATAAATCGTGGTTTATTACAACTTGTTGAATAATACACTACCTATATGGATGATGTCGGACTCTGGAGACAGAATCAAGTGATGGTGAGTCGTCAATAGACTCGGTGCACTTTCAAGAACCATACCAGTTTGAGCCACAGTATTCAAGTAGCGGTATAGAGATACAGACGGGAGCGAACATGGGGGTGATGATCCTGGATTTGGCGGAGTTCCGATGCGGCAACAGAACACAGACTGGTATATACATTTGACTTTAATTCATAGAGATTCTCAATAAATAGTAAATCAATAATAATGACTGCTGAAAAACCAGCTTAGATAAATGTAGCTGGTCAGGCTGTTGTAAATTGACCAGCCAGTAGATATTAGGCTGGAATGGTTGGCTGGAGACGGGTTTTGGACACTTCAGCTGGTTTATCCATCTATCACCAGCTTATGTTTAATAATAGTATTAAATATACCCTGCTGGGAGCTTACCAGGATTCCAGGTGACCAGCACACATTAAATACTGGTATGATTATTTAAAGGGATAGTGGAAATGGAACCTCAAATAGTTTCGTTTTAACTTATATACAAGCATAATTACGTACCAAAACAATCACACCTGCATGTTAGAAGCACTTTATTGCAGCTTCCCCGAAGTTTTTTAGAAACGAAATGTTCGACTCAGCCAAACCGGAAGTGACGAAAACTCAGGAAGACGATACGATAACAAACCATGGCGTCTATGCAGAATGAACGTGGAAGGGCAAATATACCAGACAAAGAAGAAGGATTGTACGAGGTATCCAGTGATGATAGCGAGTCAGAAACATCCTCTCGGCTTTCCTACGAAAATGTCGTTTTAGGAACTATATCTGAATCCGGTTCAGTAAGCGACGATGGTGACAATATTGAGCCAGACGATGGACCATTACGTCCTTATTTGTTCGAGCCCGAGGTGATGGTTCACGGCATGGGCAATGGCGAGGATGACCAGGAGCCAGATGATAGATGATGCACCCCTACGCACAAATAATCTTGACTGGTAGGTCCCTAAGCATAGCTCACGCATCTTAAGATCACCTGTAGCCTTTACAAATATTAATCATTGTTAACCAGTTAATCCCGAAGGTCCCCCCAGTGGACCCCTCCCACAGTTTTGTTTCTCTCACATGTCTCAGGGCTTCTTAACATTTATGAAACTATTAATGTTTCATACCCTTTTAAAGGTAAGAAACTCCGCTAACTGACAATAAGAACAATTGTTAGCTAGAAAAAACACAAGAGTAATACCAAGCCTTTGAATTAGCATTGAGTGAAACAATGCTAACGCTTTTTTACACACAACACACGGTAGAAATGCCCTTATTACTATCTTAACTGCACAAACAAGATATACGATTTAAAGCTGAGACTCCACAGATTCCACACATGTAATGTCATCACTGTAAGACCTCGAATTCCTGGAGCTATCAGCCAGAAAAGAGAAAGTAAACAACACCCTAGGATAGCCAGGCTGCCTGTCAAGTGCAGGCTGTACTCACAGTACTGTTAGTCTATCATGTCTATATGATGACTATAGTGTACACATTCGACACTGTGTACCGGATAAATGGCGTTGTACAAAATGGTACAGGCTAATGATGCATTAAATCAACAAGAAAACATAATAAAATACTCACTTCTTATGTATTCCACTTTCAATTTGAGCTAGAGACCGAGGAATCTCGAAACAATCGTCAGTAAAATGACGGGAGCACACGACTGCCGAATTACTCGTCAGCTTCGGCTCCGTGAAGTTTGCCCGTGTTATCTGAACACATTTCACCCACTGACGACGAATGGCTGGGTTTCTTGGAAACGCATGCGTCGAAACGCCATTCTCTGCATTTGCTGTCGCACTACAGCCATACAAAACACATCTATTCACCATAATAAAGGTCGGCTATTCACATGCAAATGTCCGCCATTGTTTGTGCCCATCTTCCTTTGCTCTCGTCATCATCCGAAGATTCCCGACGATTCCCGAAGTATTTCGTTTCATTGAGAAGGCGCAGTAAAATTGAAAATAAAATGAAACTAGGCGCATGAAATTAAAAAAAATTGTTTATTATGCTTATTTTTAATAAAAATACATAAGTTAAACCCAAAATTCGCGGATTTCCACTATCCCTTTAAACAAGAGAACATAAATATATTACAAAGATTCATTGTGTCATGTATTCTGGTATCTACCAAAATAAAGACATTGTATAGTGTTCATAACAGTATTTTAATTTAATAAATAGCTACTTAATATAATAAAATACACAGTAACAATACAATAATTATACAAATAACAACCAACCTGCAAATCAACCTACACATCAAAATAAATATTATCTAAAACCGGTGCATTTGAGTTCAAATAAAAGTAATACATAGAATTCAATATTTAAATGGTAACAAAAACCGTAACACTATATATGATAAGAACAAGGCAACAAAGAAAGTGTTTTTTGTTTTTCCTTGTTCATGTCCATAATGTTTCCCGTTGTGTCGCGTCCAGCAGAGCACACTGGGGGGGGGGGCAGGAGCTCCAACAAGCCGTGTAGGACAGAGAGTGAATACACATACTATACAGAGATGCTGTGAGAAACCAATGTGAGTTTGGAACATTGAACAATGTAAATCTAGTAGACCTCAACAATGGAATTATGATCAGTAGAAATGGCCGTGTCATGGGACCTTGAAGTTATGACAGAATCCGGGGTGATTAGTTAGAGATCTTTTATTATTGGTCTCACACATCTCTTCCATTAGAAACACTTCCTCGACAACTCTCGAACATCGAAATGCCACTTAAGACAAGCAGCCTGTAAACATTTGAAAAAGCAACAAACAAGTAGAAAACTGGACGAAACAAAGCATGATTTTTTTCAAAAGAAGATTCTACATTTTAACGTAAGGGAAAACATTAGAATATGCAAATGACAAGTCCTTAAAGACTTCATGGAGGAAACTTTCAAATGGGCTCGGAGTTTTTAATCAAGCTATTTTATAGTTTATCAAAGTTACTGCAGACATGCAAGATAAGCTACCAATTCTATTGGGCTTTACTATAAATTCACATAAATAAATATTCTGTGGTAGTGCCTAATCACAAAGTCCTTGGAGTTATATTGTAAAAGACTAGATTTATTGTATAAAATACGAAGTGCATAATTGTTATCCTCCCTTTGGGAAAATATACATTTCTGAGTAAGCAAAACGTCGACAACATGTCATCAAAAAGGAAAGTCATAGAAAAGCGACAGAATCCAATACTACAGGAACCCCGTTAAGTGCAAACGTCCCATCACAACATTTGCATGAACAATATCAACACTATCAAAACATTTACATATAAAACAGATTTAGATTTCTCCCCCATAAAGCTTTGATTCCCGAAAACAGCCAGCATGGGGCCGCCGCCTCCCAAACACGAGGAACACAACATTACAAAAATAAGCACATGCACATTAAATCAGAGAATAGCAGACGTCTATCTATCTGGCCATTACAAAAATAGAAATTAATCTTTCAATTCTACAGGAAAATTACACAAGAAATAACAGCTTTTTTATATATATTTATATAGTTTGAAAATGTGTTATCACAAACATTTAAAGCCGGTTGGAAAGAGATTGATTACATGCTCTGCATATTAACCTATATCGCTGTCTGTATGTACATGTAAGCATCCCAGAGTACGGTGGCCCACAGGTGCAAACGACCCAAAACACTTTAGGAAACGCGCTGCAGATTACAAAAAACGATGCTAAAACGATGCTAAAACGATGCTAAAACACACGCAACTGAAGACACATCTTCAGCAACTTGACAAAACAAGCGCAGCGTTTACTAAAAAGCGCTGCACAAACGTAACGCTGCAAAGAGCTCAAAACACAACGAAACCTGTTTCCAGGGGACACTAAAAAAAGTGACGCCCACAGATGGGACCGGAGCGCTTGTTGACGTTCGGGGGATTTTAAAGTCAACTGTCACTGTTGTTAGGAACTTTTCCTAAAATGTAGTTTTATTGAATAATTTAAACATTGTGATCGCACGATTCAATTGCAGATCTGTTGTAAGCTAGCTAGCTAACGTAGCTAACCTCGGCATTTCTTATATTCTTTCACACACAGTGACGTCACGAGCTACCCACAATGCAACACGCGCCATATATATATATATATATATAAATACGCCATTTTCATGGAGGTGCAAATATCCTGGAGGTGCAAATATAAACAGCTAGCTAACGTAGCCAGGCAGAGCGCACTAGGTTTTTTTTCTGAATTAACGACCGAAGAAATCGCTGCATGTCTTCGGATTACATCTCTGGACTTGAGGGGTGTGCTTTAGATCGTTACCAGCGTAAACTAGAGCTGTGTGGGTTGTCGGATTGCCAGATGTATGGAAAAACGACCCTCGAAAGTGGCCTTCGTCGATTTTGGCAGCATCTACGTCTAATTTCTGGAAACACCAGGTGAATACCCCACTTGTCACAATAATATTATCATGCCATTGCATATATGTGGTATTTTAGAGTTGACTAGATATTGATTAAGGCAATAGACTATGATATTCAGTACAGGAAGCTTAGCAACACCTAGACGGTGTACGGCTAAACCCTCGGCCTGCTTGCACCTCGCGTAAAACGGCGGATACCGGAAGTACGGTGTCGCCCTCGGCCCAATACCCGTATGTGTGTGTGAAAGAATACTGACAGAACGCTTGAGTGCCAATCCCAGAGCGTCAACAAGTGCTCCGGTCCCAGCTGTGTGCGTCCCGTTGTTTTTAAGCACGTTTGCACGGGCTGGCCACCGTACCAGAGCGCACTGCAGAGCATGAAGATCGTGCTGTACATAAGCCGCAGTGAACTCTCACTAAACATCCCCGTGTTTTACGCCAAACGTCTGGGGCTCTGGTTTGGTCAGATATGGCAGAAAAACAAACATGTCGTTATTTCTGGATTAAATGATCGAGCTCCATCCACGGTAGAGCTTCACTTGGCTGTGGTAAGGCACCGTATGTCAGTGTGACGGACTGCAGGCGGAGGGGGAAAATGTCTAGTAGAAATGAGAAGATTAGCTGGTCATCCATCCCTGGGTTAGAAAAGGGACACTTAGGTAAATACACACTTAAGCGTGTTCTATCCAAGCATCATGTAAACAAGTGTTGTGTACAATTTGCACATTTATTAGCGTATAAATGTGGGATCTACATCTGAAGTCTGTCGCAGACTTATGGCTTCAAAGTCATTTACATTGTCGTGGCTGATAGTGAGGAGGAGGAGTTTAAGGGCGAGGAAGGTGCTTCAGGGGGATAAGGCTCGGCAGAGGTTAAGGCGGGACTGTGACGAGTCTAGCCGCTCATTTTGGACGTTCAGTTTAAAATAAAATAATGCCCTGACGCTGCGAGCAACATGACACACAGCCTGTTCATTTAAAGTCTGGAGTGATTCTGCTTTATGTGAAGAATGTTGTTTGGCTTTGGTTCAAATCGCATACTTTGGGAATAACCTTGCTAAATTAGATTAAAACAAGATCTCTTTATGTAAACATGAAGCTGAGGACAGCAGCTTGTTACCAAGGTAACGGCTTGCCTTGCTGTGTCCAAAGGGATCACATGCTCTCTCACTTTTTCTCATAAAAGTGTTTTTTTGGCTAGAATTATTTTGGTGAACAGGAGCAGTCTTTCAGCCATTACATAGTGAAGTCTACAAAACAAGACAAACTGACATTAATGCTGGGCTAAATGTGATATCAAATTGTCATAAAAGGCAAGATTTTGGACATTGTTTTATCATAAAATGGCAGATATTCCTGGTTAAGTAATTTTTTGATGTATTTTCCTAAATGGACCAGACTCTTCTAGCTGTTCTATTATTAGCATTTGATCAACTTGGTCATTATATCCACATCACTGATCATTGGTGGCTAAACATTTCATAATATAAGATGTATTAGCCTATCACGTGCAATGTGTGGGAGCACTAGCCAATCAAAGCGCGAGTGTTACATATTGATGTCACTATGAGTCAAATGGAGGTGTTTCAGGCAGTGGGGGGAGGGGGGAAGACACCTATAGAGGACACCAGAGCCGTATAAGAGCAGGTGGTGTTTTGTTGCTTGCAGAGTCGATGCACGTAACAAGTTATGGCTTCACTTCTTTTCAATCACACCGGGGTTCAGTGTGACTTCCTGTTTACTTTAGAAAAGTGACACCGAGGCATGACGGGAGGTTCAGCTCAGAGTATGGCCACGCTGAGAAAGTCAACGTGTCGGATATGGCTTAACACTTAAGAGCTGGGCAAGAGATAAAAGAGTCGCAGGTAAACATGCACACCTTCAGGTTAAAGCGCTAACCTTCAACAAAGTCAGGACAGGGAGCAATAAGGAACGGAAGCAGAGGCAAAGGAGGAGAAAACAGGTTACAACAGAACATGGTTTTTTGGCAGAGAGAAGAAGGGATTCTATAAAAGGAAATATTCAGATATCTTCTACTCATCTGTGTGTCCACATGGGACGTAGATTGTCACTGCTGCTGAGGGTCCAATCCACAAACTGTTGCCATGGACACGCCTCCCTCCTTCATTCGTTGTGAATGAGGATCACCCCCCCCCCAAAATAATCCAGACAAATTACATTCAAAAGTGCAAAAAAAAGGAACGATGGAATCAGCACGTTCGAGTACAGGATAGCATCGTCAGGGTGTAAATGTTCGGGAACATGTTACCGTCGTCCGTCAACATCTCTCCACATGTCTGATTGTAGTGTGAATCCTGCGGAGGAGAGCTTTCAAGCACCAGAGCGATGAGGAATGGCTCCCACATCATTGTCCTGTGTGTGGGAGCAGGGGGTGGAGCGTGAGGAGGGGGAGGAGTCTCAGTCTAAATGTTGTGATACTGTAAATTGGGGGTTAATCCTATGTCTTCGGGGAAATGGGTCCGGGTGTGTTGGTCCCATCCAGACTGTGTATAGGGATCTGGAACTGAGGAGTGAGGACCGATGGGAACTGGAACAGAAGACAATGTGTCAGACAGTTATAGAGACAGGAACTGATGGAGGAGAACAAAGGGAACATTAACGTTATTAACCCTCATGTTGTGTTCGGGTCTCCCGTGACCCGTCTCAAGTTCAAATGATATAATAACTACGCTCTAATGTTTTTGTATGGGAACAAGGCTTCATGATATTCTCCACAGCAGCTATATAAACACTACAAAACTGATTTTGACCATTTTAGCCAAATCTGAGGGTCTCTAAAAAAGAAAGTGTATCATTTGGTGTTGGGGTCTGGGGAGACCAGGCAGAAATGTTGTGGGTGACTCGAGGTCAAATTTGGCCCAATCAAGATTCATCTTTGACTTAAACCCACCCCTCCCCCTTCACCCACTGTAACAAGAGTTTTTCGCAACATGCACCTGGTCTCCCCTCCCTCTGCCCCCTCCCCCCACGGGAACTCCACCTTTCTCAAAGAATATGTACACTAACACTTGAACCTGAACATGCACGTGTGAATATGTGGTGTCATGTGTTTGGGGCCGTAACATTAAATGTCAACAGGATTGTACGGTTATGAATGCATAATAAGTTAGTTATGATGTAGTTAAAACAATATTGGAGGATAGTCATTTTCTTTGAGTGTTTTGGACTGAGATAAATCATGGGTCAAAATGGACCCGCGAACACCATGACCGGTAACAGCTCTTGAACACAACACAAGGGTTCATAAAGAAAGCTTGCATCAAATATTAAAGCCAAAAAATAGAAATGACACAAAAGACAATTAACAAAATACACATCCAGTCCCAGTAAATTAAATAAGTGTAACATGTACAAAATGGTGTGATAGCAGCCAGTAAATAGTCTAAAGTCAAACAAGAAGTTAAGACAGAGATAAATACAAGAGACAGTGTATAGAGACAGGAAATCATAGATGAGGTGAAATGAAAACAGAAAAGGTACGAAAGAACTGGTTTGGCGTCTAAAGTGTTAACATTAAGCTGTCTTTGTCTCCTTTCTGCTGTAACAAATGTAAAGTCCCCTCTGTGGGACAAATAAAGGTATTCTGATTCTGATATAGTAAAACAATGAGTTAAAGAAGAGATATATACAAAAGTACTCAGCTGTGACAGGCTGACACAGGCGGTGTAAACTCTGAGGTACTGACCTGGAACAGATGGGCTCCCTGGCGCCGGGTGGCCGGGCTGAGAGGAGCCACCGGACTGAGGGTGCTCCAGAAGTGGATGTTGGACAGCAGAGGACTGGGAGTCAGCAACAGAGTGGGAGTCTGAGGACGGGGGAGAAAGGGTCAGGGTTGTTGAAGTAAAGGTCAGATAATAGCTTTGTTTTAAAGAGGTATATCAGTATTGTTTTGGTTAGCTGGTCGGCTCTGTTGTGATTGGTCAATGGCTAAGAGATGTCCCGCCCCTTATCACGTACAATGTGTTGGAGCTCTAGCCTATAGAATCGCAAGTGTTTCATAGTGATGTCACTGGTAAACAAAGGAGTCCAACGGAGGCGTTTCGAGGAAGGAGTGTGTGGGAGATTTGGGGAATTTATCCTTCGCAGACCACTGCACAAAAACCTTTATAACACACGACAGGAAATAACATAATAGGGTCCCTTTAAAGTCGATCACTGAGACCACAAACCAGAAAGAGGAACTCATTCATATGTGAACTGTCTGGATCTCATGCTTCTGGGGAGGGACAGAATAATAACAACATTGTTTGAACCAGCAAATCTAATAGACTTCCAAATCCTACAGAGCAGCACCCAGCGTCATGTGGTCTGCAGACGGCTTCAGTGGAACAACACCAAAACAAGAGCAGCGAGCCAGGCGGGGCAGATTGCTGCTGCCCCCTGCTGGTCAGAACCAGTACAGGTTAGATCTCTATCTTGTTCTGCAGCAGTTTACGAGGCATGGATTGATCTTTGGCACACTGTCGAGGAGGTCACTTTAAAGGGACTCTGCTTTGGTTTAATCTTAAGGGAGAGTGGAAAAGGAAATGCAGAGAAGTAAATGCAGCGACATAGACAGAATTGACGTCAATGTATTATTGTTTAATGATGTGTATTTATAGTGTATGATACTCTTTATCTTTCACTGTCAATATGTTTATATCGTTAACTGTTTAACCTCAAGTGCAAAGTCTGCATGCTGCCGTGTGACGAAGACATCTCCCAGATTGTCTTCACATTATTTCTAATAAAGTGAAGGTGATAGGGAGGCGTGTGGCGCAGTGGATAAAGCCTTGGTGTTGGGATCAGGGGGTCACAGGTTCAAACCCCACTGCAGTCAGCATGTCGTTGTGTCCCTGAGACACTTCACCCCAAATGGCTCCCGTGGGGATTGCCCACAGTACTGTAAGTCGCTTTGGATAAAAGCGTCTAACAAGTAATATGTAATGTAATGTGATCGGCTGCAATCTGCCATCTGCCATCTGCCATCCCTCCAGGACCCTGAGGCGGGCAGGGAAGATAGTGGCCGACCCCTCCCTGTTGTGGACACAAACTGTTCCCTCTGCGCTCCATCATGACCAAAACCTGAACAGTTTCTTCCCCTCTGCCACATCTCTATATGCATTACATCAGGGGTGGCCAACCAGTCAGAGGTTAAGAGCCACATTTGTTCTATGTTACTGCAAAGAGCCACATCAAACACACAGTCACTGATACCGCTTGTTTCAGTTTTTTGTTTTCTGGAGACAAGATTTCAACCACGTCACTGATGCATTTTTGTGGCATTGGGATATATATTTTTTAAATCCTCTGGAGCAGAGAGAGGAGCTGTGGATTATTGTTATTGATTAATGCATCAGTGTTTCTTAGGGTCAAAAACACTAAACTCATAACTTAAAATGAAAGCGTTTAGTTTATTTAATAAAAGAGCACATGTTCAATGTGAAAAGTGACAGTAGTTATAGATTATTTGCAATTTGGTGCTATATATATATATTTTAAAAAAAAATTATATATATATATTTTTTAAACACCTTGAATTTCAGGGGGGGCGCGGGGCTCCGTTGGCGGGGCGCAGCGCCCCGCCAAGACAATGGTAGGGGAAACACTGGATAATGTTTAATCAACGATAGGTTTTCCCCCCCTCAAAGGTGATTGGTTCACTGCATCGCAGGTATTATTGTGATTGGCTCTTGGGCCACATAAAAATTATACGCGCTGTCATCCTCTCATACTGACACCACACATACACCACATCAGTGCTTGAATTGGAATGAAAAAGGTGCCAGTACTCTAAAATCAGCAACTTTTTCAAGTCAATTTTATATATACAGCCCACAAACAAGAATTTGGCTACTATAATGCTGGTGGGTTTGTCTCTTTACTACTGTATATTTTAGAAAGGTTCACTGTACTTAACATTTTTTATGATAGGCAGCGGATATGGCTAAAGCCCAGTAAGGTCAATATTAACTGAAAATATAGCAATCAAAGTCTAGATCTTCTGCTGAAGACACATGAAGCAGAGACCTTTCAGGTGAGAGCCCCTCTGGTGGTGTTCAACATTAATGACAAGGAAACAAAGCTCTGGTCAGAAGCATTTTTTATAAAAGCTTTAACAAAATTAAGTATTTCTGTACATTTTGAATGCAATCTAACTTTCCAACTCAGAAAACGAAAAAGTGCCAAAAGTCTTCTCACATGGCTGAGCTGCTTTGCAATATACTTCACCACTGAAGAATACAAATATGTATAAAGTAAACTATGATGCAATCTAACTTTCCAACTCAGAAAAATGATAAAGAGCATGAACAAAGAACATGTAAAAACAAATGCAAAATTTGCACAATCTAAAATGAGAAACTGTAACTGCAAGTAACAAAGTCTGAGCCATGGTAAAGAGTTACATTGAACACCAAGCTGATCAGATAACTCCCTGGTTGGTCTGAAGTCCTTCTATCTCCAGGATCTGTACAAATCGGCACATTATGCCAAAAGTCTTCTCACTGGGTGAGCTGCTTTGCAATATACTTCACATTGTTAGAAAAGGCTCCAGAAGGCCTTGGGGACATCAGTATCAGGGGCTGGAGCTGGACAGGCTCTTTCATCAGCACTTCTCCTTCCCTTTGCCAGCCAGGACCTCACATACTGTTCCGGATTGAACTGTCCTAGTGATGGTCCATTACATTTAATGAAAACCAGGCTGGACAGTCGGCTGACAGAGAGAGCATTCCTTTTTGCAGTAAGGATATCGTTCATGCAGCTGAATGCCCGCTCACACTCACTAGTGGAGACAGCGATGGTTCGGACTGCTTTCAGTAGAGGCTCCATGGCAGCAGGTGTACGGGATGCCCTGGTTTCCTTGTATTCGCGAAAGCCCTGAACAGTCTCTCTTCTGTCCACTTTCAGCACTTCGCACAAACGTAGCACCTCTACGTCCCCATACTGTACGTCTAACTCCTCTTCAGGCCAACTTCCAGGATGGATAACTTTCATGTCCTGGATTAGCTGATTGTCCCGGGCCTCCCGGCCATGTAATGGGATTTCTCTTGTGCTGACATGAGAGGAGGTTGTGGAAGTCATTCTGTGTCTCAGATTCTCTACCATACTGCGGAAAAACTGACCTGCATGAATCTGTACAAGCCTGCCATTCTCACGCAGGGCAACACCCTTGAAGGACTTCTCAGCTAGAGCTGTATGAACTGTAGTCATGTGTGGGCCAGGCATGGTGACCATGGATTCAAAAACTCGTATTTCTCGAGTTAAGAGCCTATCTGCTGTAGGCAGTGTCATCTCTCTTTTTTGGAGTTGCCGAGAGAGGTCGCTGAGCTCTGTGAGCGCATCGTACATCAGTCCCAGATTGCTGACAAACGTTGCAGATGTGAGCACATCATCCAGGCCCTTGTACTTTGCTCTGTCTCTGGAATCCCTGCTCGTGTCGTTTGCAGCATTTGTGAAGTGATCATGAAGCACTCGGTAGTTTTCCCAGACTGCTCTGACGCTCCTTTCACTTGAAGCCACCCAGCGGATGGACAAAACACGCCCTATCACCAGGAGACGCTGTCCGACTGCTTGCGCACACTGCGCTAACTGCCTCTGATTTTTGGGGGAGGCATGGAACAAGGAATAGAGTTTGTCAAAAAAGATCTGGAAATGATTGAGCCCTGAGACCTCCTTGACCACATCCCCAACTGCCAGCTCTAGACGATGATTGGAGCAGTGCCACACAAACAGGCTTGGGAATTTACTACACAACTGGGTAGCAACGCCTGTTCTCTTCCCTCGCATGACTGAAGCCCCATCACATGCAAAAGAAACGAAACACTGACCTAAAAAGTCCTCGTTAAAATCTCTTCCAAGACACTCCATTAACGCCTTTGTGATGTCATCAGCCGTTGTTCCATCCAACTCTATCAGCTCCCAAAAAAACGTTTCGGGCTCAGCATCAGCTAATGCTGAGCGTAGACACACAACAAGCACCGTTTTACCACTAATAGTGGTAGATTCATCGACCAAAACACAGAGTTTTCTTTGGTTTTCTGTAATGTCTTTTGGCATTTTTTTCTTCAGCTCATGAGCTATGTGGTCGATGATTTCGCCACAGGTTTTATTGGAGTGCAAAACCCTGCCCACGTTCAGCCCATTCAGTTTCTGTACATTCAAATCAATTGGCATGTCTGTGAATGGCCGGCTATGTTTGCCAATTTTATATGCCGTTCGAAAAACTCTGATAGTGGTGTCTAATTCAGATTTATGCATAGACTGCACTTGATGTTGAATAGTTTCACGTGAAGCAGATGTAAGGATGTCAGCAGCTTTTACATGGACTTGTGATTCTTTATGTTCTTTGATTTTTTTTCTCAGGCTAGCTTGTTGTTTGCCCTTGTCAACACCGAAATGAGACACTGCACACTCACCCCATTCAGTTGACAGTTTTCAGTCCTTGTCCAGTGTGTATTCCCAAAGATTTGACATCTCTGCATATCCGACATCCTAGCTTCTTATCTTTAAGAAGGAGCCATGCATTGGTCTTGCAAAAATATTGCACCTGGTCCGTTGTCCAGCAGTCAGGTGCATCGCTTTGCCCGGTGTTGGTGGTGGCAGTTGCGCCAGCAGCAGCTAACTTTAGAGGCTCTGGAGGAGGCTGCGGAGCTAGTGCTAATGCTAATGCACTAGAACTTGGAGCAGGAGGATCAACCAAAGAAAGCTCCCCATCAGACACAATTTCCAACACAGGCACAGCATTCTCTGTATTTGAAGTTTCTTCCGGCGACAACCGCTGTCTTTTTGCACTTTTATTAATCCACGCTAACATTTTAGAAATGCTAATTTGTGACGTGACTTGCTTTCCTTCTCTCGGGGGCGTGCCTGCTCTGTTCTATCACTCTACATAGCCACCCACTGGGTGGGAGTTGCACTGCATAAACACAACACACGTGCATCTAGGTATGTAAATTGTAAAGCATTAAAACATGGTTTTACTAACAGTTTTCAGTATGTTGTTACTTCGGCATTATTATTATTATTATTTTGAAACGTGTATTACTATTAAATCACGGTCAAATAGGTTAATTTTGACATAGTCGTTTCCACCACAGTATTTACATGGAGAAGATAAGCCCCGCCCCCTCTCCAGCACGTTCTGTTTGAATGACAGGAGTAAACAGCTGACAGCCGCTGTGAAACTCCAGCGGTTAGAGCGATGAGAATGTCCGTTCGGCACCTCATGACGCATCTACTGAGTACCGGGCGGCTGTATATATATATATGGATGTATAATAAGAACGGCGGGAGAGTGTTGAGTACTGGCACGGTGCATGAGTACCGGAGTACCGCCAGCATGCCGGTACTGAGCAAGAAGTGCCGGTACTCCATGGGTCAGAACCAGAAGTGCCGGTACTGCGTACCGGTGAGTACCGGCCCAATTCCAGCACTGCACCACATACATAACACGGGACGAAAGTAACGGAGCGATTTTATCCGAGCCCAAACAACTTTGACCGGCCAAATTACGTCAGAATTATCAGCATTCAATACTTAACAGACCTACTAAATATCAGGTTTAACTGTCAGGAGTAGCTAGTGTTGTCAGTCACGATACCAACATTTTGGTTTTGATACCAAGTCAAGAATTGCGATTCCGATTATTTTTCGATATTTTCTTTAAAAAAGGGAAACGGTCTTAAATGTAATTATTGTGCTTTATTTCACACCAGAACCATAACACACACTTTTAAACAATGAGAACAATAAATAAAATAAATGACAAGAATTCGTATTAAATAAAATTAATAAATGTCTGACAGACAGGCCTCGTGGTGTCCGTAGGCTTGCCCTCACTGTCAGAGATATAGCTCAAATACTTCCAAATTTCGCTTCTGGCGTCTTTCTTGTCAACAAGCCGAGGCGCAGCGGCAGTTGCACTCCCACTTGCAGCCATGCTTCTCGTTTTCTCACATGCTTTGGCAGCTAGCGCGTGCACGAGAGAGGGGAGGGACTTAGAGCGTGCTTGAGAGGGGAGGGAATGCAGGCACGGCTGCAGTGCAGGGAGTGGAAGCAGAGCGCTGAACACACACAGCTCTTATTAAAACAGCGCTTTCTCACCGGAGTACTTTTCCCCGTTATTCTTAAAGTACCGATACTAATGAAACGGAGGAATCGTACCGTTTTTAATGGCAGGGTATCGCGGTACCTTTCAAGTATCGGTACACCGTGCAACACTAGTCAGGAGTCAGTGTCTCTCCCCCAAACTCACACATATAAAATTCGATATGAACTGAAGAGCCGCATGAAACTAGGCAAAGAGCCGCATGCGGCTCGAGAGCCGCGGGTTGGCCACCCCTGCATTACATTAATGCACACAATGTTCATACTCCTTTCTGCACATATTCACATTTCATAGTTTATATTCTAAAATGCATTCATAGCATTCTATTTCCATGTAAATTACTGCTTTATTTTTATTGCTATTTAACTGTATTTTATTACGGTGTAAAATATTTGTTGTTTCATATTAGATTTCTTGTTTTTTATATTTGATGTCTGCCCCATGACATCAAGTCAGATTCCTAGTATGTGCGAACCTACCTGGCAATAAACCTGATCTGACCATCTAATCTGAGCGTGTTCATTTGAAAGAGGCAGGTTTTGTAATTGAAAGCCTTCAGAAGAAATATAATAATATAATTCAATATGTGATAAGATGAAGCATCCATGTCTGTTTGGGAATTAGGTCATGCTCCAATGGTATAATGGCTAAATGACTATTAGTTGGCTGTACAAAATGTTTGTTTTAATTACGTTCAAAGCTTCTATTGAAGGTTTGGATTATAGATATGTGTCGTCATGTGTTATGCTGTCTTCATGCCAAAAGAAAATCCTCAAGCACAATTGGACATTTGAGTAAAGCTATAACTAATATTAAGATTTAGTGTCATTTTATCAAATCACCTTTCTTGTGTGAATGTAACCCGTTTTGATTGATGCTTTGTGTGTGGCAAGGAAAGCAAGATGTTATTTTTGAAAGACCACAAATATGGATTGCAGCAGAATATTTAGATGGATATGGGATTTTTTTTGACTTAAAGTGGACCTATCATGCTATATTAGAAACATATATTGTAGGGCCATACCTATACAAAACATGTCTGTGAAGTTTTTTGCTTAAAATACCAAACAGATCACCCGTTGTAGCCATGCCTCATACTGCTCATACCCCTCTTCTGCAGCCCTGTAAGAGGAGGCGGAGCTAATGCCCGATCAGAATTCTACCGGAGATAAAGTTAAATTCTGCTGTGATAAAACGCCATCCTGTTCTAAACCACATCAAGGATTATTTCTGAAACAGTATGGAGCTCAAATGCTTTTTCTCTTGCAGGTTTATCACAAGGTATTTCCTGCTTTTTAAACACATGCTCTCCAGTACAGGTTAGCTCTGAGTGTTAGCGAGGCTTGCTAATGTAAACAAAGACCAGATTACGTCTAAAACACGTCAGGCATTGTTTCTGATTTTCTGTGGATCCACCGTCCGAAATGACGTCATATCGGCAGCAAATCTGTATCCGCTCGTTGTACCCCCTTTTTAAAAGATGTGGGTACGGAGGAAAAGAGAAAGGGTTTTATTTCCTGACGCTGCGTGAGTTCCCCGACACACCGGGGACACATATTTATGTATAAAAGACATCACAAAGTGCATTTTGCATGATAGGTCCCCTTTAAGGACTTGGGGAACCAGTCCTACCAACTCATTAGCAGAATTAAGAAAGATTTCATATTTTATTTATTCGCCATTAAGTGCTAACATACCACACGTTACCATGTGTACGGGTAATTGTGCATCTTCCTTACAGCTGGCATGACAATCTAACAATCATCTCCAACCTCAAACAGTCTGATCACTTATTTACCTTCTGATTTGCATTTTCTTTACTCAGGGTATAAGCAGGAATCCTGAAGTCACATGTAAAACCTTTTAAGATCTTTTTTAAGACCCTTTCCGTACATTTTAAGACCTCATCTCCACTTGGAGTTCTAACCGGTTACCTTGGCGACACACTTTACCTCACATTGACTATATACAGTATTGATTGTCCTTCCTCCTTATCTTCCAACCATTTGGACGCAGACTTGCATTTCCCCATAACGATGTTGCTTAGCAACCGGCGTAAACGGACCTTCGCGCTATCAAGCAGTGAGCGTGCGATGTCCTGTTCAGATGACGTCAAACCCAACGGGATTCCATCAATAAACTACACAGAATCACACTACACACCTACGCCATGACTACATTCAGGCAGACTGTAGAATACAACCTCTTTGGGCCATTTATATACTTATTGAAAACAAGCTACAAAACGTAATACCTTGAAAAATGCCGTTTAATACTTTTTAATAGCCTTCATTTTCGCTAAATTGATTTATCAACTTGTAATACTTTTTAAGACCCCGCGGACACCCTGTTATTTTAACAAATGTTTTAATAAACCATCTAATGGGAGATACAGGGTTCCACGATTCATTAAAGTCAGAGTGAAGCATCCTTTGTGCTCCAGTCAGTCCTCTCAGTGAACACAGAGCTGAATCCAGATGCACGCTGAAGGCGATTGATATGTTGAATGTTTGGTGTTCATGTATTGTGTCTTGATATGTGTCTGTTGATGTCACACATGGAGCTGCTGTGATGCAAGGAGCATTTCAGACTTGATCTGACCATTCAAGTGTTATCGTATAAATGTGTTGCTTTAAGGTATTTAACTACATATATATGTTAATCATTTAGTTTTTGAGAGAAGGGTTGGGATTAAATAAGTATAAACTTAGAATCAGTAATATTTTTGTATATCAATTTGACACTGATTAAGTTTGTATTGTATAATAATTCTTGTTATAATCAAATCAAACTACCAAATAGCAATGCCCTCACCTGTAGCATTGCTGGTGTGAGGGAGGCCGTGGGGAGGGAGGGGCTGCAGAGGTTCATGGGGGAGAAGTCCGAGGTGGTGACCAGCAGAGTGGGGGGGCTGATCTGCAGGATCTTGGGAGGCTTGCGTGCCTTTGCGGCGCTCAGAATGCACATAGTGTTGCTGCTGCTCAGAGACGAGGAGCTGGTTTCAGCGTCCATGAAACTGGTCTCATCTCCGGACAAACCCATCCCGCTGTCCACCTGCTGGAGAGGAGAGGGATTACAGTCACTACACGCGTTTCATTCATTCACTTCAAACGTGTTCAGGGTCAAAGTAAGAGGTATGTGAATTCACTTTAGAATTATAATCCATCATAATATTTATATAATCGAGAATGATTTGCATACGTAATAAGCACACTGGCATTGTCCCAGTTGAGCAACTGTTCAGCTCAATTATTCGCCACAACTTGAAGGTATTGGTTTAATGTCATCGCTCTCATAGCATGTATTGTTTTTCACTGTACCCTAAGCACAGGAAACACAGTTAGAGACTAGCTGGGGAACATATTGAAAATATTTCGTAGTTAGATATTCCGCTGATGAGTTAGTGGAAACCAGAGCTCAAAGGAAAACTTATATTTGAGTCAGAAACGTAAAGGATAATTTGCCATCGTGCCTTTTAACAATCCCGAAATCCCTAAATATTTCCTGATTGAAGGACTCATTCCTGCACTTCTCTATCGTGTAAATGATTCATCTTTGGCCGAACATGTTTGCCCCAAAGAAGTTGATAGAAAGAACATTTTCAGGACTTTTCAAGTGTAACGTTCCTATTATTTCCTCTTTAAAGGAACCAGCATTGTGTGAGATGCACTATTTCTATTCTATTTACTTGCATTATTGTATCTGTGTTATTGTGTTGCACTGTTGGAGGAGCCTGTGACCTCAGATTCTCATTGTCATATCTACACTGTAGCTATGTACACGTGACAATAAAAGCCTTGAATCTTGAGATGTGTCTCCATGTATACTAGCCTTCTCCTGTGCCTGAGTGTACGCACCATGACATCAAGTCAAATTCCTCGTACGTGTCAACCTACCTGGTAATAAAACTGTTTCTGACTCTGATGTATACATGCCTTCTCCCGGGCCTGATTGTCTGCAGTCTGAGACGATCCGGACTCGATGTCGCTGTCGATCACCAGCTCCTGGGAGGAGTCGGGCACGAGGCTGGGGGACGGGCTGGCAGAGGTCAGCTCCTGGATGCTGAACGTCGTCGCTGACGGGCGGATGTGTTCTAAGGAGTAGACGGAGTGAGACGGCAGGGAGGAGATGGAGTTAATGTCTTCGGCCTCCAAGTGGCTGGACATCAGGGTCATCTCTACGGAAACCTGAGGGGACGGCGCTGGCTTTGGAGGCGTGTTTCCAAACTTTATAACGGACGGCAGAGCGGTTTGAGGCGGAGGAGACAGCTCTTGGTTCTGGGCGGACGCAGCGACTCCTCGTTTGTCCGCTAACTTCTCCGCTGGATTCTCTATTTTGATGGACTTGAAGAGCTGGCGTCCGTTCTGCAGCGAGTTGAGGGTGAAGGAGGTGTACAGGCCGGAGTGGATGTAGTCGTTTCGGTTTGACTGCTTGGTGCTGGAGCTCAGACCAGGCTCTCCATCTTGTGGGGTGCTGTCTCCCCTCTTTAAAAGGGGAGGGACGCCCCCCCCAGCACCCACCTCCCCGCCCTCTGTCCGGGAGGCAACGTCTCCTTTCAAGATGTCAGGATAGGACACGAAGCGATACACAAACTTCTGCCCGTTCACCTTCTTTATGATGTTCTGGAAGACACAGGAGAGCAAATGCAGATGTACGTTTTAAATGTTGGTTAATAGAACTAAAGGAACATCATAAAGGCAGAGAGTGAACGGCTGTAGCCATCGACCAATCAGAAGGCCTGTGGTTTGATTTTCAGTTCCTGCAGTCAATATGTCGATGTGTCCTTTGGTGAGATACTTGACCCCAAATTGCTCCAACTGTATGTCTATAACTGATATAACTATAAGCAGCAGAACAAACGAGATATCTTAACAGGTTAGGTTTTCGGTTTTTGTTTCACTTCACAAATATACGGAAGAGGATTAGGGCCACATAAAAAAAAAATGTGTGAGGATTTGAAAAAAAATATTATTTTTTTTGTTCTGAGAAAAAAGTCAGAATTCTGACTTTAATCTCAGAACAAAAAAAAAACATTTTATTTGGGAGAAAAAAGTCAGAAATACCGGTAACTGTAGAACCAGCTTCACTGCGATTTACACATTGCAGATGGTTGTAAAATGACTTATTATGGTTTCCTCTTGGACCTCTACTGCAATGTGTAAATCGCAGTGAAGCTGGTTCTACAGTTACCGGTATTTCTGAGATTAAAGTCAGAATTCTGAGATTAAAGTCAGAATTCTGACTTTTTTCTCAGAACAAAAAATAATAATATTTTTTCCAAATCCTCACAAAAAAATGTTTTATGTGGCCCTAATCCTCTTCCGTACAAATACACTAAAGAGTACACTTTATTTTTATTTGAAGGTGTTGTTCGAGCAAGTTTTCTTTGTTTTTGCGAAAAAAGCCAAATATTCTAACCTAGTGGCGACTTCTGTAGTCAATGGATTATAAAGGACTACAAATCCCATGATGCCAGCCTTTAAGAGACACAGATATAGAGAACCTGTGTGGAAGACGCCACCGTTTTGAACTGTTCAATTATATTACGCACAACATATAATAAAGAAAGAAAATCTACATTTTCAAATCATTTTATTTGAGTTTTTGAATTGTTTGACTATTTGAAATGCATATTCCCGTCGCTGAATTGTATTTAATTTGGATTATTTACCACAAGTCGCATAAAAACAACACATCATCCGCCAGTCAGAGCAAATGTAAATACAACTAATACATTTCTATAAAGTGCATTAGTCTATTTAAAAGGTGTCTTAGTGGCTTGAACAAAACAAAGAATAAAAGTACGACAGGTGTCAAATCTCAAATGCTAACCCAACTCCTTCAGTGTCTTGTAACCTCCTAGATACTGTCAATCATTTGGGTAAATAAAATCCCTATTCTTCTCAAACTCTGCCGGCTTTCCCTGTTTTATGCAAACCCTAGAACCAGAGCATTTGGCAGCTTGTATGGCAAATGTGTTTGAATGCTAACCTTTGTTATGCAAAAGTGCTTTGAGCGATCTGGAAAAACACTCTAAATGCAGTTATATTGACTAATTTACCAAATACTATAAACAAGACTTTCCTGCACAATGCATGACACAAGCAAAGAGGCAATGGGGTTCAGAAAGAGCAGAATGAGACCACAAAAAAAGGCTTGAACGTGGGACAGCTCAGCTTCCTGTCTGCACCAAACTAGCAGCAGCTACTTACAGCCAAACATACCAGCCCTGCCCAGAACACCCACAGGGTCAGGCTGTGCTTCTGCTGCCAAGCCACATGCAGAGACAGACAGCACTCGCCTCTCTTCCGTCTGCCACCGAGCAGCAGACTTGAACAATTCTGAGATGCAATAAACTCGTGTTTCTCTGCTCTCTTTGGTTTGATTCCCCTCAGAGTATCCAGCTGCTAATGCTTCTGAACAGGAGTGCTTATTCAACTCGGGCATCATGTCGTTGTTTTGATTAAGACTGACAGTTAAGAATCTGACCTCATTCGCATGATCTCACCTCATTTGGAGTTTCCGGAACACTGAAGAAGGGCGATAATATTGCCACAAGCAACGTTACAGCTGTGCCACGTCCGTTCTTATATCAGTCAAAATTGTACTAGATGAAAAGTGTCATTTCACTTCTTCTGAGGACTGGTGGGGGGGGGGGGGGGGTAGATGGGGCCATGCATACTTACATGGTGGCTACAGACTGTTATAAAAACCATACTTTAAGTGATGCAAGTTAATACGTACACATTATTTTAGTCTTTGTTCCTTCTAGAAAAACAAAAAGGGGTTCCTGGGAAATTATAAAAACAAATATAGGCTGCAACTGCACCCCCTTTTTATATAGGCTGCAACTGCACCCCCTTTTTTGAGGTTTAACTGACACTGAGAAATATCTAAATCAGTATTTACCTGGACTTGAAAATGCATCTTTTTCTAGAAAACCTTGAACTGTGGCTCACTATTAGGGATAGTTACTGCTTTGCATTGATCCTTTTCAGTGCTCGAATCATTACTTTTAAAGGTGTCATGTCGTATTGTTGACTGCCTTGTCCTAAGCTCCGGAAAGAGCCTGTTAGCAACATTATTTGCTAACATTAGCTGCGTCAGTCAGAGCTCCAATGCCGTCTAAGATAAGATAAGAACTTTACTTTACTGATCCCAATCTGGAAAATGTTTGCGTTGCAGCATAAAAAGACATGGCATAGTACAGAAGGGACTTTAAAAGACTAGTCCAACTACCATATTGTTAAAAAGTACAGCTTATAAAAGATGGATATCCGTTAAGCCCAAACAGTCTGCACTGTAACCCCTGCATGTGCACCCCCACTACTCTTGGAAAACACCCTCTAATTTGACTCCAGGCCGGACAACAATCCTGCACCAGCACTACTACAAACAAACGGACGAACTGTGTCCGTTTGGACTGCGAGCCGTAGGGTCGCCGGTTCAAGTCCCCGACCAGACCTAAAATATGGAGTGTGGACTGCTACTTGGAGAGGTCCCAGTTCACCTCCTTCCCTGCCCTTGAGCAAGGCACCGGACAACCCCCTTCCCTCCCATTGCTCCCTGGGCGCTGTACAACAGCTGCCCACTGCTCCTAGTACTAGACTCCTGGTACTAGGATGGGTTAAAAGCAGAGAACACATGTCACTGTGTGCTCTGCATGTGTGACCATTAAAGAGAAGTTCATCCCTCCCAATATTATATTATTAAACCTACATTACTTCTTCCTTGAAACCTGATAAATGTTTTGAAAGCCTAAAAAGGGCGTGCTATGGCTATGGTTGTAATACATATATGAATAATAAGAGGCAAATATAAGATTTAAATTAAGGCTCCAGTGTACCATCAACATTTGGGCCGATGCTCAACACTCAAGGGCACAATTTGGCCGACCATATTCTGGCATTGTTATCCCCAAAGAGGCCAACGTCAAGATGTTCAAATACAGGCTTTGATTGGTCAGATGACGTATTTAGGAGTCAGTTAGGGAGTGCAACCAATCAGGTTTACTATGGACAACAAAGCAATATATGGGGCAATATAGATGGTCGACCCCATATTGGTGTTGCAGTGATGGGATATTTAGTGTGGTGTGCAAACCTTAACCACAATAAGACTAACCTTATGCATTAAATGTCCCCTATCATACTGTTTTTCATCAATATATTATAGGTGTCAGTTATATACAGAACCTGTCTCTGAAGTGTTTGGCTCCAAACACCAAACAGATCATTGCAGCATTACCCATAATCCCCTCTGTTTCAGCCCTGTTTCAAAAGTGCTGATTCTCTGTCTGTTACTTTAGATGAAAATAAGCAGCCACTCCCCACGCCCCTCTGAGAGAGATTTGGTTACAAAGAACACAATAGCCGCGTTTACACCGGAGTACTTCTCCCCGTACTTTTCCCCTTTAGTTCCGTTAGTACCCCTTATGTCGCGTTCACACCAAAAAGAGAACTTAGTGCCGGGAACTTTTACCCCCATTTTTAGTGCCTGCTAGAGAGGTGGTACTATCCTGGGGGGAAAAAGTGCCCCAATTGCAAACCACGCCCCGTAAAACAAAAAAAAGTTTTGTGAAGCCGCCATTGTATTTGTGGCATTAGCATTATTAGCATTAGCCCCGCGCACCAACGGAGAGGGAATAACTTATGGCAACACAAAAAAAAACATGGGAGCGGTGGAGATGAGGAGGTGTCGGCGGTCTGGCGATTTACTCGGAAGCCTTCCCCAACTCTGGGGACTTCCGGCCGGGGACTTCCGGGGGGGGGGGGGGGGGGGTTACCTTGGTTGCTGATTGGCTAATGATTACACAAGACAAAACATCGTTATGACATCATTAAGTGGCCAAAATCTGATCAGCTCATTTTCAGACAGGTTTTTATAGAAATGGATCAAAAAGAGAGAGAATCTTTGTTCCTGAAACTTTCAGAGTCTCTTTCCACAGAGGGGACACATGTTGATGTAGAAGAGACATGGAGAAGAGGGGACACATGTTGATGTAGAAGAGACATGAAGAAGAGGGGACACATGTTGATGTAGAAGAGACATGAAGAAGAGGGGACACATGTTGATGTAGGAGAGACATGAAGAAGAGGGGACACATGTTGATGTAGAAGAGACATGAAGAAGAGGGGACACATGTTGATGTAGAAGAGACATGAAGAAGAGGGGACACATGTTGATGTAGAAGAGACATGAAGAAGAGGGGACACATGTTTATGTAGAAGAGACATGAAGAAGAGGGGACACATGTTGATGTAGGAGAGACATGAAGAAGAGGGGACACATGTTGATGTAGAAGAGACATGAAGAAGAGGGGACACAGGTTGATGAAGAAGAGACATGAAGAAGAGGGGACACATGTTGATGAAGAAGAGACATGAAGAAGAGGGGACACATGTTGATGTAGGAGAGACATGAAGAAGAGGGGACACATGTTGATGTAGAAGAGACATGAAGAAGAGGGGACACATGTTGATGTAGAAGAGACATGAAGAAGAGGGGACACATGTTGATGTAGATGAGACATGAAGAAGAGGGGACACATGTTGATGTAGAAGAGACATGAAGAAGAGGGGACACATGTTGATGTAGAAGAGACATGAAGAAGAGGATTTTGCCTAATAGGTGACCTTTAAATACAGGGCAGTTTCTTTCAATCTGCTGAGCATCCAACAGAAGAGAGGACTTGCTGTGCTTACCTTGTCGTAGTAGTATCTGAGAGCCCTGCTCAGTTTGTCGTAGTTCATGTTGGGTTTGTTCTTTCGGGCTCCCCACAGCCGGGCCACCTCCTCCGCCTGCAGCAGTTTGAACTCCCCTTCCTCATTGGTCCAGCAGATCAGGTCCTCATTACTGGAATCCAACAGGAGCTGGAGAAGGAACTGCCACAAGGTGACAGAGTTGTCCATGGCTCTCACTGGAAATCATTAAGAGAGGAGAAAAATCATTCGACCTGCTGCTAGCGATACACTTGTTCAAAAAGTGGTAGCTCATTTGTTTCCAATCTAATCTTACAGAGTGCTGCAGAAGTTAGATACGAGTCAACACTTTACCACTACCGGTCCCCTTGTCTTGACATCAAGGTTTGTTTTGTTTACTTGGTTAGATGCCTGAAATAAGTTCTGTGGTTAGCTCAAGCTCAAGAGATCTTCGAATCTATGACGTAAAAAAGAAAGTCAGCATCTACCCCACTTCCAAAGCTTCTATGTGTCATAAAAATAGCAGTTGCAAACAAAAACTAAATGAGACTACAACAGAAAGAACACCATACCGAACATTAGCCACCTTTAGCTCAGCGACCATGATTTAGCTTAATGTTAGCTATTTACTTCTGGATATAAAAAAAACCCCACAAAGTAGTCTTCATATGTGGAGATGATCCTGCCGAACACAACCCTTACAGTATCTTAAATGTGTGTTTGCAACTTGTTGTCGCAGGTGCCCTTACGTTGCTAACATCCGTGTCGTTCTGCAAAAATACGTCATCACTGCTCCACTCTATTGCTTTAAAACGTAGTCATCCTCACCTGTGTCTTTAAAGGCATGCAAAAAACCCTCAATCAAATGCGTTACTCAAAAGAATGGGAAATGATTTGGGTTAATAGCTACAGTACAAATGGTTATTTAATAGCCTAAGAAAAAAGTGGCTATTTTATGAGCCCAGGTGCACCGTCTGGTACAAACGTTTTTCCTCATGCGACCCCCTGCTTCTAAGATTCATAATGCCCACATACATCCTGCTGAGCAAACCCAAGAGTGCTTTTATGAACAGCTGGGTGAAGTTGAACACCTTTTATGCCGTGCTCTTTACAGTATGCTCTGCAGCCGGGAGTGTGCACTTCAAGAAGCTTCATCCCTTATCGCGCCGGAGTGGATATTACAGACGCGGCGGCCTCTTTGTGTTCAAGGCTTTCAGAGGTCCCACACCTAGCCACGATGTCACATTATCCAGAGAGATTGAATAGAATTGCACCTAATTGCAAATCGTTTTTTCTTTTAAGGATGCCTATTAAATGTTGCTACTGACTAAGCCCAGTCAAGGCCGAACATCTTGTTCACATCTGGCTTTTTAAAAAGAGCCGCGGCCGAAACACCACGGCCATGAAAACGAAGTACACAACACATGCATGACTCGTGAAGAAGTTAATTCGACCAACAGAGGCCAAGGAAAGCCATGCAATTTAAAAGAAAACCTGCAAGGATAGTAAACCATTCATAAGGGCAATGGTGTCCAAAGAAGAGTAAAAAGAGGGCATTCAAATATGTACAGATAGCGTCGATTTTGGATATTGTATCGAGTGTTTGTTTTTCTAGTTTTACAACACACACCTGTTAGAAATATGACTGCCTTTATCCACTTGGTCATTCCAGTATATACTTTACTGATGATTATTTATCTAAATTCTCACTGTGTAAATGTTTCTTAAAAGCACCAATGGTCAACCCAACAATGTCATTTAATATTCTTTATATCGCGTGAAAATGACAATTACTATTTGGTTAGAGTTGAATTAATACAGCTCCAACCCATTGCCTTAGAAAAGACTCTTGAGAGTGTGTTCAACTACAGATTATATTTTACCTGAAAATTATAAATACAGTATAACTTGCAGAACTGTTAATGGTCTACAATACGATAGATTTTTAGTGAATATATTTTCGAAGCTTGGTATAATGTAAAGTATAATGTGATTATAATCTTCTAGGGCTGCTCGATTATGGCAAAAATCATAATCTCGATTATTTGGGTCAATAATTGATATCACGATTATTAAAAACGATTATCCATTTACTTTGAAAACATCCATTTATTGAGAAAAAAAAATGTGAACAGTATGTTTTTAACAGTTGATTACCCTGAACTTTAAGTATAATTCAACTGAAAAAACAGTTGTAAAAATTATTTTAAAAATAAAATAATTAATCATTTTATTTCGATTATGTTGTTTTCATAATCGTTGGAAGCCAAAATCGTAATTGCGATTAATTGAGCAGCCATATAATCTTCATATTTCCTTGTTCATTATGCAGAAGGCATATAACATATCATATAAACATATAATATATACATATATAAACATATCATGTTTGTGGTGGTATTTAATTGTTTACCCATTTCAAGTTTGGTGAATACTTTAATCAGCCTTTTGCGGGCTGCTATAATAACTCATAAATTGAAGGTTACATACGACTAAAATAAACATGTGTGTTTTACTGCATTACTCTAATTGTTACCCTCAGCTAAGGTGCAACCCACATGTGGAATTTTCTTTGATATGTTCAAAAGTTTGCTGCAGTCTTTACATGTCTTCAGAGACGTCCTATACTTAGTTTGAAGGCTATAAACACCCCTCAGGTGTTTTCACTTTGTCTAATGCTTTGTGAGGTGAACAGAACCGCCCTGATTGACATGTCTCACTTCTGTGTTACACCATCTTATTCTTTCAGATTTAAATCATTTTGAGACAGAAACAGAAGAATAGCAGTTTCTACATGAGTGAGTCCTAGAACCCGGAAACTCTGTCTTGATGCCAATGATGTTTTGAAAGTGTTTGTGGTTGGACGCCTCATAGGCTATAATCAGCGTTTCCGCCAGGAGGGCGTCTTGCCGTCATTTGACGCCCTTATTCAGCTCGGGACGCCCTGAACTCGAGCTGAGGGCGTCCAAAAAGATTAATAATTCGAGAGAAGATTGAGAGTTTTTATCGCTTGAAATAACGAAAAGGAAAAAGGACAAGGACATCCCGCTGTTGGAGGGGCAAAGGAGTCTGGTGGGATTCTTTTTGGAGTATTGAAGATCGGTTCCCCGACATCGGCGGTGCCTGCTACAGGACAACACGGAACGTGCGCGATTTGGACGCGATGAGCCGTGCACGCGCGTGAGCTGCGAGCACCAGAGCCTCGCAGCGGCGAAACTGAGGCTCCGTGGTAAACTGTGGAAACATGAAGAGCCGTTCGGGAGCCGACACAGCCGGCGCTTTAAGAGAGCCGAGCCAAATGATCCGGCTCACTAACGTAACAAGACAGTATCTATAAGGGACGGTGTTGAACAAGAAAACTAAGAAAAATATTTATAAAAGAAAAATAGGCCAGCACCAGGTGCATCCTACTGGAGAGTCTCAAAGAAGTGCACCCTAACCTCTGCATTGATTCCCACCTGTCCCCTCAGCTGGGTGCACCTCTGCAGGGACACATCATGACATGTTGTCCACACAAAAAGAGACATGTTCCTCTTTTCACTCGAGGAAGGCTTCCTGCAGATACAACCACACGATAGATGGAGGGTTCATGCTGTGGGACCGACAGTGACACCGAAAGTGGGGAAGGAAGGGTAAACCTTGATATAGAGTCAGGGGTATATGTTTAGGAACATCAAGCAGTACATAACAGGTTCTCTGCAAAGTGTCCCGCTGTCTAGATGAAAGACGAGGAAACCTACTTCTCATCAAAGTTCAGTTCAGTTCAGATCTTTAGGTCAGAGAGGCTATGAACAAAGAGTCAGACGAACATCTGCTTTGCATGAAACCTCTCAAACTATGTTATTGTATATCTTACTGCTAGCTCCTTTCTGCAAGACGAACCTTCTGCTGTATTTGCAGTAACTTCTGTTGCATATTAAAGAAAATAAACAACACTTAAGGTGGGGTGCAGCGGCTAGAATATGCTACAAGTTGATCCATGTTTAGTAAATAAATCTGTGCTTTCCTTATGACTATAGCAGGGTTTATGCATGTCACTCAAACATCATACATCATGGCGTCACTTTTTCGAACATAAAGCTGCTTTCACAAAAACGTATCCTGTAAAATAATGTGTACCTAGGAGGGAATCAGATGAGAAATTCACTACTAACTTTACGTTATAGTTTGCAATACTCAATGTTACTGACATCTAGATATCAGTAACTCACACAGAGTGCAGAGCATCAAGACTTCTTACAAAATCCTTAAAGGTGGGGTCGGTCATTCTGGAGAAACCAGCTCGAGATCGCTAGAATTTGAAAATACACAACCGGAACAAATCTGCCACTTCCTTACAGAGCCCCTCCTCCAACACACGAACGCGCACATGACCAATGAGGGCACGAGATAAGTTTGTGCCCAGATGGAAGGCTGACAGGCAGGTAGGCCATCCAGTTACTTTAGCCGGGCCGGCTCAGATGATTGGTCGAGCTTTTTACAGCGCCACGGCTTCCACAGACACATTTTTTGTATTTTTTGTCAAAGCACTTCAGATATTAATTGCTATCGGGATGTTAAGAGCATTCCATGGAATATAACACAAAGTGTATCTCGAGCCGGTTTCTCAAACTTACCTACCTTTAATGTGAGTGAACTTCATAGCTGTTCCTGAAGGCAATAGGACTTTAATAAGACTGAAGGATCAGTACAAATGCATACCTGATGAGCTAAGAACAGACAGTTACTGAAAGAAAAGACAAAGACTTGGGCTGCATCTCACTTCGGTTAAATGGAATCCTTGCGTCCTTCACTTGCGTCGTTTCCCTGCGACTAGTCCCTCCCACCAGGGAAGCGTGGAGAGACGCGAGGAAACCACGAGAAGCAGGGAAATGAGTTTTAAGAGCAATGGGACGTCGTTTCCTCCGGAGCGTCACGTGAAGCGACGTCCGATTGTGATGACAGCCAGATCAGTGCATGCGCTGCATCGTCCAATCAGTGAGCGATACACAGTAAGGGGGCGGGGCGAGTGTCTGAGGATTTCACCAGAGGATGGTCTGGTAGTTCCTCGATTATGATCATTTTGACATTTGAATGTGTTATTATTCATGTTTTAAATGATTGTCTTGTTATTTGATGTTGTGTTTGTTCCCTGTACAGCACTTTGGTCAACTGATGTTTTCAAATGTGCTATATAAATAAATAAAGATTGAGATTGAGTTCTGATCTAGCTAAGACCACCTTGTGTCTGTCAGCAAAACACCTCCCGCACCAGTGTGTGTTCAAATGTAAAAGAATGAGACGAAGGTTACCTAAAGATGTTTAAGAGAGGTGAGCCCTTTGGTCATCAGCTTGTAATACACCTAACTCCAGACACTCAATCAATGGTATGCTATGTACCAGAGAATTGCACTGTGATGTTTGCTGTCACATTGCAGCTTGGACATTACTCGCTACGGCCCTCAAATGCCAGCAAAGGTCATCTATGATTGGCCGCCGCCCACATGACAAATGTTCTCATGAGACGACCGAATGACAATTATTGAACACATTTGAGATTGACAAGACAAGCAACTCTACTTCATGTGTTGATGGGACAAAATCAGCGTCCTCTCATCCATGAGCATATGCATTTTATCTGTTAGATCTGAGCCCATTCTTTCTGATATGTTGACGTGCAATGCAAGCCCAGTTTTTTGTACAATACTCCTGCAATACATTCCTGCTGAAAGTGTCTCATAAAAGAAAGAGCTATCAAGAAGTCAGGAACTTCAAATCCAGTTACAAATATCTCGGTATCGATAATGCAACGTCATTGTAGCGTTGACTATTACTGATTTCACCATATATATATTTAAAGATAAAACGTGATTTTCTTGATGAATAATAATCCTTGATGTGAATATAACGACAAAGTTGGTACAAGGAAATGATCAAACAGTTAGATCAGTCTGGTAGGTTTGGAAGAAAACAGTTTAAACTTGGAAAAGACTGCTACAATATCTAGTCTTGCCCCACAATATGATAATATCTATATATATTTCCAACCCTAGCAGATATGTGACATTAATCCCTATATCGACTTGTATGTTTTTGCAGTTTCATGTTTTAGCTATTTTGTCCACTCCATGTTACAGCCTGGATATGAAGTGTGCTCTCCCTGTCAATATCTGCTCGCGTCTGTGTGTGTGTGTGTGTGTGTGTGTGTGTGTGTGTGTGTGTGTGTGTGTGTGTGTGTGTGTGTGTGTGTGTGTGTGTGTGTGTGTGTGTGTGTGTGTGTGTGTGTGTGTGTGTGCGACTATTTAAGCTTCTTACGTAGACCAGTAAATCTCCCCTAGACTCATCCCGACCTGCTGGGTAGGAAAAACACACACACACACACACTCTGACCCACACTAGTTGAAACCGGCGATATTGTTGAGGAAATAGGACAACGTTAAAACTGCTGCTAGGATACAGTGAATGACTGTCCTGCCTGTGCCTTAACCTGTTGCTACCAGTACAACGAGTACCACGAGTATATGAAATAATACTTTTAAGTATTGCACAAATAATATACATTTGCAGCAGAAGAACAGAGGGGGGAGTAATGAGCGGTAGTTTGTGCAAACATGTGCAAAATAGTTGAAGGAACATGTGAATGTTTGCAGTATGGATTATCAAAATGCTAAATAAATAAATAAAAGTTAAGTGGTCTTTTTGCAGAAAATTGCAAAACAAAAATATTATTATATATTCTGTCTTAATTTTAATTTGTCAAAAACAGTCATGAAATCGTCTTTTTAAATAGCTTATAATAATACTTACTATTTTAAATGTTTCCTTTCTTCTTTCTGTCTTTGCATGCACCACATATATATATATATATATATATATATATATATATATATATATATATACCAAAGCCAATTCTTCTTCTGCGTAAACCACTTGGTAACCAAACAGATTCTGGTTGTGATAGTTTGCAGTACGGAGCACAAAGAGGATATGCAATGCAATAAAAGATCATTGGTAGTTTGTGCAGAAAAGTGCAAAATGGTGGGAGGAGGAATGCATCTCACATCATTATATTTGGTGTAAATATTGCCCCTCACAACAACAACAAAATGTAAATACTATTTGTTGCTAGTATTCTTCTTTCTGTGTTTTTCTAAGCAGCATTTATCCCTCAATGTAAGAGTACTTACACTATTACTACTTGCCTACCAACAAAACCCATTCTGATTCTTCTATAAAAACGATTATACGTAAAGATATAGAAAATGATTAACATGAAATCTGGATGTTCAAAAAGACTACGTACAGTTTACAATTAGAAAAGTACTCGGAATAAGAAAATCAAATCAAACGTGTCGTTAAAGTGGAAAGCTGTGAAGATACTAAGGGAGGTGTGCAACATATTGGGAAGGTTGTGCCATTTCAATAAATGATAACAAGATATTGGTTGCAAGACATGCAATACAAAAATAAATAAATAACTAAAAGATTAAACGATGATGCACGTTATGTAACACCTGACATTGACAGCAAAGCGGAGATAAACCAGCGAATAAGAGATAACAAAACATGGGGTTGTTATGCATGTGTTATTACTTTATTATTATGTTCCTTTATGCAGCACTTTGAGTCAAAACAGTGCACATGCTACTCGTCTAGTTGCTGAACATGTGTCTCTATTTGCATGTGTTTTGGAACATTTCTATAAATGCATCGTTTCTGAAGCTCCTTATGTAAGTGTTAGGGTCGTTGCAGCGCGTTTGCACCTGTCAGCCCCCGTAGCATACGCTTTTAGTCTTTAATGTAACTGTACGGGAATACAGTAACATTATTTATGTATCCTGCTTACTTAATCCCGTTACATGTGATCCATTACTCGGATGTCAAACCGAGTAATGGATCACACACACACACACACACACACACACACACACACACACACACACACACACACACACACACACACACACACACACACACACACACACACACACACACACACACACACACACACAGTGCAAAATAAAAGACCACTTGTTGATGAAATGCGTTACTTTCGTTACCGTCAATACACACTTCCAGCCATTCACCTACAGTGTAAAGTCCCAGTGTGTGTCTAAAATCATCTCCTTGGGTTAAGCATGTGTGTATAATAAAGACACACACAAATTAACGTTTGGTTGTTAGTTTGCAGTAAGTTAGCTGCTGGCTAGCTCCGCATTAGCTTGTGTGCTAACATTTACCTCGTTCGCTGAATTCCCGAGTCGTCGAGCCGCGTCGAAATATTCCCAAAACATGCTGAAGAAGCTCTCTATTGTGCCACGGCTCAAGAAATGAACATTAAACTGAATGTCAAAGAAATACCTTAACATGAAATACATTGAACTCCCCCTTTCGGCTTCAACTGACGATATATCCTTAGAACAGGAAATAATGCTGCATTCACTGACCCTCGTATATTTCACAATCGAGATATTTGCTTAGAGACGCACCAAGTCTAGCTGTTGTTTTTTAATATTGAATAATGCAGCAAATACTTTCTTTGAGATGCAATGTGTCTTTTTGAAATATGTGAGCTTAGTAACAAATACAAATAATATACATATGCTAAAAGAATATCTAATTTGATTTCATATAAGTTATAACCCTCATTTTTCATGTATTAATTGACCCTCGTTCATTTCACACTCGATATATGTCGCCTTTGAGTGTGTTTGCTCCTGTTCAATAATCTTGCATAACACAGGTGGCTTTAATTAATTGAACCTTAACCCTATTAAGTTAATGTAATTGTTGTTGTGTATTTTCTTGTAATTTTAACTATATGTAATCATATGTCATCTATGTTTGTTATTCTGTAAATCCCACTGAGACAAACTTGTTTTGTGATATTGGCAGAGGTGTAAAGTAACTAAGTAGATGTACTCAAGTAGGCTACTGTACTTAAGTATAACTTTGAGATACTGTGTACTCCACTACAATTCAGAGGTGAATGGTGTACTTGTACTCCACTACATGTATGTAATACCTTTAGTTACTTTACAGATGTGGATGAATGATGTGAAATATAATCAAGTGTTGAATCAGACTTTAGTTCCACCTGGAGTAAACTCACAAGCTACCCTGCAGTCTACAAAGTCATTCAAACTAGCTGCACCTTTACCAGCTTTGAGAACACTTTAATGATCAATCATTATAAAACACATCATATATATTATTCTGAAATGGACCAATCTCACAATGACTACTTTTACTGTCGCTACTTTCACTATATTTTGATGATAATACTTTTCTACTTTTACTTGAGTAACGTTTTGAATGCAGGACTTTTACTGTAACAGAGTATTCCTACACTCTGGTACTTCTACTTTTACTCAAGTACAATAACTGAGTACTTCTCCCATCTCTGCTAATATGTCTTGCATGTTTGTTCAGCAGTGTGTGAAAAGTAAATACCACCTGTTTGATCGTGTGGCAAAATTCCGATGCTTCCCACTACACAAAATGTGTCATTGAACGCACCCTGAGATCAACTTCCTCTCTCTGCAGTGTTTATCATTTTGTAGTTACTTTACCACAGTTACACATTTACTACACAAATGTAGGTGCGTTGTCACTAACATTGTTTTGTATGAATATGACTTTTATGAATCTTTAGGACTGAAAAACTCATTATTACAACATTTAAAAAAAATCGTATTCCTAAATATTAACGTGGCATCGTTGCAGCTACTTGAGGTAACACAAGATGAATGTTAAATGTTGTGATTTGAAGCATTAAAAATGGAAACGTGTTCATTTCAGCGTGCTTTAGAAGCAGAGCCATGTGGTAAATAGTGGAGGCACCTGTTAATAAGTAAATTATTAAATGAATGAAAGCAAAAACGTGTTATGGGCATGCAGTTTAATGCCTGAGCGGTTTATTCCTCACTGTCTTAATGATCTCAGCTTACCTCAGTGTCTATTTGACAAGAAGCCGGGTCAATCACACACAGAGGGCGAATCTCTTTTTCTATATTTGATGAAAATAATTTAAAACGTGATTGCCTTGCAACTCATTAACTCACAAACTCCCTCGTGCTTATGTATTGAGTTGCAGATTTGTCCACAGGGAGGAGCTGTTCGGTTATTGTCTGGATAACCTCCAACATCTGGAGGGAAAAGAGGAACAGCTGCAGCACTTTAGACTAATGATCCGACTTATGATACTAGAACTGAAGTAATTCAACATTTCTTAAATGCAAACTGAGACAGCACATGTATTTTAGTGCAAGATAAATTGATTTGACTGTGCAAAGAAACGTGAACATAAACAAAATGGCTGAATATGATACAAATTATTGTGCTAATTTTTTATTTTATTCATAGCAGTTCTTTTGAGAAGCTCATTTAGCCGTATGGCAAAGTCTAACCATACAAGGAATTTGCTTGTTATTTGATACGTTTTGCAAAAATCAAGTCATACAGAATACAAGAAAGTACAATAAGAATACCCACACAAAAATATGCACAAGAAACATGTACAGCAGAGCTTCGCAATTATTTTTAAATGATAAACCTCACTGGAGAGACGAAGGCAGCATATTAAAGCAGCATCACAATATCATCAACCAGCCCTCAACAGGTATAAGTCTTATTTTACACATTTATCAGCTCAACATAACATGTACATGTTACTAATCTTATTTCCAAAAGGTTTTGATGAGATTAACCTGACCGATAAATCTGACCGATTTACTACTTTCATCAATCATAACTTTTTAGTTTTACATTAGATTGCATTAAGGCTTCATGATATCCTTCACAGTAGACATTTGAACATGTGAAATTGCTGATCACCACTTTCATTGCATTTTGGATGATTTAGTCCACTTTGTAACACCATGGTGTTCCCGGTCAAAGATGACCGCCATAAAGAAAAGGAATTAGTAACCATCCGGATCCGGTGTGTGTTTTATCTGAATAAAACACACACACACACACACACACACACAAACAAACACACACTCTAGATGTGTTCCCCCCCCCTTATGTGCCCAATCCCCCCATGTGACACACACACACACACAATTTGACATATTTCCCGCTCTTATGTGCCCATCCCCCCACATGGATCACACCTGGCAAACACAATACATGTTCAGTGTCTGTTCTTTATATATTTACTGCAGTTTTTCATGTATACCAGTAGTCTGATACAATATGTACAGTTTGAAAGGGTGTTAAATAAAATGTGGTGATGATTAATGGGTTTTGTGTTAATGTAATAGCAGTTAAAACAGGACCGGTCAAATTTGACCGTGAACACCAAAGTAAGGGGGGGAACGAAGACAATAGGAGGGATAAATACAAGATCCATACGATCCTATGGAAGACGATTAGGGCCAAATGTGAGATCTGATGAAAAGTGGGATTGTTTTGTAGGTTTATTTGTTCTCTTAGAATATTTGGTCGGATCAAAAAACATATTAAATTACACACAGTCATTAAATCAATTATTAACAAACAAAAAACATGTCTTAGTGCAGTTGGAAGCAGTTTAGATTCCTACAAGGACAGACAGAGGAAGGAAGGAAGGAAGGAAGGAAGGAAGGAAGGAAGGAAGGAAGGAAGGAAGGAAGGAAGGAAGGAAGGAAGGAAGGAAGGAAGGAAGGAAGGAAGGAAGGAAGGAAGGAAGGAAGGAAGGAAGGAAGGAAGGAAGGAAGAGGGAACAAAGGAAGAAAGTAGGGAGGGAAACACTTCTTATACATTTTCTAAATAAGTTTCAAACTATCCAATAAAACGGAAGCATGTTATCAGCTTTAGGAAGGAGATGTCTCACTTACTGATGTGTATATTTTTACAGGCAGAACAGTCACTCTCTAAACTCATTACAGTAGTCTGTGACCTATAGTAACCTCTTGGCACAACAGTCGTCAGCTACTGTTATCGTGTTACAGCCTGGGGCCTCGCTCCATTTCTAAAAGGAAACTCCCTTGTCCCCTCCGTCCTGCCTCGACTACAGTTTGTAATTCAAACCAACACGGGACAAATCAGATGAGAGACTGCATCGTCCCAGATTAGGAACAGCAGCCAAACACGACTGGAGAGCACGAGGCATTCAAGCTTGAGTTATACAAAGGGTTAGGAGGGTTACTTTAAAAATCGCAATTACTTACCAATGCAATCAGTAACCTAATCTGAGTATCAAAATATAAAAGTAACCTGATTACTTTCTGTTACTTTTGGATTACCTCAATATCCAATGTAAGACAATAGAACAATGTGACCGTAGAAAAGTAGAAAGAAAGATATTTAGGATAAAAAAGGATTTGATTGATAGGAAAACCTGTCAAGCATATTCAGGCAGTAGCCTACACACCTACAATGAAACACAGGAGCACATACTACCGTTTAAAAATGCTCCGTTTTAGTTTAACACACACAGTTGAGCTCACACACACTATTTTATGAACATATAGGTTCACCTGCTGAATTAAACACAGAACAAATGAACCAAAGAAAGTGGAAACCATGAGCAGATTCAGGCGGTATAGATTCACACTTAAAGTATTAGAAGAGTACAGTTTACAGAGAAGATATACAGTAATCTGATTACACTGTATTTATGGCCCTGTAAGGGAAAACAGTTGCCTTTTCTCTTAAAGATATACCATATTGCAGTACTCAGATCAGTATAGAAAGTGATTACAGTTTAAAAACCTGCCTGCAGCATGTTTTCATTCAGAGACTCACTGAGTGGTTATCCTGCCACCTGCTGTGTGCTGTAATCCCTGCTATCATTCAGCGCTGCCTGCAGGACATTCAGATTGGTGTCATTTCTATATATTTAAATATGTCCAAAACTCAGCTGCCCGCTTGCTCACCTCCACCCGACGCTCCGACCACATCACCCCTATCCTCCATGACCTCCACTAGCTCCCCATCAAACACCGCATTGACTTTAAAATATTACTTTTCACTTTCAAAGCCCTCAACAACCTTGCCCCCCCCCTACCTCTGTGACCTCATCCAACGACACACCCCCACCCGTCGCCTCATGTCTGCTGAAGCTAACCTACTGCAGCCCATCAGGACAAAGCTCCGGACCTGGGGTGACAGGGCCTTCGCAGCCCCTCCCCCTCTGGAACTCCCTCCCCAGCCACGTCAGATTCGCCAACACTCTCACATCATTCAAACAATCCCTCAAAACTCACCTTTTCACTCTTGCCTTCAACTCCTAATCAACTAACCCATTGCCCTTATTCCACCTAGCTTAGCACTTTCTACTGTTGTTGTTATTTTTGTTTTACTTGCTTGTAAGCGCTTTGAGCACCAGGAAAAGCGCTTTATAAATGTAATGTATTATTATTATTTCAATGACAGTCACTGGATACATTAGCAGACAGGAGTTCAGACCATTTTTTCCATACACTTCAAGCTGGTCGATTAAATGGCTGTCAACAGAAGTAAAGAGTTGAGGTGGTTTGATAATGTTTTACCAATTGGCTCAGCAGGCCGGTATCGTACGTAAGCTGGATCAATGGAGGAAAGTTCAACATTTTCAGGCAGCAATCAATCAATCACATTTTATTTATATAGCCCAATAACGCAACTTACACATTTGACACCCTCTGTCCTTTGACCCCAGCATCACTAAAAGTACAATATACACTTCTCGCTAGAAATCTAATCAAAAAGCGTTTTAATGGCCAAACTATCCTACAATTTAGGATTTTACAGAGAGGGTTATTTGTGAATAAACGGGAGCATGTTGTTTCTTACACGACCACTAGAGGTGCTACACTTTAAAACGTGGCTATGGGTCGTAATCTAAGCTGCTTAAACAATCGACCTATTTGGTCGTATGAGTTGGAGGACATGTTGCACTATCAGCTCTTTGACTCTAAATCACACTGTACATTTCATATTTATATCCAATCTTATATTTGATATTCCATTACTCACATACTTATGTATATCATATGTTGCTTTATATTTGGTCACTGTGCATTTGTAATTCAACATTATAACCTTGAGCAGAACGGCCAATATGTTATTGCTATTGAGATGTCGACATTTTAAAATGTTTATTTCTAGTCTTTTAATTTTATTTGACAATGCCATGTCTTTTTATGCTGCTGCAACACAAACATTTCCCAACTTGGGATCAATAAAGTACTTCTTATTTGATCTTATCTTAAACTCCCAAAGAAACGGCACAATGAACGGGGAAACATTTAATAAACCTTCGCTTATATATCATCATATCATCAATCATGATATCATTTATAATATAAAACAATATGTGAAGACAGGTGTTGTGCCATGTGCAAATACTCTGGCACATCCCAGAAATTGAATACATAATGATATTGTGCCTTTAAACCGACTTTTCTACAGCGTCAGATCCTCGTTCTCTTCACATAAACATCGGTTAATCCCTGGAATCAAAAGTTACAAAGAAACACATTGTGGATACGAACATAAATAACAAATGTGTTTGGACATCGCTTCCTGAATGAGGCTCATTGTGTGTAATGTGAAAGAAGACGCTCGAGTCACTTGATTCTTCAGTTAACCTCAGCTCTATGGAACTCTTTATCCTATTTCACATCATCTTGTTTTGTTCAACACACAAATGTAAGAGTTTGGATCAGCCTATTTGTCCTCTTCAAAGTGGTTTCAAGCCACAGCAGGCAGCAGTATATCGATTCTGATAGGTTGGTTTGGTTGGTCTACTGTTAGGGCTGTGACCTAAGATTTTCATCGACATACACTGTAGCACGAATGACAATACAAGCCTTGAAATAACAACAAAGGGAAAGGATTTCATTTTTTGCTTTTTTATTTTTGCAAATAGGAAAATAGCATATCTGGTATTCCAAAATAAAATTAAAATAAAGCCTGTGTTGAACCAGATAAACAGGCATGACAGAGAGAAGGGAGACAGAGAGACTGACAGAGGGACGTAGCGATAGATAGAGAGAGAATTGGATGATGATTAGGGAACACAGGTCTGGATGTAGGTCAGTAGAAGCTGGCTGGGGAGGCGCAGACACAAAGACAGCATTGGTTCAGACAGATAAACACGTCTGTCTGCCTTCAATGGGTTCCTACCTTACTAAGCATGGTTTGTTTATCAAACAGGAGTGCACCATAATGTATCCATTATGCTAAGAGACAGAGATATGGAGGAAGTGTAAATGTACACCGCTACATGCAGGGAGTGCTCTGCTTTTGAGTTGATCCAAAAGCCCGTAAAAATGAAAGTTAGGTTAGCCAGTGAGTGCTGCTTCAACAGAGACGAGTCAGTTCTGTGAAGCGTAATGAATAGTCTCTTCATGTGAAGCACTGGTAGCTTTACAAGCATCGACGTGTTTTAAAGAACACATGATAATAGTGACTGCATTGCACAGTTCCTTAGAAAATATTTATAATCTTTTTTTTTGGCATTTTACCGTTCCAAAGGTATACATGTTATGAAACTGCCAGAAGAGCACAATGACTGTTTTTCTCACTTTCCACGAACACAAGTGCACTTGAGACTCAGCTTAATGATGTGTGAATGGGACTCCAAATCCCAGACCATAATCAGTCTGACATTCCACAGATTGATCACGCTACAATCAAACTCACATAAAAATACCAAAAACCCTCTCTCCGGAAACACATTTGAATAGCTTAATGCACTGATTGAAAAATCCTCATCGATTAAAAAAAACAAACACATCTATATATAAAGGCTACAAGCTGTACATGTTATCTTTGTCCTTTATGTTACGGTACACATATTTATGAGTATGCTAATACAGATGATTAAGTAGATGTTAACTGCCTATCCAGCTGTTTAAACTATTAGCTTTTCTTGCTACTATAACCAACATACATGTAACTGTTTCGCCTCACTTTTGCACCGTTGAGCCAAAACATAACAGTAGTAGTAGTAGTAGCTGTGATTGGCCAGACAGAAGTCGGCTGCACAATGGTAGCAAGGGAATTTCCCAGAACAAAAGAGCTTAAAAACTGTCGTGGGTGTCGCTTTCGTGCTTTTCAGGGTTTTCTGGTTTGTCAACTTCCCAGTTCCCAATCACAGTCAATAAGAGCAGTCGTATGATAACAGTAGGATCAAGTGAGGTGGTTTTGTGATATGTACGAAGGCATCAATAGAGATTAGAGTGAACCGGGGCTGAGAGAAAAGGCATACGGGGTCAAATGAGATGGATTATGATTGGACAAGTGCAACGAAGGCCAGGGTGGGATGCGTTCAACATCGGAAGTTTTCTCAGTTTGGCCAAAATGTAAGTCTGACGATGTCTCCGCATTTTCTCCTAATATCAAGAGTTCATTCAGCGTGAAAGCGTTTAGGGGAGATCAGAATTTCACCCTCATGTGATGGCTGTCACGCTCTGCCACTGCCACATGTCGTATGATGAGACACATGAACATTAAAATGTCCCTTTCAACAGCGTATAAAATGGAAGCTTAATCCATGGACCCTGAAGTTTGGCTTCGAGGAAGAATCACGGAAGTAAAAAGAGGATTATAGAGTTACAGACACTCCTATTGCTTCTTGAACAGCAGATAGTAGGTTAGCTTGAGTGGTTTGCAAGAGGGGCCCCTGTAAAAACGGTCTCCTGTTAGGTGTTTTGCATTGTGTGCCAGGAAATCCACTTTCAGATGGGGGTTTCCTGAGGAGAATCAGATGCTCAGAAGGAACAGTGACATTTAAACAGCAGGGGGGGAGAGAAAGCCAAATAGGAGGAGGGGAAGAAACAGCATCCAGCTCTCACAATTCTTTTAAAAGTTCTGCTTGTGAAGCACCAAAAATATCCTGAGGGAGACCCGGACCCCCTCCTCCAGGGTGTTTAGGCTAAAGAGCGTCACATGGTGGCCTTGAGGATCCTGCCGGGTCTGGAGCTGCGGTGGACCTTGGTGTGTTTGGATAGGTGGTCGCTGCGGGCAAACTTCTTCTCGCAGAGGGAGCACTCGTATGGCTTGATGCCGGAGTGAGAGCGGCGGTGGCGGGAAAGTTCGTCAGATCGGGAAAACCTGGCGACAAAAGAGCAGGAAGGTGGAGTAAGGAACACTGTGACGAAAAGATACACCACATTTTTGTCCAAATTAGCCAACTGTCAAAGTCAACTTTATTGTCAATACAAAATATATATGCAAATATTTATATACCTACTAGGGGAGTAACGGTACACGTACAGAAATTATTCGGTACGGGCCCTTCGGTTTGGTACACGTGTATAACGTTAAACGTAAAAAATTGAGAACGTGAACAACATCTTGGAAGTAATCTCAGGTGCTGCGTCGCAGCATTCAGAGTAATTTGCTCACATTGGGTTCAACGCGTCATAGAGCGAGCAAGTCATTTCATTGGACGAGAGGCATACTATGAGAGCTGGTCAGAGGGATGCGTTCAAATTTAGTCAGTAATTTGAGGAACTGTCGAAAGCAGATAAAGTTGAGCTCGAAAATCCTCCAGCATCATTGAAGTCTCCGGTTTGGGAACACTTTTGGTTTCGCAGTTACGAACAAGGATGACGGACAAAGACAGGTGGACCGAACCAAAGCTGTTTGTCGGCATTGTTCAACTAAAATTGGCAATACATGAAACTTGCACACTCATTTGAAAAGGCATCACCCGAACGTGAATATCACCGGTACCAAAAGAAAAAAAGACTGAAGTGCAAACCCAACTCCCGCTAGCATGTAAGCCTCCACCTCGCAGAGATGTTCAGACCGAGCCAAAGCTATTACACACACCAATATCCTTATGTTGCCATGTTAGCAAAGCGCTACCTGGCTGTATCTGCTACCTCTGTCCCTAGAGAGGGTGTTCTCCACAGCAGGAGACATTGTTAGTGCCAGCAGATCTGTAAGCAATGTGGACAAGTTCATCTTTCTTTAAAAAACATGAACATACAATGACAAGCAAGTCCTAATGTCAACCTGGCTGCTAGTACAGTACAGTTCAAATACAGATTATTTCAGTTCATCGAAATGCTGCACCTTAATGTTTATTTTATTATATATGTGTACCGAAAACGTACCGAACCGAACCGTGACCTAAAAACCGAGGTAGGTACCGAACCGAAATGTTTGTGAACCGTTACACCCTTAATACCTATATATATATATATATACCTGGCTTAGTAATCTATGATAATAAGAGCATCAGAATAGAGTGGTGCATTGATGACGTTTCTTTGTAGGCCGACCTGGAAGTAAGCATCGTATTGGTTCCCTCGTCAAAAAGCAATTCCAGTGGATTTCGGTATATTTCATAAAATACGCTAAAATAAGATAATCATTTCCAAGGTCTTTAATCCACTCCCTTGTGATTTTTGAAGCGTAAATGCGATCGGAAGAAGTAAAAAAGCTAGCGTTAAGCTATGAACGAACTACACAACGATCACATGACTTCATGTCACCACCGCTAAGCTAATGACGGCTAATGTTCGTCGTATTAACTGACGTATTTGTTGTCGTAGGACAAAACGTGAAAGTCTATTAAGCTTTTGTTCACCATATATCTCATGTCAGGCATCTAACCAAAAACACGTTCAAAAGACTTTGAGACGAGGGAACCCTCCTTGTCCTTTTTGTTGTTCTGTCTATGTTTTTATGTTTCATGTGGAACCTACTTGAGCAGGTCTCCCTTGAAAAAGAGATCAATGATCTCAATGGGATTCACCTGGGTAAATAAAGGTTTGAAATGAAATGAACCCGAGGTGGTAAAATGCGAACTCCTGGGTTTTAAGACTCATCCCTGCATCATTATATTGCAACCCCACTTTGGGCTGAAAGGTGCTCTCTAACTCCAACTTCCACACCAATACTATGCGCAATATAAATATAATTACCATCATTACAAAACACTCGCTGCTATACAACATGTGCAATATCATTATTAGTGGTGCACGATAATTATCGGTCCGATATTAGAAATTATGACGTCATCCCGATAAACCCGATACCAGTATTAATAGCCCCGATAATATACAATATATTTTTTGGGTAAAAAATAAATAAAAAAATACTGCGGTGTGGGTGGATTGGGATGAGGGGCGCTTGTTTTTCACTCGGCTCCTCCCGTTTTGCCAGTACTGTGGTATTAGTGGTTTAGGAAGAGGGGAGTTCTTCACAAATCCAGCGCTCCCTAACTCATGCCTGGCTGTGACGTAAATGGTGTGCGGCCGTGAAGCCAGGACAGTAAACAAACATGTCGTCGGTAGTATGGGACTATTTCAAAGTTTCAAAGTTAGATAGTTCGCTTGCTATTTGTATTAACAAATGCAGAAGTTCCACGAGGAGGGAAAAAGGCAACGAGCTATAATACTTCCAACCTGATTAGTCACCTGAAACATCGCCATCGCTACGATGGTGTGTTAAAAGCGTACGAAGACGCCTGCGCTGCTAAACTAGCGGCGAATCCAAAGCCAGCTGCAAAGGCACCGGGGCTTTTACCTATCGACGAGGCTTTTGAAAAAGGCAAGAAGTTTATTTGGGAAAATAAATATGGTCACTTTGATGAGTCAAAACTGTTCTTGGCTTTGTTTTGTTCATAGTAGTAATGCTCATGTCATTTGCTCACTACTAGTCTCTGTTTTACCACCAGGTGTGCAAAAACTACAGGTACATTTAATATATATATATATTATATTATTATCGGTTATCGGTCTTGAGAAGCAGGAAGTTATTGGTATCGGTTTCAAAAAACCAATATCGTGCATCCCTAATGTTAATTATTAATAATGTTCTATAATAACGTGAAATTACGTATCTGCCACTACGTTTTTTGCACTACTAAATACGGTTAATGTACTTCATTATGTGACCGTCTATGTTTCCTGTAGATATTGAATTGCTCATTTGACTGCACTGTACAGTTTAATTACGCTGTGTATATTGTATTTTTGTAACTGGCACAACAATTTCCTTCAGGATAAATACAGTCTTATCTTATCTTATACAAATAAAGTTTATTGTTATTATTATTATTATTATTTCATCATGCTACATACCTCCAGCCGCAGTCGGGCCAGCTGCACGTGTACGGCTTCTCTCCCGTATGCCGGCGGAAGTGAGCCTTCAGATGGCTGCTCTTGGTGTACATCTTCCCGCAGCCTGGGTGGGAGCACTTGTGGACCCTCTCTGTGGGTGGCAGTCTGCTCACCCGGGGGGTCATGGCCTTCAACAGCTCAGTGCCCTGACCCCCAACCCCCGTCAGGCCCTTGATCTCTAGAGTTCTCATAGTGAAGGGCAGGGGGGCGATCCTCACGTACTTCTGGTCAGCTGACTTGTTGTCTCCGCTGTTTAGAGACAACAAGGTGGTGGTGGGGTTCAGCAGGGTGACATTTTGTCCTCTTGCACCCTGGAGGCCCATGACCAGATGAGTGAGCCAGATGCCACTTTGGGCCCCTGGAGGAGAGCCAGCGGGGGTTGGAGATAGGGGCTGTAGCTGCAGAACCAACGGGGCACCAAGGAGCATTTGGGAGGAAGGTGAGGGGTTACGTTGAGCAGAAGGGGAGTGGTCTTCTGCGCTGATTTCCTCCTTTTTAAGGAAACTTGAAGTGCAATGAGAAGCAACCTTCCCTTGATCACGGCAAGTGTCTGAGGAGGCTTCGGGTGTCAAAGTGGAGGATGGAGAGTCACTGCATGGCAGAGGGGACGCTTCTTCTTTTGGAATAAGAAGAAGACCCTCGTCTTTTGGGACAAGAAGACCCTCTTTGACAAGTTCCATCTTTTCCCTCAAGAACTCCTCGATGTCTTCCAGCGTGGGAGAAAACGGGGAAGAGGGATGGAAAGGGAAATCTGGCAGCTTAGGCTCGTGACTCGCAGGTTCCTCCTCATCGCCATCCTCCGCTCCTAGACAAGGCAAGGCACGTTTATTTATACAGCAGCTTTCAACACAAGGCAATTCAAAGTGCTTTACAAAAATGAAAGACATTGTTATAAAATAACAAAGGTACATGAGTTAAAGACACAATGCACATCTGAAATGTTTAGGTCCGACCAGTGTTTCCGCCAGACCAGGGCTGATTGGGCGTCCACCCTGAGAGCGGGGGCTTGAATTTTGAATTGAGCCGGCCCTTATAGATACTATCTCTTCACGTTAGTGAGCCGGATCATTTGGCTCGGCTCTTTCGGCTCTTCATGTTACCACAGTTTACCACGGAGCCTCAGTTTCGCCGCTGCGAGGCTCCGCAGTTCATGCTCCACACTAGCCACCCACCCCCCGCTCATCGCGTCCTAATCGTGCACGTCTCGTGTTCTCCTGTAGCAGGCACCGCCGATGTCGGGGTAACGATCTTCAATACTCCGAAAAGAATCCCACCAGACTCCTTTGCCCCTCCTTTTTCCTTTTCGTCATTTCAAGCGATAAAAACTCTTGATCTTCTTGGACGCCCTCGGCTCGAGTTCAGGGCGTTCCGAGCTGAATAAGGGGTCAAATAACAGCAAGACGCCCCCCTGGCGGACACGCTGGGTCTGACTCTTAATCATTGCTAACTAACAGTTTTCTTTGACCTCAATTTCTTTCTACTTTCTTTTTTAACTTATCCGTTAGTTATGTCAAGTGTTTGATGCTAAACGAACCCCCCTTTTGGAATTCTAATCTGAAACCCAGTATTCAGAGAGTTCAACGGATCCAGGCCGTATTTGTGTAGCTTATAAAATGTATTTGCTCCCAGACATTCATGTGGCTTGCTAGTTTTGGACCCCGGACTTTAACCCCAATACACGTGACATCTCTAATCGGTTGACCAATACCTCCTAGAAAGATGTGCAGACTCATCTTCTCGTCCTCATCATCATCTTCTTCCTCCTCATCCTCCTCCTCTCCTCGGTGCATCGCCCCCAGCTCCCCGGCCGAGCTGCCCCCCTCGCTGTCTCCCAGGCCGAGGGAGAACAGGCTGCTGCTGTCCCTGAACAGGTCATTCTCCAAACTCAGCGTTCTGCTGCTGAGAGACACCATTGATCCAGACCAAACGCAGAGGAGAGGCTGTTGAGGAAACACGATCCAGAAGAGGGATCACAGAAACCTGCAAAGGCAACATAAAGATTACTTTTTGAATAACCAAGCAGAAAGTCAAAGTGCATGAAGAGCAATTTACATCGATGCCCAGATTTAAAGAAGACATATTATGCTTATGTTTAGGTTCATATATGTATGTAGTGTCTCTTTGTGACATGTCTCCAAAAAGCTCTTTACTTTCCTCATACTGTCTGTGCTGCAGCACCTCTTTTCACCCTCTGTCTGAAACCAGAGCCCAGTCTGCTCTGATTGGTTAATCGCTTAGAGATCTCCTGCTCCTTAGCCTATTGCGAGTGCTAGCCAATAGAAGAACGAGTGTTACATAGTGATGTCACTATGTTCTGGAAGTAAACAAAGGAGTCCAATGGAGGCATTTCAGGCCGGGGGGGGGGGGGGGAGAGGAACTTTGGGATTGTAGCCTCTGCAGCCCATTTACATGCACTGAAACCTATACAACACTACAGTAGAGGAAAAAACCCCAAACGCATACTAGGGCCTCTTTAATGGAAATCTCTTTTTTCACCCACAGTTCACATTGATGATTTACTTAGGTATTACATTATCAGTAAAAAATGTCATTACAATATCAATACAGGACTTTTTCGATCACGTTATGTGCAATTGTTATTACATTTTCAGGAAATCATTACAGTATTAGGTGTTATAATCTACATAAAAGTGTATTACATAGGGCATATCTTTGTAATGAGCAAAACATTGTGCACTGAAGTCTTTACACTGGCTTCCTGTGTGTCAAAGAATAGATTTCAAAATACTGCTGCTGGTTTATAAAGCACTGAATGGTTTAGGCCCAAAATACATTTCTGACCTCCTGCTAAATGATGAACCATCCAGATCTCTCAGGTCTTCAGGGACTGGTCAGCTTTCTGTCCCCAGAGTCAGAACTAAACATGGAGAAGCAGCGTTTAGTTATTATGCTCCAAATATCTGGAACAAACTCCCAGAAACCTGCAGGTCCGCTGCAACTCTGACTACTTTTAAATCCAGGCTGAAGACTTTTCTTTTTGTCGCTGCTTTTAATTGAACTATTCATATCTTAGACTGCACTGTAACTTTTATCCATGTATTTTTTCTTTTAATGTTTAATTGACTGCCATGTATTTTTTTCTTTTAATGTTTCTTTTATTATCTTTTCTTTTTAATGACTGATTTTAAATGCCATTTTCTTAATCTCTTTCATTTTTTGTAAAGCACTTTGAATTGCCTTGTGTTGAAAAGTGCTATATAAATAAACTTGCCTTGCCTTGCCTTTCTGAAGCTTGAAGCATGTAAACATGTCACAGTAAAGGCACAACATACATAATACTAATATGAACCTGAAAATAAGCATGTGTCTTTAAGTTGAGGCATGTTTTGGCCAGGCCCAACTTTAAATTAGAAAACCCATTAAATATTCCCCCGAAAGTACTATAATTAACTTTTTTTAAAGGAATACAAATATAAACTGCTATCTTCCATATAATTAAAAACATGTTTTAGCACTGGTCTAGTATAAATAGAACTGTAAAATGTATCACAGAGGTAAAACATATTGACAATTATGGAAAGTTGAATGGAAAAATGCAAAAAAGGTATGCAAATTCTAAGTTAAGTTAGTTAACCACCAGTGGTAGTTCACCTTCAGGTCTGCAGATATCAAATGTGGAACTACAGTCCAAACACACACGCTAACAGTGGTGAGAAATGCCCATTAGCCCGACACGATGTGTGTTGCTCTGCTGTCAGATTGCAGGCACATGTTGCAGCAGGGCCTCACACACTTTACACAGAGCTGGGTAAACACGGCCCGCGCTGACTTGCCCATTAGTGTGTGAGTGTGTGTGTGAGTGTGTCGAGGGGAAGTGTTAAACTCATGAGGATTGAAATCAGAAAACACCGCTCGATGACTATTTTTACCAGAAAGGGCGCTCGACAACATGGCAAACCGCCTGAATGCAAACTGCGGCCGCATAGGAATCCATGAGTCTCCGGTTCAAAAGATCTATACTCCTCCTGTTAACCGAGCAGCATCCCGGATATGTGGCTCGACTTACCCTGAATTTACTGCAGTAACTCGGTGGAGAACGAGCCGCACCGTCGAAGGGGTTCTTCTATTTTCCGCGTTTCTGTGTTCCTCCGTCGTGTTATTGTCGTAGCACACTCACATCCCGTCCTTGCCACGGGTCCATGTTGGCATTCCTTTTTCCCAGCGTCACGTGACAAGCATTGCTGCACAACTCTGGAGGCACGGGTCCTGTTGCGTGGCGCTGATTGGCCGAGCGCGGCGGAGGCTCGCCCTAAAAGGACGGCTCTGATTGGCCGCCACTCGATAAATTCAAGACTGCCATGTGTTGATGTAGAGATCACTGTGCACAGCGACCACCACAGCGACTAACTGCCATACAGTGTAGCAGCAGCCTATTGATGTGGTGGAGACAATAATGGAGACACCCATTGATGTAACTAAGAAGATCTACTGAATAACACTTTGAGGGACTGTATTCATATTCTTCAGATGTGGATGAATGATGTGAAATATAATCAAGTCTTAAATCAGACTTTAGTTCCACCTGGAGTAAATTCACCAGCTACCCTGCAGTATACAAAGTCATTACAACTAGCTGCTCCTTCACCAGCTTTGAGAACACTTTAATGATCAAAAACATATCATATATATTATTCTGAAATGGACCAATCTGCACAATGACCACTTTTACTGTCGCTACTTTAAGTATATTTTGATGCTAGTACTGTTGTTCTTTTACTTGAGTGACATTTTGAATGCAGGGCGTATAACTTTTAAGGACACAATCTGAGGACTTCTTCCACCTCTGCTGTACAGCGGCTAAACACGATACAGTGGGCCTATTGATGGGACGGACACAATAATAACCACTCAGATCTGCTTCAGGGCTGTTTGTCCTGCATCGTGGAGCAACTGTCCCTGAGACGAAGAATGGGGGTGAATCTACTTCCACTGAGTGGCAGTGTATGGGATGATACAATAGGGTCCTATGTAGTGGCTGATGGTGCAACCATGCCATCAAAGCCCATGCATATACAAGAAAACACCTTTTGAAAAGCTGTCCACTGTAGTAGCCTCTATCCGTGAAAGGGTTAGGGTTTCTGACAACATCCTGTAGTGAAGAAAATACTCACACTGTACAGTACATACAGGCAGAGGTGGGAGAAGTACTCAGATCTTGTTCTTGAGTAAGTAGAAGTACCAGAGTGTAGGAATACTCTGTCACAGTAAAAGTCCTGCATTCAAAATGTGACTCAAGTAAAAGTAGAAAAGTATTATCATCAAAATATAGTGAAAGTCGCGACAGTAAAAGTAGTCGTTGTGCAGATTGGTCCATTTCAGAATAATATATATGATGTGTTTTATAATGATTGATCATGAAAGTGTTCTCAAAGCTGGTGAAGGTGCAGCTAGTTTGAATGACTTTGTAGACTGCAGGGTAGCTGGTGGATTTACTCCAGGTGGAACTAAAGTCTGATTCAACACTTGGTTATATTTCACATCATTCATCCACATCTGTAAAGTAACTAAAGGGATTAAATGAATAGTGGAGTAGATGTGCACAACTAATATAAGCATCAGTGGGTTAATGAAATGCACAATATACATTTAAGTTATAATTATAATTATTAAGTACAAAGTAGCAATCATATCTTCTTTTTATAATTCTTATATTTGTAATCTTCTGTCACAACTTATTTTCTGTATCAGCGAGGACATTATTGTGTTTTTAATGCATGTTTGAAAAGGTCAAGTGCACATTTTATGACTGTCTATTATTATTATTTTACTTATTTGTTTTACTTTGTATTACTATTGACGTCATGATATATCAATTATGTTCTTTGCTATTTTTATTTATTTATATGAATACAATTTCAATTAATTCCACTCAATTGGGGACTTAAGTATAACTGCCCTGAGTAAACGATATCCTCTTACTAAGGGAGTTTTTAATATTCAGTATGATTTATAAAACCACTAATAATAATAATAATAACTTTAATTGATATAGCTCCTTTCATCAACCCAAGGTCGCTTAACAAAGAAACATATAACAAGACATACACAAAACATAAAAAGGGGGCAGAAATGGAAGTGTTACATTGCAGGGGGGGATGAGTGAGTTAATGTTGGAAGGCTTTGTTGAACAGATGAGTTTTCAGGGTTGATTTGAAGATGTCCAGAGAAGGGGCGTTACGGATTTCAGCAGGGAGGGAGTTCCAGAGGGTGGGGGCAGCGACACTGAAGGCACGGCCCCGAAACCACTCCTACATGAATGTTCTGAAGGCTGATGCTTTGTGCAAAGAGGCCCTCTGGTGGTTCAGCTGAGTCACACAAAGTACATCTGTACACTTTGAATGGTCACTTCAAACTTGATTTAAGGAAAGCCTCTTGAGATGAACCATCTCTTTTTCGAGGGTCTCCAACAACAAAATATACAATGCAAAAAACATTAATACAGCACATCAGAGCTTTCGTTAGCCAACCCACCCACACAATACTCCCCTAAATCCGAAATAAAAGTATACAAATATATTTGCACATATGTCCATACACACACACAGGAGCTGGGAAACATATTGTAACAATTACATAATCACACACCACACACACACACACACACACACACACACACACACACACACACACACACACACACACACACACACACACATACATACCATGTATACATCACTTAAGGGGACATTACATTGACTTACATGCATTTCCTGGAGACTTATCCTAACCTTAACCATAACCAACACATGCCTAACCCTAACCCTTACCCTAACCCTAACCCTAAACCTAACCAAGTCTTCACCCTAAAATTAATGATTCCCCTTATGGGGTCCTCCAATTTGTCCCCATAAGGGAGGCGAGTCCCCACACGTGACTGTGTAAACAGATTTAGGTCCCCACAAGTATAGTAATGCTAGGCCACACACACACACACACACACACACACACACACACACACACACACACACACACACCACACACACACACACACACACACACACACACACACACACACACACACACCACACACATACCATGTGTCACTTCAGGGGACATTACATTGACTTACATGCATTTTCTGGAGACTTATCCTAACCTTAACCATAACCAACGCATGCCTAACCCTTAACCTTACCCTAACCCTAACCCTAAACCTAACCAAGTTTTCACCCTAAAATTAATGATTCCCTCATGGGGTCCTCCAATTTGTCCCCATAAGGGAGGCGAGTCCCCACACGTGACTGTGTAAACAGATTTAGGTCCCCACAAGTATAGTAATGCTAGGCCACACACACGTAAATGCAACAATTATCCTAAACTAAATTATCTGTTAAATCATAATAATTATTTATTTTAAACGTACCTGCCAGTGTTTTTGGGAATAAAATATGGTGAAGGATATGCAGCCTTGATTCTGAATCTGGTGCAATAATATAATAACTAATCTACACTTTGTTTCATAAATCTCTGTATTTTTACAGTTTCAATTATATCAATATCCAGAGCAGAGCAACCAATGCCGATATACTGTATTAGCATCTGATAAAAGGCAACCATTTTATAATAATAGTAATCCTTATTTAAATAATAATAACAGTAATAATAATAATACAAAATGAGACACAAAACAACATTTATTTAACAATGTTACTGTCTACTCTGCCTGTAGTGAACTTCATTCAAATAAATTAATACATGTATCAAAATAAATAAATGATTGTAGAAAATCAAAAAGAACAAAATAAAAATATAAATGTATGGATGAAAAATTCAGTTAACAACATTGATCAGCATATAGGAGCATTACCTTTAGATTAGAATCTTTAATGACCACACAGCCAGGCTGGTGGAATTCGTGTTCAGTGCAGAGTATTACAGCTTGTTCCATACAATTCAACATACAATAAACAGACAATAAAAAGTACAACACACAGCACAGGGCAAAGACATATCATAACATAAAGTTCAAGGTGTGGTGGATTGTTATTGTTCATTGGGGTTATTGAGAGTCCATTTAGTATCCGTATTGCAAAGGGGAAGAAGCTGCTTTTGAAGCGGGCGGGTTTGGTGGACCTGTAGCGCCTCCCCGAGGGCAGAAGTTGGAAGACATGGTGACCTGGGTGGGAGGGGTCAGAAATGATTTTATTTGCCCTTGTGACAGTTCGTTGGTGGTGAAGTGATTCGAGTGATGGAAGGGGACTGCAGGTGATTTTTGATGCTTTATTGATGATACGTTGAAGTTTATTCCGGGAGAGGTTGTCTGAACTGCTGTACCAGACTGTGATGGATGATGTGAGGATGCTTTGGATGATGTAGAACCGGATTAGGAGATGTTTCCTCCTTTTAAGAGACAAATGGCTCAGGGAAATGCTTTAATAAATAAATAATCTGCATTGTGATAGCACACATTGGCCATTAACTGAGTGTAATTACAACAGGTTTTAAAGGTTGATTTCAGTAGCATCAGTACATGCTTGCTTTAACTGACCGTACAGACAAACCGCACATACAGTATGAAGTCTGAAGGAGAGGACTGCAGCATAATGCACCAGACATTAGTGTCACAGTGGTTTCTTAGCAACAGTACACAGCAGGATGTAAGTCCCTATCATTGACTGTACAAGGATATAAAAATAGCTTCTGTTTACACATTTGGGCGTGTGTCTTGAAAATTCATCACAATTTATAGAAGGATTCCATAAAAAGGCCCTATTTCGCTTTTTGGGGCGTTCCCTCTCCTGTAGTGTGTTATATGGGTTTTTGTTGTCTGCAAAGCCTAAAATACATGCGTTCCCTACAAAAGGAGTTTCTCTCACACCCAGGTGTATGGTTTAACCATGTCCTGGATGTAGGAAGGGCCAGATCCATTCGCAGCATGGTACGCAAGTACCAGTGTCTTGAAGTGGATTCTAGCAGTTACCGGAAGCCAGTGAAGGCAGCGGAGGAGCGGAGTGGTGTGGGAAAATGTAGGAAGGTTGAAGACCAGACGAGCAGCTGCATTATGGATGAGCTGCAGAGGTCGGATGGCACATGCAGGTAGACCAGCCAGGAGGGAGTTGCAGTAGTCTAGGCGTGAGATGACGAGAGCCTGTGGCGTGGGAAAAAAATTAGGGGAAGCCAATAATACGTCCTTTCTTTTGGGTCGGGGGTGTGGTGGTCAATGTAATAACGTAACCAGATGAGTGATTACAGCACCCGGTATCATTTTACACACATTTGTATCAGATGCAGGACTTACACACGCCTGATATCTAACCGACAGGTCCGCACGCACTCTCCAGCCGAAACTCTAATAAGCATTCATTCACAAACTAAATCAGGAGACCTTTAACGTTTTACGTGCGATTCGCTCCTTTTTTCCTCGCTGTACACAGCTCCAGTTTGGGCATCGGCCTGTCATCAGATTGTATTTGTTGTTGCTGCTGTAGCGGAAGTTTAGTACAATTATTTTTGATTAAATACTCCAAATCTCCACCCTCCATAATTGCACTTGCTTCAGTTGCTTGCTACTTTCTAACGGCGGTGAGAGTGGTGCAGTGACGCTATCTATCTTCTATCGATTAGATTTATGATTAAAAAATTATAAAAGTAGGGTAGACATGTGGATATTATCCGACTGAACAAAACGTGCATTTATCTAACAGGTTCGTTTTCCACTGACCTTATTTCGAGCTATTTTCCAAAATCTTATGGAGAAATCCCATTGCTTTTTTGTTGAGGGAAACATGAGGGAAACCGAGCGCAGCTTACTTCCGGGTTTTAGGATGCGTCACTGCAACACTAAGTTGATGCGATTTGATTGGATTGTGAGGCAAGGGAAGCCAGCCGCCTCTGGCTTCCCTTGGCATGGCCCTGACTAATCACAGGTTGGCAGGGGCATGACGTGAGCCTTGTCTGATTGGTCAATCCCTCCATTTTTTTTCACCAAGGGAAGCCAATTTCGGCTGGCCTCCTCTCGCAACAGAGAGTGCAATCTACTGTTTCACCATAACATCTACAGGGGCGCTGTTTCACTCTTTGTAAAATACTCAATGAGAATGGGGGAGAGATGGACCGGCAGCAACACACAACAAAGAATTTCCGAAACTAAACAAAGTGTTTTTATTTATTTATTAAAATTATAACTACAATCTGAAAAAACAGGGGAAGCCTGGCTTCCCTTGGCCTCCAGGAGAAACCGCCACTGGTTTGCAGTGAAGGACAGGTTGTTATCTAGGATCACACCCAGATTCCTTGCAGTCTGAGTCGGGGAAACAACAGAGGTGCCGATGTTGATAGTCAGGTCAAGAGTGGGACAATCTTTTCCCGGAAAAGCAGTTCTTGTCAAGGTTGAGCTTGAGGTGATGAGCAGACATCCACTGAGAGATGTCAGCTAGACAAGCAGAGATGCGTGCGACGACCTGGGTCTCTGAGCGGGGAAAAGACAAAATTAATTGAGTGTCGTCAGCGTAGCAATGATATGAAAAACCATGCGAGCTAATGACTGATCCGAGCGAGTTTGTGTACAGAGAGAAGAGGAGGGGAACGAGGACAGAGCCCTGAGGGACCCCTGTAGTTAATTGACAAGGGTCGGACTCGGACCCTCTCCAAGTTACCCTGTAGGTGCGGTCTTTGAGGTAGGAGGTGAGGAGGGAAAGCGCAGAGCCTGAAACTCCAAGTGCTTGGAGAGTGTGAAGGAGGATCTGATGGTTCACCGTGTCGAATGCAGCAGACAGGTCCAAAAGGATGATGACAGAGGAGAGGGAAGCTGCTTTAGCCGTGTGCAGTTCCTCAGAGACAGCGAGGAGAGCAGTTTCTGTAGAGTGACGGTCAGTGTTGGAGGTCAGCATCTTGGTGGAGTAGAGAAAGGCCGGCAGTCTGAAGCAGCAGCCGGAGACCATGTAGGCCCTCACAGTGCGAGCCAGCTGCACGATATAGCCCTGGCACAGCGACGGCAGCACCTGCAGGGGACACAGTTACATTTAAAGAGGCCCTATTATTATTATTATTTTACGCTATATTCAACATGATTTGTCCAGACTTTGGCCATTCAACCTTACTTAATTTTGAAATGTTATGTTTATCTAGTTTTCAAATGCAAATGACATTGAAATGCTTAATAAAAAAACAACAACGTCGCAATACGTTTTAAAGGTTAACAGTATTTTTTTTACAAGAAAAAACGTTTTTAAACTTCTCTTCCCTTGTATTTAATGTACAGTATTTTCCCACACATGGTACAAAATGCAAGAGTTTTTTTAGCTGCATTAAGCGAATAGAAATACTACTACGGAAAAAGTACGGTGACCGATACATGCAAACCCACTTCAACGGCCTAAAACACTTACATTAGGATAAACCCACTGCACTTCAAAAACAATGTAAATATAAAAACACAAACGTGCCAAAACTAATGCAAATGAAGATCTTCACCAACTTGATGAAACATGCGCAGCATTAACTTAAAGCTGCAATAAACGGAACGGAAATCAAAGGTAATGATATTAAAATATAAAGTGAAAAAAGGTTTGCACATAAAGTGTGGTGCATGGAGACTCTCTCACCTGTTTATCTGAGTGATAGAGAACCAGCAGTGTGAAGGGCACCACCTGAAGGACGCTGACTGTGTATCCTGTTACAGCCGCCATGACAGTAACTGTCATCACACTGTCTGATACACCAAGCGGTGGCCAACACCATCAGAGCCACACTGCAGTGCTGATGTACACCAGCCTGGCCCCCAGCAGAGAAATCCATCGGTCCATAATGGCGGAGCAGAGCACGGACACCACGCACTGCAGGAAGAGAGCCGGACTGGCCATACGCACACCTGGACAGCAGGGAATACAGAGGTATGAGCACAATGTATGATTTTAATTTGTTAGCTTAGATTTTGGAGCTTGGCCACGCCTTAACCCCCTCTCTAATCAGTGCTTAATATACTAATTTCCGGCCCAAAACATCCAGCCACCGTTTGTGTCCATTCTCTCAACCAACCCTCCCTCTCCCTTCCACTCATACATCCCTATTTCTACCTCATCCTTAGCCAGACCCCCTTCATTGATTCATCCCTCACTCTCTCATCCCTTCAAAATAATAATAATAATTTCAATTTATATAGCGATTTTCACGAAACCCAAGGACGCTTTACAATGGGAAACCCTCCCTTCCCTTATCCCTTCATTGAACAATCCCTCCACCCCTCATCCCTTTATCCCTTCAGCCCTCCCTTCCATTATCTCTTCATCCACCAATCCCTCCATCCCTCCCTTCCCTTATTCCTTCATCCCTACATCCCTTCCCTCCTTTTTCCCTTCATCCACTAATCTCTTCCCCCTCCCTTCCTTTATCCCTTTATTTGTTGAGATAATGTGCGCAGCTGAAGAAGTTTACTCTACCTTCATCGTAGTTTAGTCTTTCCTGTGACAGCGTCTCTGCGCTCGCCACATCGCGGTACAATCCCTCACCCATGAAATCACCAAAGATGATCATGAAGCTCTCCAGTGCTGTCCAGCTGCACAGCTCCAACAGAAACAGTCTCTTAATGATTGGTGGAACGCTCACAAACGCTGTGTCAGCACGAGGTAACACTGAGGAACACGCTGATGCACACCCGCCCAGTTTGACCAGGAAACACCTCGGTAGACTGAGGGACGAGCGAGGGCAGATTCTGCTGCTTTGCAAGGTCTTACTCCCTCCTCCTCTGGTTTCTTTCTTCTCTGGGATGAAGACGGTGGTGAGAACGCAGCTGAAGAAGACGAGGGTGGTAACAGGGTGAAGATGAAGGTCTCCAGCCCTCCCAGGTATATTGAAATGTGTGCTTGGCTCCAGTCCACGGCAGAATCACATATCTGGATTTAGAGATACAGTGGTTGACGGCAGTTATAACAGCCCACAACACTTACATTAGGAGAAACCAGCTGAACTTTCAAAACTGATGTAAATGGGTCATTCCAGAATTGGAGGACATTTCATGTCCCCCATATAAGAAATCTAATAATCCATGCCCAAAAAGCTAAAACATGCACTTGTTGTGTTAAACATACTTGTCTTGAGACAAAATGTATATAAAGTTGTAGAAAAAGTGGGTTCAAAATATTATTTAAATGATCAAATAGCTCTCGAACATCCCCTAAAATGGCATTTTTCTCTTGTCCCCGCTTCTTGGTGACCAACTTGCATGCCAAATATAACATTTAAAATAGGGATTTTATTATTCTATTGATATATGTCTCTTGTAATGGTAAAATCAATTTGTTAAATCATAAACATATTTTAGATAACAGTAATTTTGCACAGAAGGTGTGTCCCTCAACATGCGTTAAACCCTGTTACCCAAACCTTTTTAGATTGGCAGAGGGAGTGAAAAAACTGTAAATCAGATGACACAGTGGAAGTGACATCAGCAAGCCATGTGCTAGTGCCATGGGTAGACCAAAACTAAGTCCTCTCTTTTATTTTTCATATTTTTACAATCTTTTCAGTCTTAAAAGAGTGTGGCACTCTGACCCACTCAACCCTGTTACTGATATTATCAGAATAAAGCATATTAATTTCAAAGTTATCTTTCTTGCATTAGATATCCAAGTTTGTCCTTGCCTTGAAAGTAGCATTACATGCTACATCTAGCAATAATTACTGAGGTTAAAGCTCAAATTAGCATTGATTTTCAACCGTTACTTTCAACCCTGTTACTATAATGAGTAACAGTAATTCTTCATTGGAAAATATTAATTTGATGCCTAGCTGGGCAAATCACTTTTTTTGATGGTTTATTATCTGTTTTTCCTAAATACATAAAAAAAATTATAAAATAAAAGGTACATTTTTTAAAAATGTTGGTGTCTAAATTGTCCTCCAATTCTGGAATGACCCACCCCTTATTTTGCGTTCACACCAAAAAGAGTACTTAGTGCCGGGAACTTTTACCCCCATTTTTAGTGCCTGCTAGAGAGGTGGTACTATCCTGGGGAGAAAAAAGTACCAATTTCTATTGGCTGGGCGAATTGCAAACCACGCCCCGTAAAACTCTGAAAAGCTTTGTGAAGCCGCCATTGCATTTGCTGGCATTAGCATTATTAGCATTAGCCAACGGAGAGAGAATAACAGGTTAAAAGAAAACAAATAAAAGGTTCATTTTTCAAATATGTTGGTGTCTAAATTGTCCTCCAATTCTGGAATGCCTAAATGTGCCAAAATACATGCTGCTAATGAAGAAACATCTTCACCAACAACATGACAACACATGTGCAGCGTTTACTTCACACACTGTAAACCAAACGCTGCAAATACAAAGCCCTGCAAGAAGCCCAAAACACAACGGAAACCAGGGGACACTAAAAACTGACGCACACAGCTGGGACCGGAGCACTTGAGAGGTTTCTCAATACTCAAATTTCGCCTCCTCGACTCCTCGGTCCTCCGGTAGTGACCCGGAAATGAATTTCAGCGCGCCATTTTGAAGGACATCTCATTTCTCTAAATGCACACCGAGGACCGAGCATCGAGCGTCGAGGAGGCTCTCTGGAGGGGCTCTAACCGAGGAGACACTGATGGTTCCTCCACGGCTCCTCCGCGGATGCATTTCCGGGAACGGTGGAGGCGTGACGCACGGCCGGACTTATCTCAGCCAATGACAGCTCTGCATGCATCCCCTGGATATTATTTTAGAAACTGCTTTCATCGCGTCGCGATGTTTCCAGAGAGAACAGCTGTAAGGTCCATCCAGAAAGCAGAGCAGTGTGTATAATATATATCACTCAGTATAACAGGCCTACTCTCTTTATTTGCTTTAGTAGATAACTACAAACAAAGAGTCGATATTTTCTCAGACCATTTAGTGCTTCACATAATAAAATACACAACGGCTGTAGCCTGATTATGCTTTAGGAGCTGTAGGTGTGTGTGGTACAGTGTGTAGGTGTGTGTGGTACAGTGTGTAGGTGTGTGTGTGGTACAGTGTGTAGGTGTGTGTTGTACAGTGCGTAGATGCGGCGGACAGACGGGTCTCAGTTGGTTTGGTGTCCTATGCTTACTTTTAATACTTGTACAACTTTTGGCCCGTAATTTCAATTCCCCATTTCAGCGACCAGAGAGAGGGGGGTGGATATATCCAGTCTCTGATTGTGTTACGTTATTATGAGAGTGCTCTCATACTTGTTTGATTCTGAAATTGTATATATTTATATAAATATGTGTGTGTGTGTGTGTGTGTCCGCATCTGTAGCCTGTTATTGTCTCATTATACCGCACTGTGAATGAATTAAAAGTAAATATATAAGTGGTCATGAACACATCTGTCCATCAGACAGAGGGCTGCTGTGCCTCCTGTCATCATTAATGGACGTCTCGTTACAATGACCGCTCAGAGGAGAGGAGTTCTCATTTCTCTAACCGCCTGCTGCTTCCACTCCTCTCTCCTCGGCTCCCCTCCTCAGTCCTCCGCTCGCATCTCCTGTGGGCGGCACCAAGTATCGAGGAGGGGAGTCGAGGATAGGAGTCGAGGAGGGGAAATTTGAGTATTGAGAAACCTCTAATGTTTGTAGATATCTACTAAACTACAGCAAATAAAGAGAGTAGGCCTGTTATACTGAGTGATATATATTATGCACACTGCTCTGCTTTCTGCATGGACCTCACAGCTGTTATCTCTGGAAACATCGCGACGCGATGAAAGCAGTTAATAAAATAATATCCAGGGGATGCATGCAGAGCTGTCATTGGCTGAGATAAGTCCGGCCGTGCGTCACGACTCTTTGAAACATCTCTGTTCCCGGAAATGCATCCACGAAGGAGCCGTGGAGGACCGTGGAGGACCCATCAGTGTCTCCTCGGTTAGAGCTCATCCAGAGAGCCTCCTCGATGCTCGGTCCTCGAAGTGCATTTAGAGAAATTAGATGTCCTTCAACATGGCGCGCTGAAATTCATTTCCGGGTCACTACCGGAGGACCGAGGAGTCGAGGAGGGGGATTTGATGAAATGAGAAAGGGCCAAGGTATCATGCAGTTCAAGTTCAACAGGTTGCTGGTTCAAGTAATCTGGTGAGGGAGGATCTTCTACTGCATTCCTTTGATTTAATTTGACCCTTATGTTGTGTTCGGGTCTCCCGTGACCCGTTTCAAGTTAAAATTATATGATAACTACATACTAGTTTTTTTTAAAGGAACAAGTGTTAAGGGAAATGTTTACATATGTCCTCAGTTATTGTATGTATAGACTAGAGATTGTGTATATTCTGTACTATAGGGATGTAATACTGTTATTGTACCAGTGTGAGGCACTGTAGTATTACGTGCTACGTAATGACCAGTCTTGCGTCATGTAAATGAGGGTGTGTTCACCTGATGCACGTGTACACTGGCTGAGCGAAGGAATCACCTGTGATGCAGAGGAATACATCATGCTCAAGGGCTAAACAGTTCATTGTCTCCATCTCCAATATTTCTCTCCGAGTGCAGCGTAAGAAGAAGCTGCCATCCTAAACCTCAACAACAAGGCTTCATGATAACAACTATATAAACACTAAAAAACAGATTTTGACAATTTTAGCCAAGGTCTCTAAAAATAAAGTGTATAATTTGGTGTTCGGGTCTGGGAAGACCCAGCAGCATTGTTGTGGGTGACTCGGGGTCAAATTTGGCCCAATCAAGAATCATCTTTGATTTGACCCACCCCACCCCCTTCATCCACTGTAACAATAATTGTTCACAACATGCACCTGGTCTCCCATCCCCCCACAGGAACTCCACCTTCCTCAAAGAAATATGTACACACACACACACACACACACACACACACACACACACACACACACACACACACACACACACACACACACACACACACACACACACACACACACACACACACACACACACACAATCTTGTGGCATGAACAACATTGTCCAACAAAAGCTTTTTTACCTTTTTCTAGCATGAATCTATATGGGTAAATTTTGACCTGTAACACCACAGAGATTACTGTAGTTAATCATTTAAAGTTGGGGGGAAATTGTATTCTAATATTAGTCTATTATAGTCAGGTAACATAATTATCCACTGTCTTCACTATAGGGAATATAATGAGTGAATTTAATCAAATGTTTTACTTAAATATGTGGTGTAATGTGTTTTGGGGCCATAAAATACAATTACAACAGGAATGTACGGTTATGAATGTATTATAAGTTAGTTATGATGTAGTTAAAACAATATTGGATGATACTCATTATTTGTGAGTGTTTTGGACTGAGATAAATCATGGGTCAAAATTGACTCGTGAACACCATGAATGGTAACAGCTTTCGAACACAATACAAGGGTTAATACAAATCCTAATCTAAAAAACTAAAAGGTTTCAAAAAATGTTGATTCAGAATCTGGTTGATTGCATACTGGCTTTACACAAACTAGGAATTTGGAAAATGTGTATAATGTATAACTATTACGTTACCATTGACTGTTAGCAGGCTCAATGTCGAGTCAAGGCAACATAATAAAGGAGACGGTAGCCGAAGTAATCAAAAAAAGAATTTAATTAATAATTACCACCATGGTTGAAACAAAGGAAATATAAAGTAATGACAGACAAGAACACATACTGCACAGACAGGATCAGCCCCAGACAAAGGGTAAGGCAGAATACTTATACATGAGGTACTGACGAGACAAGACACACCTGGGTTAATTACAAATGGGTACACCTGGATAAACCATATAAAAACCATAACAGGAAACTACAGCTAGACATGAAACATCACACTAGGAGCGCCTGATCAGGGCACAAACACATAACACCCCCAAAAAAAATACGAATTGTACTAACAGCACCGGTATGGACGGCCCTAACCCCCACTCCACCCCATGGATAAATAGCACCCCCCCCCCCCCCCCCCCCCCCCCCCCCCCCCCCCTGTCGACACAGTCCTCCATTCTGGGCAATGGAAAACTATCAGGCCTAGTCACGTTATTTACCCGGCGAAAATCCGTACAAAACCTATCTGTCTTGTCTGACTTATCAACCAATAAGCACGGCGAGCTCCATGGGCTGAAACTGGGCTCAGCGATATTGTTAGTGAGCATGTATTCCACCTCTTTCTGTAACCGCGCCCGCTTATATGGATTCACGCGATACGCGTGCTGTTTAATGGGTAATGCCTCCTCACATCGATGTCATGTTGTAATACGGTCGTGCGCGAAGGAATATCGGAGAACAGCTCACAATGAGACCCAACCAAACCCCTGATATCATCTCGCTGCGTTGTTGATAAATGACCAAGATGACAGTCAAGAGTGATCAATGACTCAGTGTTTGTCAACCGTCCCTCCACGACCGCCTTGGATGGAATAATGACGTCATCTTCCAGTTCTCCAACCCCCTCTGAAAAACAAAGACTGTCATTACTCTCATCAACGCTAGATGGGGCCAACATACAAACTGACATCGGCATAGTGGACACACTCGCAGAGGGAACAACAATACTGTCAATAGGATTCACCAGAGGCTCCCTCACATAATATGGCTTAATCATATTAACATGACACAAGCGAGTCTTCCGCCCACGATCCGGTGTTTCGATCAGGTAGTCCAAATCCCCTACTTTCTCTCTAACCAGGTATGGCCCACTAAACCGTGCTTGTAAGCTGGAGCCTGGGACAGGCAACAACACTAAAACCCTCTCCCCTGGCACAAACGTTCTATCCCGAGCCTTCCTGTCATACCAGCCCTTCATCCTCCCCTGTGTGTCACTCAGATGTGTCCTCGCTAGTTCACATGCCCTCTTCAGTTTCTCCCTAAAGCCACAGACATAGTCTAACAGGTTCTTCGGCTCGCTCTCCCCCAACCACTTCTCCCTCAGCAGCTTAAGCGGCCCCCTAACCGAATGCGCAAATACCAGCTCTGCAGGACTGAATCCCAAAGATTCCTGCACCACCTCCCTTGCGGCAAACAACATTAAATGAACCCCTTCATCCCAGTCGTCCTTCGTGTCACGACAGAACCTTTCCAAAGCCCCCTGGGATTGTGGGTGATATGGGCTAGAGAAACTATGCGATATATCCAGCTGCTTTAAAACCTGCGAGAAGATGCGGGATAAAAAAATTGTACCTTGGTCGGACTGTACCACGCGAGGCAAACCAAAAACGGAGAAAAACCTCACCAAGGCCTGTGACACTGTTTTGGCCGTTATCCGTTTCAGTGGAATCGCTTCCGGAAACCGTGTGTTGGCACACATAATGGTCAAAAGAAAGCTATTACCTGCCTTGGTTCTAGGGAGTGGACCCACACAATCAATGATAACCCTCTCAAAAGGTTCCCCCACTGCCGGGATAGGGTAGAGTGGCGCTGGTGGAATGACCCCGTTAGGTTTACCCACCACCTGACACGTTGAACACCCCCTGCAGTGCTGCACCACATCCCGTTTCAACCCTGGCCAAAAAAATTGACGCAGCACTCTATCATATGTCTTATTGACCCCCAGATGTCCTGCGAGCCTGTGATCGTGAGCCAAACACAGAATATCGTGACGGTATCTAAACGGAACCACAACCTGCGTCACCACATTCCAATCATTCTCCGCTGACGCGTCGAGGCTAGGAGACCATTTACGCAGCAATACCCCGTCCCTCAGGATATAGCAACTTTTAGAAACCTCACTCTCTCCCACTCCCACAGTGTTCGCAAAAAGGCCTGACAGGCTTGGATCTCTACCCTGTTCCGCGATAAGCTCCTCGCGAGCAAAAGAAAACCCAGCCGCGCTACTGGCAGACTCACACGAGGAAGTAGAGGGCAGTAAAGGGCTGAGACCGGCTGGAATAGATGGAAGAACAGCATCACATTCAAGAGGGGCAATTTCAGGAACAAGCTGAGACGATGACCACAAGTCGGGTTGCCCCGGGAGCGCCCCCTCCACCTCAGGCTCCCGTGGTACTGCACCCTGGGGATTATCCATAAGTGGGTCACGACAGTCAGGCACCCCGTTAACAGTCGCTATGATGGTATCAAACAAGTCCACGTCGTCCTTTTCCTCGGCCAGAGCCTTAATAACCATGGCCCGCGTGACTGCACATGAGGAGAACACCCTCGGATACGCATCCGCCAGGACATCCACCGCCCCAGACTCTGCTGGCACACAAGTCACATCTGCCTTCACGAGGACCCTACCCCCTGCCAGATCATTCCCGAGGATTAATGACACGCCCTCGACAGGAAAACAAGTTTCCACCCCAATTACCACTGGCCCCGACACCAACTCAGATGTAAGATAGATAGTGTGAAACGGAACTTCCATGACATGCATTCCAAAAGACCTGACAGTTATCCCAGCATCCACCTCTGAACCACTGTCAAAAGGCAGCACATCTCTCCGAATAAATGACTGGGACGCAGCCGTATCCCTTAATATGGTCACAGGAACCTTCACCCCTTCGCCGGACAAGGATACAAACCCCTCACTGATGAACGGTAAGTAAGCTTTCATATCCTCACCCCTTTGGGCATCCCTACTCAGAGATGTGTGTGTGGGTGTGGGTGTCATTACCAACGATATTTGTTTACTGGGACGGGTAAGGGCAAAACAGTTCTCCTTTATGTGGCCTTTTTTACCACAGTGGAAACACTCACGCATTTCTCCCCTCATTCCCCGCTTAGCAACCTCGCCCACACTGCCACCGCCAGAGGCCACAGGCCTGTCACCCAAGCCCCACCTCGGTCTACTCTCCACACTGCGCACGGGATAATTAGGTCTGTCAAAGAGCACTTTGTGCGTCAACACAAACTCATCCGCAAGGCTCGCAGCCACCGAGCACTCAGTCACCTTATGTTCATTAATGTACATCGCCACATTATCGGGCAAACAATAGGACTTAAACTCCTCAAGAAGCACGAGTTCCCGCATCTTAACCAAAGTGTCCACCTTCTCCGACGCGCACCAACGATCAAACAACATCTCCTTCTCGTAAGCAAACTCCACGTAGGTCTGCACATTGTTCTTTCTAAGAGCGCGAAACCTCTGCCTATACGCCTCCGGCACAAGCTCGTAAGCCCTAAGGATAGCAGCCTTCACCACGGCGTAATCCTGGGTGTTTGGGCAAAGTGACGCGTAAACGTGTTGTGCTTTCCCGGTGAGTGCGCTCTGGAGAAGTAATGTCCACTGGTCATTAGGCCATTTCAGAGTTGTGGCTATATTTTCGAACATAGAAAAATATTTGTCAACATCCTTCTCTGAAAATTGCGGGACCAGACGTAGGTGCCTAGTAGCATCGAACCTAGCTTCAAGATGCACTGCCCGCGCCTCTACCTTAAAGAGTCCTCTCCTGCTGATGTTCAGGTGTATATCAGTATGTATTGTCTCTACTTTAAAGAGTCCTCTCCTGCTGATGTTCAGGTGTATATCAGTATGTATTGTCTCTACTTTAAAGAGTCCTCTCCTGCTGGTGTTCAGGTGTATATCAGTATGTATTGTCTCTACTTTAAAGAGTCCTCTCCTGCTGATGTTCAGGTGTATATCAGTATGTAGTGTCTCTACTTTAAAGAGTCCTCTCCTGCTGATGTTCAGGTGTATATCAGTATGTAGTGTCTCTACTTTAAAGAGTCCTCTCCTGCTGATGTTCAGGTGTATATCAGTATGTAGTGCCTCTACTTTAAAGAGTCCTCTCCTGCTGATGTTCAGGTATATATCAGTATGTAGTGTCTCTACTTTAAAGAGTCCTCTCCTGCTGATGTTCAGGTGTATATCAGTATGTAGTGTCTCTACTTTAAAGAGTCCTCTCCTGCTGATGTTCAGGTGTATATCAGTATGTAGTGTCTCTACTTTAAAGAGTCCTCTCCTGCTGATGTTCAGGTGTATATCAGTATGTATTGTCTCTACTTTAAAGAGTCCTCTCCTGCTGATGTTCAGGTGTATATCAGTATGTAGTGTCTCTACTTTAAAGAGTCCTCTCCTGCTGATGTTCAGGTGTATATCAGTATGTAGTGTCTCTACTTTAAAAAGTCCTCTCCTGCTGATGTTCAGGTGTATATCAGTATGTAGTGTCTCTACTTTAAAGAGTCCTCTCCTGCTGATGTTCAGGTGTATATCAGTATGTAGTGTCTCTACTTTAAAGAGTCCTCTCCTGCTGATGTTCAGGTATATATCAGTATGTAGTGTCTCTACTTTAAAGAGTCCTCTCCTGCTGATGTTCAGGTGTATATCAGTATGTAGTGCCTCTACTTTAAAGAGTCCTCTCCTGCTGATGTTCAGGTGTATATCAGTATGTAGTGTCTCTACTTTAAAGAGTCCTCTCCTGCTGATGTTCAGGTATATATCAGTATGTAGTGTCTCTAATTTAAAGAGTCCTCTCCTGCTGATGTTCAGGTGTATATCAGTATGTAGTGTCTCTACTTTAAAGAGTCCTCTCCTGCTGATGTTCAGGTGTGTATCAGTATGTAGTGTGTCTACTTTAAAGAGTCCTCTCCTGCTGATGTTCAGGTGTATATCAGTATGTAGTGTCTCTACTTTAAAGAGTCCTCTCCTGCTGATGTTCAGGTGTATATCAGTATGTAGTGTCTCTACTTTAAAGAGTCCTCTCCTGCTGATGTTCAGGTGTATATCAGTATGTAGTGTCTCTACTTTAAAGAGTCCTCTCCTGCTGATGTTCAGGTGTGTATCAGTATGTAGTGTCTCTACTTTAAAGAGTCCTCTCCTGCTGATGTTCAGGTGTGTATCAGTATGTAGTGTCTCTAATTTAAAGAGTCCTCTCCTGCTGATGTTCAGGTGTATATCAGTATGTAGTGTCTCTACTTTAAAGAGTCCTCTCCTGCTGATGTTCAGGTGTATAATCAGTATGTAGTGTCTCTACTTTAAAGAGTCCTCTCCTGCTGATGTTCAGGTGTGTATCAGTATGTAGTGTCTCTACTTTAAAGAGTCCTCTCCTGCTGATGTTCAGGTGTATATCAGTATGTAGTGTCTCTACTTTAAAGAGTCCTCTTCTGCTGATGTTCAGGTGTATATCAGTATGTAGTGTCTCTACTTTAAAGAGTCCCTCCTGCTGATGTTCAGGTGTATATCAGTATGTAGTGTCTCTACTTTAAAGAGTCCTCTCCTGCTGATGTTCAGGTGTATATCAGTATGTAGTGTCTCTACTTTAAAGAGTCCTCTCCTGCTGATGTTCAGGTGTATATCAGTATGTAGTGTCTCTACTTTAAAGAGTCCTCTTCTGCTGATGTTCAGGTGTATATCAGTATGTAGTGTCTCTACTTTAAAGAGTCCTCTCCTGCTGATGTTCAGGTGTATATCAGTATGTAGTGTCTCTACTTTAAAGAGTCCTCTCCTGCTGATGTCAGGTGTATATCAGTATGTAGTGTCTCTACTTTAAAGAGTCCTCTCCTGCTGATGTTCAGGTGTATATCAGTATGTAGTGTCTCTACATGTCTCCATGCTTTAATGTTCAAAAAGCTCTTTATTTTTCTCATACTGCCTGTGCTGCAGCACCTCCTTTCTGTTTACTCTGTCTGAAACCAGAGCCCAGTCTGCTCTGATTGGTTAGCTGGCCGGCTTTGTTGTGATGTCCCGCCTATCACTTACAATGTGTTGGAGCGCTAGCCAATAGGAGCCCGAGTGTTACATAGTGATGTCACTATGTTCAGGAAGTAAACAAAGGAGTCCAATAGAGAAGGATATTTTAGAGATGTTAGCCTTTGAAGACCATGTACATGCACGGAAACCTAAATAACACACCACAGGAAAGGGACAACCCCAAAAAGCATTATAGGGCCCCTTTAACTTATTCACATCTAGATTGAAGGGTTAACGTTGTGCACAAATTAAGACGTGAATGTGTGTAACTCACCAGCGCACAGAAGTCTGTCAGACACACAGCTCCAGCCTGCAGAGCGGATATCAGCCAGGGTTTTGAGGACAGGTGCGCGGCCCCTGGCATGAGCTCCAGCCCTATTATGATTCCCAGGCTGAACACCCAGATAAACGGCCGGCGACGACCAAAATGACCCTGCCACGAATCGCTCGCTACGCCAATGACCGGTAGAAAGATCAATGCTAGTACTAGGGCCCCCGCTGGCAAAAAGAGGACATTTCTGAATACATTGGTTATGAAATACATTGCTGGACAATGAGAAACTGGCAGGTAACATCAGAAAAAATTTAGGCAAGACATCTTCTGCTCTACACCTGTAGTAAAAGTGACACAAGAGTTTCTCTTCTCTTTCTCCAAGTATTTCTCTTTTCACATGTAATCTGCAAGCGTCTTAATAGTCTGTCTGTTCTCTCTACTGAACCACAGTGACCCAGCTGACTGGAGCCAAGGAATGAGGCCATTATGCTAATTACAGACCAGAGGTGGGAAGGAGGTGGAGTATAAATACCTCGTTACCGTACTTAAGTACATGTTTCTGGTATCAGTACTTTACTCCACTATTTTATTTTCTGACAACTTTTCACTTCTACTTCTTAAATTTTGAACACATATACCTGTACTTTCTACTTCTTACATGTTGAACCCAAATACCTGTACCTTCTACTTCTTACATGTTGAACTCAAATACCTGTACTTTCTACTTCTTACATGTTGAACTCAAATACCTGTACTTTCTACTTCTTACATGTTGAACTCAAATACCTGTACTTTCTACTTCTTACATGTTGAACCCAAATACCTGTACCTTCTACTTCTTACATGTTGAACTCAAATACCTGTACTTTCTACTTCTTACATGTTGAACACTAATACCTGTACTTTCTACTTCTCACATGTTGAACCCAAATACCTGTACTTTCTACTTCTTACATGTTGAACACAAATACCTGTACTTTCTACTTCTCACATGTTGAACCCAAATACCTGTACTTTCTACTTCTTACATGTTGAACACAAATACCTGTACTTTCTACTTCTTACATGTTGAACCCAAATACCTGTACTTTCTACTTCTTACATGTTGAACACAAATACCTGTACTTTCTACTTCTTACATGTTGAACCCAAATACCTGTACTTTCTACTTCTCACATGTTGAACTCAAATACCTGTACTTTCTACTTCTTACATGTTGAACCCAAATACCTGTACTTTCTACTTCTTACATGTTGAACTCAAATACCTGTACTTTCTACTTCTTACATGTTGAACTCAAATACCTGTACTTTCTACTTCTTACATGTTGAACTCAAATACCTGTACTTTCTACTTCTTACATGTTGAACCCAAATACCTGTACTTTCTACTTCTTACATGTTGAACTCAAATACCTGTACTTTCTACTTCTTACATGTTGAACTCAAATACCTGTACTTTCTACTTCTTACATGTTGAACCCAAATACCTGTACTTTCTACTTCTTACATGTTGAACTCAAATACCTGTACTTTCTACTTCTTACATGTTGAACCCAAATACCTGTACTTTCTACTTCTTACATGTTGAACCCAAATACCTGTACTTTCTACTTCTCACATGTTGAACCCAAATACCTGTACTTTCTACTTCTTACATGTTGAACACAAATACCTGTACTTTCTACTTCTCACATGTTGAACCCAAATACCTGTACTTTCTACTTCTTACATGTTGAACACAATACCTGTACTTTCTACTTCTCACATGTTGAACCCAAATACCTGTACTTTCTACTTCTTACATGTTGAACACAAATACCTGTACTTTCTACTTCTTACATGTTAACCCAAATACCTGTACTTTCTACTTCTTACATGTTGAACACAAATACCTGTACTTTCTACTTCTTACATGTTGAACCCAAATACCTGTACTTTCTACTTCTCACATGTTGAACTCAAATACCTGTACTTTCTACTTTACATGTTGAACCCAAATACCTGTACTTTCTACTTCTCACATGTTGAACCCAAATACCTGTACTTTCTACTTCTTACATGTTGAACACAAATACCTGTACTTTCTACTTCTCACATGTTGAACCCAAATACCTGTACTTTCTACTTCTTACATGTTGAAACAAATACCTGTACTTTCTACTTCTTACATGTTGAACTCAAATACCTGTACTTTCTACTTCTTACATGTTGAACACAAATACCTGTACTTTCTACTTCTTACTCAATACCTGTACTTTCTACTTCTTACATGTGAACACAAATACCTGTACTTTTCTACTTCTTACATGTTGAACACAAATACCTGTACTTTCTACTTCTTACATGTTGAACTCAAATACCTGTACTTTCTACTCTTACATGTTGAACACAATACCTGTACTTTCTACTTCTCACCTGTTGAACTCAAATACCTGTAACTTTCTACTTCTTACATGTTGAACTCAAATACCTGTACTTTCTACTTCTTACATGTTGAACTCAAATACCTGTACTTTCGACTTCTTACATGTTGAACTCAAATACCTGTACTTTCTACTTCTTACATGTTGAACCCAAACACCTGTACTTTCTACTTCTCTCATTTCCCAAACAAGCTGGTTCCTTTAGTCTGAATGTGTGTTTGATGCGTGATCATTATTCATTTAGAGTCATTGCGTGCCTATTGATTTGAACACGATCCGTGTATCCATCATTTCCTGGTCTTCTCTAAAGAAGAGGGACCAATGGAAACGTTGTCATGTTGCCGTTGTTCAGCATGGAAACATTCATTAGCTAACAATGACATTATTGTTCTATTAATATAAAGGGAGGTCAGGTACTCTTTAAAACAGCTGCTTGTTATGGGGACTTTTTACTGAAGTACATTTCAAAGCCTCTTTACTTTTACTTGAGTAAAGAAGTTTAGTCAGTACTTGACACTTAAACACGAGTGTCTGTACTTCTACTTGAGTAAAGGATGTGTGTACTTTTGCCATCTCTGTTACTGATCCGGGAGTAACGGACAACATGCAGGTAACTAGTAATTGTAACCTCCCAACCCAGTGTAGTTTATCCACTTACCGAACACCATGGTCATGTGCTGTTTCTCCATGCCTCTCTGCATCAATAGAGGTGGTACGTAGACGTTTCCCACAGCGATGCACATATTCAGACCAAATTATATTGTGCACACCATGAGCATCATCCTCAACGGATTTTCCTTCTCCATCTTTGGTTTATGTTTGCAGTATTTAAAGCCTGGCTGTCCGTTTTTTTAGGATGTCTTTGTCATAATGTGTCGCGACACCTTTTTAGACTTTCTTATCTATGTTTGTTGGCATTAGATAAGTCTTTCTTTAAGGACAAACAACGCTTCCCATCAGAGAACAACTTGTATACAACTTCAGCCGGCGTGCCGTCTTCTTGAGAGTATAGCACTCCCTTCTCTCCTGTAAATATATTGGGCCTATAAGAGACAAAAAAGCACCTGTTACTTATAGAATAATTGAAGGTTTCCATGTGCAAATTGGTAATGTTGCTACATAATCATGTTCTGACTTGAATTAACTTGCATTTTCTCTAAATTTCATGTTTGCGCCTGTTGTAAATGGGGTCATAAAGTTACCTGCACACTTTTCAGATGACCTGAAAAGTAAGTACTTCACTTACTCACATACCCCCTGTAATAATAATAATAATAATAATAAATGATATTTATATAGCGCCTTTCAAGGGACCCAAGGTTGGTGTACATGGTGGACAAACAAAACAAACCAAAACAAATAAAGGAAGCCGAGGGACCAAGAAAGGGCTAGGGCCCGAAGGCCAGGGTGAACAGGTGTGTTTTGAATGATGATTTGAAGATGTCCAGGGAGGCATCATTACGGATCTCGGCAGGAAGTGCCGAGATCCGTAGGGTGGGGGCCGCAACACTGAATGCCCTGTCACCAACAGTTCGGAGGCAAGAGCGGGGGATGGAGAGCAGGCCCGTGTCTGAGGACCGCAGACTCCGAGAAGGGGTGTAGGGATGGAGGAGGTCCGATAAGTACTGGAGGGACTTGTACGTGAGGAGGAGTGTACCCTGAATTCTCAGAAAAACACTTCACATATGTGTTCAGAAGTGTGAGGAATCTATCTGCCGTAAACTAGGTTAACATTAATAGTAGGTGAAAATCATAACTGTAAATATCCTCCACTTATAATCCATGATCTGTTAAGTTTTCTGTGCGGTACAGCATATACAATAAAAAAACACTAATTTCCTTGAATGAAATTCACGCAACTCTTAATATTAGATAGGCTACTGTGTTTTTAAGTGCGATGGAGATTATTTGTTGACCCTGCTTTAAAGGATATTTTGCCCTTACAAATGGTGCGCTCTATCACTGCCTGGGTTTTGGTTGAAGTGCATCCAAATGCTGCTGCGTTTTCGCGTTTGGCTCATTTTCCATCCGAAAAACACGTTGTCTACCTGTCCTGTACCACTTGTTATGACTTCTCTCTCTCGCGTATTCCGTTAAGACCCACCCCATCTCGCTCCTCGTGCTGAAACCTACCAATCAGAGTAGGGGCGGGTCTTCACAGAATACGTGTGGGGAACAAAATCAAGCTTTTTAAAAGGCGAGTGGAGTTTGGCAGGCAGTAGGCGCGTTCACACCGGAGTACTTTTCCCCGTACTTTTCCCGTTTAGTTTCGTTAATACCCGGGTCATTCCAGAATTGAAGAAATCTAATAATCCATGCCCAAAATGCTAAAACATGCACTTGTTGTGTTAAACATACTTGTATTGAGACACAATGTATATAAAGTTGTAGAAAAAGTGGGTTCAAAATATTATTTAAATGATCAAATAGCTCTCGAACATCCCCTAAAATGGCATTTTTCTCTTGTCCCCGCTTCTTGGTGACCAACTTGCATGTCAAATATAACATTTAAAATAGGGATTTGATTTACTTTTGTTGGTATTATTCTATTGATATATGTCTCTTGTAATGGTAAAAACAATCATAAACATATTTTAGATAACAGTAATTTTGCACAGAAGGTGTGTCCCTCAACATGCGTTCAACCCTGTTACCCAAACCTTTTTAGATTGGCAGAGGGAGTGAACAAACTGTAAATCAGATGACACAGTGGAAGTGACATCAGCAAGCCATGTGCTAGTGCCATGTGCTAGTGCCATGGACCAAAACTAAGTCCTCTTTTATTTTTCACATTTTTACAATCTTTTCAGTCTTAAAAGAGTGTGGCACTCTGACCCACTCAACCCTGTTACTGATATTATCAGAATAAAGCATATTCATTTCAAAGTGATCTTTCTTGCATTAGATATCCAAGTTTGTCCTTGCCTTGAAAGTAGCATTACATGCTACATCTAGCAATAATTACTGAGGTTAAAGCTCAAATTAGCATTGATTTTCAACCGTTACTTTCAACCCTGTTACTATAATTAGAGTAACAGGGGTAATTCTTCATTCGAAAATATACATTTGATGCCTAGCTGGGCAAATCACTTTTTTTGATGGTTTATTATCTGTTTTTCCTAAATACATAAAAAAAATTATAAAATAAAAGGTACATTTTTTTTAAATGTTGGTGTCTAAATTGTCCTCCAATTCTGGAATGACCCACCCCTTATTTTGCATTCACACCAAAAAGAGTACTTAGTGCCGGGAACTTTTACCCCCATTTTTAGTGCCTGCTAGAGAGGTGGTACTATCCTGGGGAGAAAAAAGTACCAATTTCTATTGGCTGGGCGAATTGCAAACCATGCCCCGTAAAACTCAGAAAGGTTTTGTGAAGCCGCAATTGTATTTGCTGGCATTAGCATTATTAGCATTAGCCAACGGAAGAGAGAATAACTTATGGCAACACAAAAGAAAACAACTTCCGGGGACTTCCGGCCGGGGACTTCGGGTGGCAGTATACGCCGTGAAGTGGTTTGCTGCCTGCCAAGTAAACCCAAATCAAAGAAGAAGAAGTGACGTCAGCGGCTCATTTGCGTAAGCTCCCTCAGGGAACTTATTCGATGTGAAAGTGATCTGTACTTAGTTTCCATGGGGGTACTAAGATGCCGGGGCTAAGTACGACAAAAGTACTCGGGTGAAAGTGGATAGTGAGTGCGGACCAACGATTGAACGATAAAATAACGGCTCTCCACGAAGTACGATTCGGTTTTGATTGATTGATTGAAAAGTTTATTAACAGCTTGTATATTGGGTACAGTACAGTACAGCTCAAAACATACAATTGTTAAGGGATGCAGACCAGAGAAAGACTTTCGTTCTTGTTTACATCAGGGTCCCCCATTTCCAATTCATCATGTCATTTAAGACATATAAGACAATTTGACATACAGATGGCTTATTTACAATTTACATATCAGGTGGTTTTTTACATACAGATTGCTTATTTTACAATTTTCATTTAGATTCGTTCTAATACATCCTAACCGGACATTTAAGACATACCAAGTCTACAGATGTACAGTTAGTAACAGAGTCTAAAATGCGAGTATATACATAGATGGTGGGGGGGGGGGAAGCTGTCCATTGAACGACAGGTTGAGATTTGTACCATTACCGGGGCCAGTTTTGCAATGCTCTCCCCCAAAGGTGCTCTTTAAGAGAGGTTTTGAAGGTAAGTATAGTTTACTTTCCTTTACAGTTGTGGGAAGAGCGTTCCACCTTGATGTGGCATAATTGCGAAACGTGTATTCCCCCTTTTTGTGTGCCAAATCTGGGTTTCACATGATTTGTGGAGCTCCCTCTGGTGTTATGATCATGGTATTCCTTGACCTTTGGGAAGAATTTTGACATGTACATGGGTACCATAGAGGTGTAGTGGATCTTGTAGACCAGGCCCATTGCAAGTAGCTGTACTCGGTCGTCTACTCTAAGCCATCCTAGGTTGTCAAAGTGGGCAGAGGTGAGGTGGGTTCTAGATGAAAGGTCAAGCAAGTAGTCTGACCAGTTTAATTTTTGCGATGTTTGAAGTTTTATTTTTAGCGCCTTGGAGGTGCTATGGTACCATGACATGCAAGCATAGTCATAGTACCCTTGAATGAGTGCTCCTGCCAGAGTTTTCCAGGGTCGTTTTTGTTACCGAGAGGAGATCCGGTATAGGAATCTAGTTCTTTGATTGACTTTTTTTATTACATTGGATGCCATTTTGTCACAGGAGAGGTTTGCCTCAAGAATAGATCCTAGGTCATGTAATTTCCTTCTTACTTGTGACAATAATGTCGCCCACTGCACTAAGAAGTCGTCGGATTTGCTGAGATTATGTTTCGAACCGAAGAGAATGGACTCTGTTTTACCCAGGTGTAATGATAATTTACGGTTCCCCTCGTTCGTACCAAAGAGCCGTTCAAAATAATCGGCTCGTTCGCGACCCGAAACATCTCTACATTACTCAGTTATTTTGTACAAAACTGCAGCACAGGTCCTTGGACAGAACTTTTTTAATTTGTTCTGTTCCCTATAGGCCTATTAGGCGCTTTCACATCGCAGTACTTTTCCCACTTTTAGTTCCGAAATGTTGCGTTCACATCAAAACAAATCCGTAACTGAAATTAGTTATGAGAACCTTTTTACCCCCTTTTCAGTCCCTGCTAGAGAGCAGTGGCTTTCGTGGGAGAAAAAAGGTTCCTATTTTTTGATTGGCTGGGCGGATTGCAAACCACGCTCCGTAAAAACTGCCAAAAAGTTTTGTGAAGCCGCCATTTTATTATCCTCGCATTAGCATTATTAGCATTAGCCCAGCGCACAAACGCAGAGAGACTAACTTTATGGCAACACAAAATAAAACATGGGAGCGGTGGAGATGTCGGCGTTCTTGCGAATTACTCGGAAGGCTTTAGTAGAAGCAAGCTGAAGCCAGTCCCCAAACTCCGGGGACTTCGGGGTGGCAGTATACACCGTGAAATTGTTTGCGGCCTGCCAGTAAACCCAAAGCAGAAAGAAGTGACGTCAGCGGCTTCATTTGCGTACGCGATCTGTACTTAGTTCATGAGAACTGAAGAGTTCTCATGAACTAAGTTGTGGGAAAAGTACTGCGGTGTGAAAGCGCCTATGATTTTCTATTTTCCCGGAAAGGGACATTGACTTTCACTGACCTCATCTTTCTCCTTCTTCCCGGTTCTTATGGCTTTCTTTTTTTATTTTCATCCCTTGAGGACATACACTGATGAAGGGGTCAGCAGACCTAATCATTTATAATTTGTCAGATTAAATGTAACAAAATAATTAAGACATGCTGTTTTCAAGCTTTATGACATTATTTCCACCAATCAGGCTCTTCAGTGTGGCTAAACTGGACAAAGTGAGCGGTCACTTCAGAAGACGTGCACACAGCACCACAGAGTGGCATTCAATGAGTAGTGCAGATCAATATATAACCAGAGCCACATTTCACAGATCTCAACTTCACAAAACAAGTAGTTAAATCCATATAAAAAGTAGGTTGCCTTTATTTGAAGCTGGGAAACCAAAACATTAACATAGTCGTTTCTTTTTAGTTTTTTTGAAAGACCACAAAATTGCCATTACCAGCATCATCAACGTCTTGCACTTTTTCCACAACATGCAAAAGATTCAAGCGTTCCCTCTCCACAGACCAAAGCTCCTCCACATGGGCTCCTGTAGGAATCACAACCTGGCTTGCATTAAACTTGCCAGCCAGCACAACGGCAGGTAGATAGAAAATAAACATAAAAAACAGAACAGAAGAAATCTGAGAATGGGTGAGAGGAGAAATTCACAGCCTTATGCCGTGTGCCTCCTGAGGGGTGATGGAGAAAACCTCAGCGCTGTGAACTACAGGACCGTTTCTGATCCTCAAGGGTTTAGGTTCGTATAAACACGCTTTTTTATATCCAATCACAAATGGACATTAAGGATCGGTGCCCATTCAGGACGTCCATGTAGAAAACACACTAACCTGCTGAGGACAGTTATTAAATAATTGTATGTGCTTCTGAACCAATGGCTAGGTTTGAGTGCAGGACTGAATCAAGAGCAGCCTTGAGACTAATCTAAACAATTTTGTGACGGGAGCCGAATAATACATGTGTCCCCAATATTGTTATATCACGGAAGAGGAATTGGTCACATGTGATTTTTTTTTTTATCTGACCAAAAGAAAAAAAAGTTGGTTCTGAGAAAATTAGGAATTCTAAAATCTCAGAATTCCGACTTTCAATGTAAGGATTCCGATTATTTTTTCTTTAAATTCTGACTTTAATCTAAAAATTCCGGCTTTTTCTCAGAATTCCGACTTTTATTTAAGAATTACATTTTTTTTTCCTTCAGATTTAAATCTCAGAATTCCGATTGTTAAAATAATTCTGGCTTTAATCTAAATTCTGACTGTTTTCTCAGAATTCTCACTTTTATCTCAGGATTTCAACAGTTTCCTCAGAATTCAGACTTTAATCACAAAAAGCGAAAAAAAAAAATCACTTTTCAGTTCAGATCACACGTGGCCTCTCCCGTACATAGCAGATTTCTTATCTACATATTTGTTGTCGTTTTGGGATCAAACCACTTCATATCGAAAAAAAAAGCAGTAGAAATGCTGCATCCGATCTCCGCGTCACTAGTTTCAAGATCGTTAATGACTTTTGATGGTTAAAAATGGTTTTAAGACTAACTCACCACTTGTAGCAAAGACCTCAGATTTAAGGACAGATTACATTCTTCAATGATAAAGTACTGAAACTGAACTCAGTGGAAATTAAGGCATTAATATAGACAAACGAGTGCTGGATAAAGACCGAGCTGCCACCTTTATTTAAATCTTCTCCGAGCCTTAGTACGGTAAAAAATGTATCCCGCATGTGAAGTAACGGGGGCAAACAAATGCCCTGAAAAACACAAGGATACAAACAGTAAGCCGAGTGAGAATACAGGAGGAGGAAATAAAGGGAAGGCCGTTCACAACAGATTGGATAGGGTCGACTTTTTTCTTTAAAAATCAAGATACATTTTATTTCTTTTCTTACAAAACAAACATTACAAAAAAAAAATCTGAATAGAGAATTAGAACAACAGGAGAAAAAACATTCATTTTTTTGATCTCTCAAAAACAAAAAACTAAATAAAACCCAAACATCTCTTCTTGCATTTCAAGAAAAAATAAAAAGGGTGGTGCCTGGCACAAGGGGCTGAAATGTTGAGAAGCTGCTGTAGCCATGCAGGGGTTAATGGGGGGCGGGGGGGTTTCTGCACGTAAAGCGCTGCATCGTTAGAAAGCCAAACATAGAACAACAGCAACCGTTTAACATAGGCAGCTGAACAGGAAGGCCCCCCCCCCAAAGAAGCATTTCATCGAGTACTTAAAACACTAACTCACATGCTGGCTTGAAACATGTCACGGTGTGTGAAGTAAAACACTCCGCCGGTCTAAGATAACGCGTTGAAAATGATGGAGCAGCAGCCACGCAACAAATAAAGGTCACCAAGAGAAAAGAAGCAGGGAGACGTTTAAAAAAAAAAAAAAAAAATGAAATTAAAAATAGGTTTTAAAACCAAACTCCCGTGTTAAAACATGCTCCTGGTTTTAAAAAGCACACAAGTACCAAATAGAAGGCTTTCCGGCTCGGTGTGTGTCGACTTAAGCTTTGTAAATACAGCGCTTTAGTAGCTGATACTGAGAAGCTGTGTGACAATACGCTCAGTAATCGCAGGTATCAGTGAGCGAGAACAAATAAAATAACTAAAAACAAGCGAATGGATCTGTTTCACAATCAGGACGGATGCTCGCTCGCTCGGGGGGGGGGGGGGGGGGGGTGGGGAGAAGCAAAACCAATACAAAAGCACACGAAAGAAGTCCAAACCGTTGAGCCAGGCCACCAGGAGAGAAACAAAAAAGTCAAAATAAAACAACCTCTAAACGCAGAGCAACAAAACTTTGAGAAGAGACGGAGAAAGAGACGATGGGCTTCAGGTTGGCGGGGAGGTTTTTTGGGGTGGGGGGTACCATCTTCGTCTAGTCTTCTCCGGAAGGCGCCTCCTCTTCTGAGCCGTCCTCTTCCTCTTCGTCTTCCTCCTCCTCGGCCTCCTTCGTCTTCTTGGGGGCGGGGGAAGTCTCCTTCTTCACGGCGGCCTTCTTCTCCTCCTTCTTCTCCTCTTCCTCCTCTTCTTCCTCCTCCAGGGGGCTCTCGGGCTCCTCCTCTTCCTCCTCTTTGGGTGAGCTCTTCTCCACGGTCTTGGTGCTGGGACGCCCCTTCCCCTTTCCTTTCATCGGGCTGGGGGTCACTGTTAGATAGACAGACAGATAGATAGTTAGATGGATAGATAGATAGAGAGATGGATCGTTAGAGAGATGGATAGATAGATAGAGAGATAGATGGAGAGATGGATAGATAGATAGATGGATAGATAGAGAGAGAGATAGATAGAGAGATGGATAGATAGATAGATAGAGAGATGGATAGATAGAGAGAGAGATGGATAGATAGAGAGAGAGATGGATAGATAGAGAGAGAGATGGATAGATAGAGAGATGGATAGATAGAGAGATGGATAGATAGAGAGAGAGATGGATAGATAGAGAGATGGATAGATAGAGAGATGGATAGATAGAGAGATGGATTGTTAGAGAGATGGATTGTTAGAGAGATGGATTGTTAGAGAGATGGATAGTTAGAGAGATGGATTGTTAGAGAGATGGATAGTTAGAGAGATGGATAGTTAGAGAGATGGATAGATAGATAGAGAGATGGATAGAGAGATAGAGAGATGGATAGAGAGATGGATAGAGAGATAGATAGATATAGAGACAGATAGATAGAGAATCAGAAACAGGTTTATTACCAGGTAGGTTTACACGTACGAGGAATTTGACTTGGTGCATACATAAAGGTAAAACAATAATTAATAACACAGGTAGAGAACTAGACAAATATTAAAAAGCTCAATGGATTGTGTGAACTGTAATTCCTGTGACTAGTCTTTGAGTACAATAAAGTGTTTGAAATCATTTTAAAATCCATTGAGAGCATTCAACAACTCAAACATTTAATAAAGAACGTTTGAGTGGCAGCATAATATAACCATAGATAAAATGTGGAAATGAGAATATAAAAAAATGTTGACATTCTGACTGAAGTTAATATAACCCTTCACTGCTTATCTTTCTAAAGCTACCTCTTGTGTTGCTGGAGGTCATGATTCAGAATCACTGTGCTTATAGCCATACTATGACTCAAAACATTTCCAGAGATGCTAATGGCTTCAACAACCCCTTAGTAACGCAACCCCTTAGTAACGCAGTCCTCTCACCTGTGGCCTTTAGTCTGGGTTTGGGGCTCTTCTTCTCCTTCTTCTCCGGCCTTCCCCTTCGGATCACCTTCTTGCCCTTCTTCTTGGAGCGCCCGTAATCGCTGTCATCGTCGTCCTCCACCGTGAAGTCCTCGTCGCTGCCAGACTCGTCAGCTGCACAAAGAAATGTTCACGTAAGGATGTGTTCTCCATGTGTGGTTTAGCTCCGTACCATTGCTGAACCATAACAGCAAATAGCACATAGTAGAATAGATCTTTATTGTCATACAAAGTACAACGACATAAAAACTCTCACTGCAGTAAAAACACAAATAAATAAGGGTGGTAAAAGCAGAGGTAGTAGCGATGGCAGTGCAACGAGATCAATTCAATGTGCATATTTACACTTGCAGTCTTAAAACGTGTATAAATGTAGGTTCATTAGGGGTTATAGTAACCGAAGGATGCAAGTAAAATAGCCATAAACATTTCTAAACCGTAGTGTCTGAAGCTTTGAGCATTTCCAATAAATAATTCTTTCAAATAATGTGAGTTTGTTCAGTGTCAAGATCAGTGTTTCCGCCAGACCAGGGCTGAGAGGGCGTGCACCCCGATAGCGGGGGAGGGGGGGGTTGTTTTGAAATTTGACTCGAGCCGTCCCTTATAGATACTGGCTCTCTTAAAGCGCCGGCCGTTTCGGCTCCCAAACGGCTCTTCATGTCACCACAGTCGCAGGCACAGCTCACGCGCGTGCTCCACTAAACCCCCCCCCCCTAAAACCCCCCCGTTCCGTGTTGTCCTGTAGCAGGTGCCTTCGATGTCGGGAAACAATCTTCAATACTCCGAAAAGAATCCCACCAGACTCCTTTGCCCCTCCAACAGCGGGATGTCCTTGTCCTTGTCCCTTTTCGTCATTTCAAGCGATAAAAACTCTCGATCTTCTCTCGAATTATTAATATTTTTTGGACGCCCTCGGCTCGCGTTCAGGGCGTCCCGAGCTGAATAAGGGCGTCAAATGACGGCAAGACGGCCCTCTGGCGGAAACGCTGGTCAAGATCCATTTCTAATTGAGTATAGAAAGTGATGTCATGGAGCTGTTGCTTTAAGAGCTTTCCTTACACCATTTTAGAAATAATAATAATACACTTTATTGGTGGCACAAGCAGAGTCGCAAAGGGCTTTAACGGAAGAAAAAAGAGCCTCTTTAAAAACACACAAGGAATAAAAAGTGTTCGGGAGAGAAAGTCCCTCTGGAAGCACATTTGGGATGTTCGTCTTTGCAGATTTACATGCACAAAAACCTAGAAAGCACACTGCATTATAGGGCCTCTTTAGAGAGAGATAAGATAAGAAGTACTTTATTGATCCCAATTTGGGAAATGTTTGTGTTGCAGCAGCATAAAAAGACATGGCACTGTACAATACAAATTAAAAGACTAGAAACAAACAAGAAAGTAGAAAATATACAATAACAAGATATAAAGCAAGTTATTATACATAAGTATGCGAGAGATGGAATATTACATATGAAACTGAATATATAAATGTAAAATGTAATGTCTTTATGAATCTGACAACATTAAGTACATGTTAGATAGAATCGGAGGGATGAAACCCTCTAATGGCGTCACATACAGTGAAATGTGTGTAGTTAGTTAGTTAGCAGCTATCTTAGTTTTGGTTCCTAAGAAACACACACTACTGGTCTAGAGTGTGACAGGTTGGTGTGTCAGTATTAACAGCAGGGGGACATACGGCCGATATCTTTAAAACACAGAAAGAATAACAAGTGTTCGGAGAGAAAGTCCCTCTGGAAGTACATTTGGGATTTTAGTCTTTGCAGATTTACATGCACAAAAACCTAGAAGACACTACAGTAAAGGAAAAAGCACAACATGGCCTCTTTAATGTCTGTATGAATCTGCCGACATTAACCACATGTTGTTCTGGTTGCTACAGTAAACACACAAAAACAAGACGCATGAGGACCTTTTCTCCACGAGCAGTTCAGCAGTCTAAATCAGTCATTTCTTTAACTTCGGTAACACTTTATATTAAAAAAAAGGTACACATATTCACCATCAACTAGTTGTTAATTATGATCTATATTAGCAGTATATTGGCTTTTTATTAGTCCTTCTAAAACACTTATTAATGTCTTGTTCTACACGACCATATTCTACAAGTACTAGGCCATTAGCTAAGAGTTTTTCCTCAATAACCCTCTAATTAGTTTATTTATTGTAAGGACGTTGTTGAACATGAGTTTTGGTCGCAATAAGCTCAATATGGGTCTAATAAGGCAGCAGTACCACAGCAATAGTCATTCTCCCATAATAACACCAAACAAATATGGCCTATTCTTATGTAACAAGACATGAAACTACGAGTGTTAATTGTGTCAAAATAACTTAAAATGTGGTATTTTCTAACTCAGAATACGTGCACTAATAAGATAGTAGTTTGGCTCTAATATGCAAGTTAATTAACAACTAGTTGATGTGAATAAGTGTACCTTAATCTAAAGTGTTACCGCAACTTCTTATGCCACATGTCCAACAGTAAACACACACTACTGGTCTAGTGTGTGACAGTTTGGTGTACCAGTGTTAACAGTACTAGTCTAGTGTGTGACAGTTTGGTGCATCAGTGTTAACAGTACTAGTCTAGTGTGTGACAGTTTGGTGCATCAGTGTTAACAGTACTGGTCTAGTGTGTGACAGTACCTTCGTCTTTGTGTGGTCTAAACTGGTCTTCAATGGCATTAAAACGATACAAATGATGGTGTAGTTAATCCATAGGTTAATCCAATGTGACTGCGTCCCCTTTGAAATGTTCTGATAATCCATAAGCAATAAAACAGCTTTTCCGTTGCTTGATATCAGAGCAGCGATATTTCTCCCCTCTAAGGAAAGCTAGCATGCGCAGAGAGAATACCATTTTTTTTATAAACATGAGTGTGTGCGGGACGATTTCCCTTGGATTCTATTGGCTCTGACTGTCAGAAAGAGATGTCACATGTCAAAATCGAACAAGGAGGGCCAGAGATATGGAAAATCCACCCAAATGGCCCCAGAAGAGGGTTTTTTTGCTAAATCTGTCTAAAAAGGTCAAATATCACTTGTTTTGCATCAATCTTGATATAGGGTACTTATTATATGTTGTACTTTGGATTCCTAAAGCTTTTAGTCTACTAACCCATCATCCAAGGTTAGTTTTCACTATAAGTACAAAATATTTTCTGGACGGACACTATAATTTACAGTTTTTTTACTATGTTCAATCTGAATTTTCTTTAAAATAAAAAACATTTATATTGATTCTGACTTTTCTACATCTAACTCACAGGTTTATCATTACTTTGAGAACAAAGATTATTAATTTAACCCTTTTAGAAGGGAAGATATGGTCATTTGTTCTGGGAATGTCCTTTTCGAGCCTGAAACCTGAAAAACAGGCTCGGGGCTTAACAGGTTAACAGTACTAGTCTAGTGTGTGACAGTTTGGTGCATCAGTGTTAACAGCAGGGGTACACATACTGGTCGTTCGTAGGCTTCCTCCTGGTCCTCCTTCTCCTCGTCCTCGCTGCCTGCGTCTCCCAGAATGATCTCCCTCTGTTTGGACACCGCCTTGGAGGCCGCCTGGCGCACGGTACGCTTTCGACTCACTTCCTTCTCATCGTCACTGTCATCTACGCAAAGAACACACACCACACACACACACACACACCACACACACACACACAGCACACACACACACACACACACACACACACACACACACACACACACACACACAACACACACACACACACACACACCACACACACCCACACACACACACACACACACCCACACACACACACACACACACACACACACACACACACACACACACACACACCACCCACACACACCACACACCACACACACACAACACACCACACCAACACACACAACACACACACACACACAACACACACACACACACACACACACACACACACACACACACACACACACAACACACACACACACAGTGAACGGAGAGGACTCGATATACAGGGCTAAATTCAGGGTTACTTTAAAAATGTAATCCGTTAGAATTATTTAGTTACATGTTAAAAATGTCACCTGTAATCTGAGTATTACAATATAAAAGTAACCCGATTACTTTCCATTAGGGCTGCTCAATTAATCGTATTTTAATCGCGATTTTGGCTTGCAACGATTATGAAAACATAATCGAAATAAAACGATTATTTATTTCAGTTGAGTTATATTTAAAGTTCACGGTAATCAACTGTTAAAAACATACTGTCCACATTTTTTCCCCAATAAATTGATGTTTTCAAAGTAAATGGATAATCGTTTTTAATAATCGTGATATCAATTATTGACCCAAATAATCGAGATTATGATTTTTGCCATAATCGAGCAGCCCTACTTTCCATCACTGTAGGATATCATATCAAAATGCTGCTCAAATAAATACAGACGTAATGATAGAGAAGCAGCAGATTCTCCCTTTAAAACAGCTGGAGATATTTGACATTTGTGGTCGGTGAATGTCAAACTTGTTACTGGGTGATTTTCTGTCTGCGCCTCCTCACATATTAGACTTCCTATATGGACTTTTCACTGCCTTTAAGTTCACACTAACTACACATCCGGAGTAAAGTACGATCTACTTTTGACATCTAGTTCCCATCCGTTAAACTTTAGCTGCTTTTCTGGAATGCATCATTAACTGCCATATTTAGCTATAGAGGAACACCATTATGAATCATATTTCTTAGAGTTAAGGCTGGGATGTTCATTTTGGAAGTGAAAGGAGCAGGATCCAAAAAGTATTGATTATATCCTGTGCCTACGACCAAACCACAACATCTTTAAATCATTCCAACACCTACAGGGGAGCAGATAATAGATGTATATTAATAAAAATGAGGAGACTGTTTGAACCATCACCCTGATTGATCACAAAAGATGCCATAGTGTCACTGCCTTTACGATTGATCAGCCTTATTAACCATGACTTCCACTGAGTATTAAATCAAAGCAGAACGAAACAGACTTGACGATCAATCAGCTGTGGATGTGGGAGGAATACAGTATTTCTCAGATACTCAAAAGATCAATATCCATGGCATCTATTCCACACCTTACTCCCTTTCCGGCCTTCAAAAAGTCCAGAGCCAGCATACATATCACCTGGCTGCAAAATAAACCAACGCCTCCACAAAGTTTTGACTTATTTCATTTATTAGCCACGGTCCTATTTCTTATATTTGAAATCTACAAATGCCGTTTAGGTTCAACACATTAAAAGGTCCCCTGTTGTTCATCAATATATTACAGCTCTCAGACACAGAACATGTCTCTGAAGTGTTTGGCTCCAAACACCAAACAGATCATTGCAGCATTACCCATAATCCCCTCTGTTTCAGCCCATGTTTCAAAAGTGCTGATTCTCTGGCCGTTTCTCAATCTCGAGGATACTGGCTTCCAAGCCAATATTTCAAGGATGCTACGTCATCGAGTGCCGCCAAGGGACTGTTCCAATCTCCAGCATACTTGGAATTCCACCGAGGCCGCGTCCTTGGTTTGGGGGAAATTTCGAGGCTGTACATGGGTAGACTTTGCGTCCTTAAAATCTCCACAATGCTTTGCGCACAAACCAATTTCAAAAACCCTTGTGGAGAATGGCTGAACCGACGCAGCACACATTTAAATGCAAGTATGTAGTGGCGTAGAACATGTGTTGGTAAATGTGTTACTTTGTTACATTTGTTTGTTATCACCAAAAGTGTGTTCCGTGAAAGTAAAGCAAGTTCATAATTAGATAGACATCGTGAGGTATTTATTTTCGGTACAGTTTATGTTGAAACCGTTAGAGAGAGTGGCACACTTGTTAGCCTGTTCCATTCTTCGTTTTCCGAAGCCGTGGCTTGGAAGCATACTTGCTTCGTTTTTGAAGGAAGTGACTTGGAAGTACGCGACTACCAAGCCAGCATCCTCGCGATTGAGAAACGGCCAATGTCTGTTAATTTAGATGAAAATAAGGAGCCCCTCCCCACGCCCCTCTGAGAGAGATTTGGTTACAAAGAACACAATGGTGCTCTAGGAGGAGATTCAGGTGATAAGGGGGGGGGGGGGGGGTACCTTGGTTGCTGATTGGCTAATGGTTACACAAGCCAAACAATCGTTATGACATCATAAAGTGGCCAAAATCTGATCAGCTCATTTTCAGACAGGTTTTATAGAAATGGATCAAAAAGAGAGAGAATCTTTGTTCCTGAAACTTTCAGAGTCTCTTTCCACAGAGGAGACACATGTTGATGTAGAAGAGACATGAAGAAGAGGGGACACATGTTGATGTAGAAGAGACATGAAGAAGAGGGGACACATGTTGATGTAGAAGAGACATGAAGAAGAGGGGACACGTGTTGATGTAGAAGAGACATGAAGAAGAGGGGACACATGTTTGATGTAGAAGAGACATGAAGAAGAGGGGACACATGTTGATGTAGAAGAGACATGAGGAAGAGGGGACACATGTTGATGTAGAAGAGACATGAAGAAGAGGGGACACATGTTGATGTAGAAGAGACATGAAGAAGAGGGGACACATGTTGATGTAGAAGAACATGAAGAAGAGGGGACACATGGTGATGAAGAAGAGACATGAAGAAGAGGGGACACATGTGATGTAGAAGAGACATGAAGAAGAGGGGACACATGTTGATGAAGAAGAGACATGAAGAAGAGGGGACACATGTTGATGTAGAAGAGACATGAAGAAGAGGGGACACATGTTGATGAAGAAGAGACATGAAGAAGAGGGGACACATGGTGATGAAGAAGAGACATGAAGAAGAGGGGACACATGTTGATGTAGAAGAGACATGAAGAAGAGGGGACACATGTTGATGAAGAAGAGACATGAAGAAGAGGGGACACATGTTGATGTAGAAGAGACATGAAGAAGAGGGGACACATGTTGATGAAGAGAGACATGAAGAAGAGGGGACACATGTTGATGTAGAAGAGACATGAAGAAGAGGAGACACATGTTGATGTAGAAGAGACATGAAGAAGAGTAGACACATGTTGATGTAGAAGAGACATGAAGAAGAGGGGACACATGTTGATGTAGAAGAGACATGAAGAAGAGGGGACACATGTTGATGTAGAAGAGACATGAAGAAGAGGCACATGTTGATGTAGAAGAGACATGGAGAAGTGGACTTTGCATAATAGGTGACCTTTAAAAATGGGTACATTAAATGGTTGAGTCCTTATGAGAACTTTTAATGTTGCATTTGTCTTAATGAGATCACTATAAAGATCAGCGTGCACACATGACAGCAAACCACCCTGTATCTGGTTTATCAAAGACGATACGTACGGCTCGTCAGCCACCAGGCGTTAGCCACAGTTTTAAAGATGTTTAGGTGGATACGTAGAGGAACTAGGGATGTAACGATATACCGAATATCGCGGTAAATAAAGTCCCAATACCGTCGTGAGACTGACAAAATCTACCGCGATTTTTTTAAAAACACTTTTTTTTGTTTTAAACCTTTATTTAACCAGATGGTCCCATTGAGATCATCGATCCCTTTTTCAAGAGAGACAACTGTCCAACATGGCAGCAAGTAGGTTACAACATGAACATAAAACAACAGAACACAAAAGGACATCGTATTTACAGGGCTAGTACACACCTAGAGACATGGACAAGTACCAACAGTATATTTATATCTCTGTCAATAAGCCTCACCTTCTTGGCAAACACTGTATTGTTTTTGAAGTGGTGGAGAGACAATGCACAGTTTGACCCACTGCTGTCACCCAGGGCCAAAGCATATCTCTCCGTCCCACTGAGGTGGCGTTAGACTTTTTCGCTGTCCGTCATTTTGACGGATCGTAAAATGTCATAATCCCTTATTACCCGTCGGGTCTGAACAGTTCACAAGAGAGCACGCTCGTGAACTGTCAACGGGGGGGGGCGGTGTTATGCCGTGTGTGCATGAACCTCGCGGGAGCGCGCACAGCGTAAAGCAAAACCTCCCAGACATGTATTGATCTGTACGGCAAAGTACGGTTTGGAAACTATATCATTTCCTTTTGGAGGGCATGCATACCACGGCAAACACCAGAGCCTCGCTGCGGAGAAACGTTGGCGCTGTTCCGAGTTTGTTCTAATCTGTCAAAATGACTGCTTTCAGATTTTTCCGTCATTGTTAATAAAATATTCGGTTAACGCGACCTCTGCTGTCCCAGCAACACCAGTACCAAGCGAGAGAGTTTTTCCAGAGCAGGGGATTTTGTAAACGCCCAAACATCCCAGCTTATAAATACCTGGAAATGTGGACATTCTCATATTCCTAAAAACCTGTCTGATGATGCTGAGTGAGTGACTAGTGAGTTTGAGTTGAGTTACTTGAAAAACTAAAACTAAATAAACTAACTAAAATACTGCTATCCTACTAAAATGCTGTACAAATCAGATTTATTATGTAATAAAGAAACATTTTCCGAGTAAAAAAATATTTTAGTGAAAAAAAAATATTTCAATTTAAAAAAAATATTTTTTATTCATTATCGCGATAAATACCGTACCGTGGACTTGTTATCGCGATATTATCGTACCGTGAGTTTTTGGTATCGTTACATCCCTAAGAGGAACTGAACTGGACGTTACCTGCAGGCCGTTTTCTCTTCGGCCCTCTCTTGGCGGGCTTCTCCACCTTCGCTTTCTTTCCCTTTTTGCCTTTTTTTTCTTCGTAGTCACTTCCTCCGTCCTCATCCGATCCTTCCTCCTCTGCGAATTCGTTGTCTTCCTCGTTGCTGCCAAAGTCATCTGCAGCAGAGAGAAGTCAGTGAGCCGCTTTCCACGTAATCTCTTTCCAGCTGTTTCCATTAAAAAAAGGGCCCGATTACTACTCATCTCAAATCGAATAAATAAATAAAATGACTTACCTGCTGAGTCATTTTTGGGTTTAGTGACTTTCTCGTCAGACTCCTCGCTGGAAAAAAGATACGAGAAATGTCAACCACAGTTAAAACACTCAAACAAGCAAGGAAAGGATCTGGACCAGGAACCAATCAGAGCAGACCTCTGCAGAGTTGCTGTTTAGAGGCAGTGTGGTGAAGCTATCCGAGACTCATGCTAATTCTAAGCTAGCATCTTGGATCTAGGAAGCAGCTGCTCAGGTTGTGTAGGGAGTCAGAAAGAAGGACTTTAATTGCAACAAAATCAATACAACAGTGCTCTGCTGTTCTGTAAGAGCAACACTCTTCTATTTTCAGCATTAGAGCGGTAAATGAGCAGCTTCAAACGGAGCGACAGTAAATCAGAAACAGGGTTATTACCAGGTACACATACAGGGAGTTTCAAATGTTAGTATGTATGCTAATTGTTTTATATAGAAAAAGAGAATACAATTGTGTTATTGTTGAAGGCTATTCGAACTAGGGCTGCTCAATTAATCGTATTTTAATCGCAATTATGGCTTTCAACGATTACGAAAACAACGTAATCAAAATAAAACGATTATTATTACTTTTTTTCTCCAATAAATTGATGTTTTCAAAGTAAATGGATAATCGTTTTTAATAATCGTGATATTTTTTTTTTTTAAATCTTTTTATTGGCTTTTTTACATGTATAGAAGATGGTCTGTCGGAAAATTAAATAGTTACCCCTCCCACCCCTATGGGCTATGATCACATTATAAACAAGACATCACTCAACAAGTAAAAAGAAAAGAAAAGGGGGGGGGGGTAGAAATGACGTGAAACACAAAGACCAATAACTGAAAATTACATAAAAATACGGATGCTTCATGTTAATAGTCAGTAAAAATAAATACCAGGGAAATAACGGTACTGCAAGTTACATGAAGAAAAAACAAAAAAGTAATGGACAATGTATTAGGGAGATAAGGAAAGGTCTCTCCCCCCCCCCCCCCCCGTGATGTCAATTATTGAGATTATGATTTTTGCCATAATCGAGCAGCCCTGATTTGAACTGTGAGATACTTCAACACTTCTAGCCTGATTGAATTAATGTCCTCCTGGAGCCGTTTGCTGCGTGTTGTAGCGGTGGAAATGCTACACATTTTAAGGATGAATTAGTTTATCATTAACTTGGTGCGTTCTTGATCTGTTCTTTTAACTCCCAATGCTGCTGGTTTCGCATTGAACAGGGTGTCATGTAAGGTTCTCGCAGGAAAACATTTCCAACGTATTCAGTTGATTATTAGAGAAAGAATTCTGCTAAAAATGTTCATCATTTACAGAGAGGTAGAGGTTACAACAGCACACACAGCTGAGCGCAGGGAATGTTTCTCTTTGCTTTGTCTTTGGTCTAAAGCACAGACACAAGTGCAGCTGCTGCAGGACACGGCAGTTTAGCTGTATCTCAGATTTTGAGGCTGAACTGGAAACGCATGTCACCCCTGCTCGGCTAAAGTGAACAGCTTTCTGAAATCTTATAGACTTTGTCTACAAGATTTCAGAAAGCTGTAACATAACGAGCTGCATCCATGATGGATCGGATGCAGCTCTGCTCCTTCTCCCAGTTTCTTTCTCTCTGCAGATCAACATCCAATATTTCTCTGCCTGAAACGGCTCGAGCGCACCTGGCCTCGCTAAACATGTATTTGATCAACTACCCTCTCCTCTTGACCTCATGAAGACTTCCTTCCACCCTTATTGCACATGCCAAACTTTATCATGGTGTCTTAAAGGGATCCTGTTATGCACGTTTCATCACTTTACTTCTCTCATACTGCCTGTGATTAGGGATGGGTATCGTTTGAAATTTATCGATTCCGGTTCTTATCGATTCCCCGTTTCGATTCCAAAAATGTAAAAGAAAGAGGTCAAACGTTTAGATAACAAAAATATCTTTATTCTTTTAAGCTTTAACTGAAATTTTAATAAATAAAAAATATACATGCAAGCCAAACGTATTGCACAATAGCTGTGCTTTATTTGAACTGAGCTCTGCCTGTGGCAAGCTATTAACAGGCATTACACTGTGCCTTGTCTTTTTATTTTTTAGTGTAGTGGAGCCTCACTTCAGAGCGTTTACCGCGATCCATCTTTGGTGTTATGAAGTGACTGAGCTCGTGAAATGTCTACGGGAGGGCGGGGGGAGCCTCGCTGCGGGGCAACTGTGGACCTCTGTCGCCTGTCAGCACAACTTACACGATGCCGTTAAAAAGAATTACGGGCGGTGCCGGCCTTCAGCGTACCGAGCCGGCCGTCAACGGCCCGCTGACGACCGGCCGTTCTGTGATTCTCCAGAACACACAGATGGCCAGTCCGCTATGTATTCCACCGGGTCACCGCAGCGCAGACGGACCCGGTGGAATACAGGGTCTACCGCGTTTAGGAACCGTTAAGCAGAACCGAAATTGTGTATTTTGTATGGGTACCCGGCATTTTCTTATCGGTTCTCATCTGGAACCGAGTTTTGGTTCCCAACCCTACCTGTGATGCGCCACATCTTTTCACCCTCTGTCTGAAACCAGAGCCAAGTTTGCTTTTTAATTCTGCTTTAATTCTATTTTGAGATGTTTAAATTCCAGTCTTGTTTATTTCTACTTATGTGAAATGTCTGCAACGCAAACATTTCCCAAATTGGGATCAATAAAGTGCCTCTTATCTTATTTTATTAGCTGGCCGGCTCTATTGTGATTAGTCAACCGCTTAGAGATGTCCCGCCCCTTTTAAATGTCAAATGTGTTTAAACGCTAGCCAATAGAAGCCCGAGTGTTACATAGTAATGTCATTACTTTGGGATTTTAGCCTTTGCAGACCATTTACATGCACAACAACCTGTACAAACCCCAAAAAGCATAATAGGGCCTCTTTAATGCTGAATGTGATGTCCACGCTACAGAAGACGCTGTGTTCATTAAGGCTAAATTCTGCTCTTCTTTACTGAGGTCTTTGTGTCTTAAAGTTATACCTGGTGCATGTCACAGGGTTCCTAGACATATGTTGATGTGTGTTACATGTTTACAGTTCACCGATCTATAGCGATGCTCACCTGTCATCCTGTGAGTTCTTTACGCGTTTGTGCTTGGGCTCACGTGGAGGGGCACGCACCTTCTTAGGCTTATTCTCCCCATACTCCTCATCTACACAGAAAGGACAAGGTTACAGTCGGAGGCATTCACATACAAGGACATGTTAGCTGTTCATCACACACACAAGTTATACATGACTTCTGTTGGCTTTTCTTTATCGGATTCTCAATAGGATGGAAAATGGATTAAGGTGCCGTATTAGCTGAGAGCACACACACTGTTTAACCACTAATCTCTCACTAGATTTGCCAGTAACTGCATTGAATTACAACTAGGGATGCTCCGATCGCCAATTCGGGGGCCGATGGCCGATCCAACCGAGTGGGCGGGGCCTAAATGGAAGATTTAAACTTTAAATCTTCCATTTAAAGTGATGTTTAAAACTCAGTTAATGGGGCTCATTCACTGGAGCTTCCACAAACAACAACTTAATTATTACATTCAAATGATGTACATTATTCAAGTTTACATTCACTTCATAATAACACGGGAGAAATGAGCGGAAGCGCTCTCTCTCCCTCCTGTCAGTATCTCATGCAGCTCACTAATCCAGTAATGAGTGACCCGACAGTGAAGAATAAATATATTTATAATAACTAGTTTAGCTTGTTCCAGAGGTAGATCAAATAGCTAAGTGTGTTAGGTCTAACTCTTGTGTGTTTCGCTCCGCTCACCGGTCCGGCGGGCGGAGCTGCAGGATTTCTGCTTCACACACGTTGCATACCGCTATTTTACTGTCTTTTTCGGACACCTTCAAATAATGCCAGACCGGTGAAGCCATTTTGGCGAGCTTGTTTGGCCACACAGAGAAAAGTGTCATGTATTTTACGTCATGCGATCGGCTCTCGCGATCGGCATGTTTAGAGAGCACCGATCGATCGGTAGAGAGAGAGTATCGGCCGATCGATCGGAGCATCCCTAATTACAACATATAGTACAAGGATATAACATTTATTGAAACACATCTCTTACCTGCATCAGACTCGTTGAATTGTGAGTAGTTCACCACTTTCCTGTTCCTGCGAAGAGAGATGACACATTGTGTTACGTTTCATTCCCACAGGACAAAGTTACTTCTGTTTCTAGACACGTCTGGAGGGGGTAGGCAGCAAAAAGATGATCAATATGAGCAAGTCATCGGCAACAAGTTAGCTGTGAGTGCATGTGTGGATTTTATAATGCTCTCTGAGAAGCCACAAAGCTGCGGGCGGTGAACTGGATACTGCTACAGTTTCCGAGGCTAATTTAGCAAAGTATATATGCAGGAAGCCTCAGGTGACAGTAGCAACTTTAGTTCAGGTAACACACACCTGGAGAAGCTGCGTCGCGGGAGGTTAAAGCCACAGATGAACCAGCCATCATCCAATTTGTGCATGTATATATCTATATTTTATGTATTCATGGTGTTTGATTATAGCCAATCATTAGCTTTTTAATTCTGGCAATTTAAATGACACTTCAAAAATCACAAAGTGGTGTTAATATGAGCTGAACTAAACGGGGTAAGTAACGATTGTTTGCAACAAGGCTTATTTTCTGCAATATACGGAAATCCAATGGAAGCTTTTTATTGAGGGAATCGTTGCAATGCTTACTTCAAGATCGTCCTCCAAAATGAAGTTATCGCCGCACCACTAAATTATTGTTGGCAGGACTGGTTGCTCAATGCTTGACAATACCGGCGTATAACAACAAGTTTAGGTGCTTTACAATACTAGGCACACAAACAAAAGAAAATGTGCACTGGTTACATTACTGTATGTCCCAACCACATTATGCTGGAGTGTGTGTGTGTGTGTGGTGGGAAGGGAGTACGGGTAACTGTCAGAACATTTGACAACTACTTTGGTTACAGCAAACACACATCGACCACAGTGTAAGCCCAGACATGTGAGATAGTCCGTGGCAGTTTTACACACATTTTCTTTCAGAAGGAAACACACCATGTTTCCAATTAGCTCCAATAAAGATACCAAACTGTGGAAGCTGATAAAACGTGTGATGTGGAAATGTATCTACGTCCGAGGTGGTCTTTTGTCTGATAACCATTAATTGTCTGGTATAGAAATGATAGGAAATAGTAAAAAGTCACATAGGTAGAGTTCGTTAAGCTGTTTCTGTTAAAGAATATTTACAATTGAGAAGCTGTAGGAAGTTATGGTTGGTAATTGTTATATATGGACTATATTTCAATGTTTACCTAATTTCATTGCTCTAGATAATCTGTACACTGAGCAAGGCCGCAACAACTAATCAAGTCCATCAAAATTGATTATCAAAATAGTTGGCAACTCTTTTCATTCATCGATTTTTTAGGAGTATGTTATGTTACTTTGCGTGCATCGTCTCCGCGGGGGCAGCTAAACGACCAATGTTGCGGCTCTGTTTGGGCACGTGATGAATTACCAATAATGATGACGACTCCTTTATGTCTTGAGTTAGTGTTTGAAAAGCGGCAGAGATAAATGACACAGCGGAGAAAAGTGAAGAGGAGCCACGGGATAGCTCAGGATCGAATTGAAAAAAGGACAAAATGGTGGTCCCTGTTCTTTCTCCATTCTGTGGAAGACCAATGTAGTCAGGAACCCCATAAAGCTCTTTTAAAGATAACTTTATAAAGCTACAGCCTTCTGTATTGATGTGGTTTTGTTTGGACTAACTCAAAAGGTTTTTCAAAGCGAGCAGAAAGGTCTAGAAAATCTGGTTAACGGGTCATTCCAAGATGTAAAAACGACTGGTCAGCGGTCAAAAGGGATAGCCGCTAACGTTAAAGCTAGAACGCGTCGGACACTAATGGTTAAAATAAAAATTAGGGTTATTCAAGTGTTGTGCTGGGGAGACGATTAACCCAGAATAAGTACAATATCTGTTGATTTAACAACAATATATTGGCTAATAGAACATTTGCTAGAATGAGATTGTATAGAGAAGAGAGTTGTCGAACCTGGCTTACTGTAAACATGTGTGAAGAATTAAGTATTTCGATGCAGCAGATGATGTGTTTAAATGTATTTCATATTTGTGGAGATAATTAGTTCAACCACCATTGATTTCCTAAATAACCACAAACTAAAATAGAAGTAAGCCAAAGTAGGCAAAATCTAAGTAAAATAAGTAGATGTGTGTTTTTATGACTTTGTATGTGGGGATCAAGGTTTTTAAATGATGTGCAACAACAATTAAGATAGTATAACATTAAGATAAATATATATACATATATGTATTTTTTGTATCTACAGTAATCCAATAATCAAACGTTGTCTCCGTTTAAAGAAACATCCCTAATTTACAGACTGCTTTTCCAATGAAACATTCAGATGCCTTGAAAACCTGTGAAATGTCATGGACCAGCTGTAAACTAGGTATGTGTTTAAAGTAATATTAACATTGATTTATTCTATAAACTACTAACATCTCTCTGTTGCAATTCAACAGACACAGGAAAGGAAAAGCTACAGTACATGTAGGGATTGAGATTTAAGAAAAATGTTGAGTGGTCTCTTCATTTTTTCCAGATCTGTATTTTGAACGTGGGGCTGCAGATGCAACACAATTGAAAATGGGACTATTTAAAACAGATAGGCAAACAGCACAGGTATTCCAAGACACACACTTAAGTAAATGCACACCACAAGACTCTGGAGTATTTTGTTGATGTGTTTGAGATATCCAAGTATACTTGCTTTATTCTCTAAATTGAGGTCTAGAAAAAAAAAATATAAGCATTTAGGACCTTTTTATTTATTAATCTTTTAATCAAACCTAATTCCTGTTTTAAGAAAGTACAGATTCCCTTTCAAATGATTTTGTGGACTAACTTTAAATTACACCTTAACAGCATCTCCAACCCGTCTAATCAAGTAAAAACAACAATTAATTTCTGTTTAATTAATTAAACACCTCATGTTTAACACATCATCTTTAAGACTTTGTAATGTATGGAGTGCATTATTTAGTTTTAATGTGTGGCTGTTGAAATAACACAATTAAAAAAGGGGATTATTTAAAATAAATATGCAGAAACAGGTTTTCCAAGACAACCAATGGTTTGTGTGTTTGAGATATCAAATATGGACTATACAGAATCATATATATGCATTTAAGACTTTGTTAATGTTTTTTCTTACTTAATTAATCTGTTAATCAAACCTCATTTGCGTTTACAGAAACAGTCCTGAGTAACGGTTCCCTTTCAAATGACTCATTCAGATGTCTTGAAAACCCGCGAGATTTCGTGGGCTAACTTTAAATTAGACCTAAAGGCATCCAAAACTCTTCTAATCAAGTTAAATAACCTTTGTAATGTAACCTCATGTGCTATAATCACGGTGGGGGAGTCATGCATTGGGGGGTTGGGGGTGTGGTGACTTTTTGTAGTTTCTCCGCCTTCTTCTGACTTCAGCCAGCAGGGTTAATTTACTGCTAACACTCAAATACCTCCGTTATTCCTCCAATAGCGACATTTTATCCTCTAATACTGCACGTTTTATCGGTGTAAATAGGTAGACATGTACGTGATTCAATGCAAATGTGATATAACCAGACTACAGCCTCGACATGCCTATTCTGCGCGGCAACAAGATCAAATCCCGAGGCCAAACGCCACCTTCCCCGGTCGGTTTTTCCCCCCTTTTGGTGGGGGGTGTTAGCGGTTTTAGAGCCTCCCCTGGATGAATGGGTAGCCATATTCTCATTCTCAGCCAAGAGAGGGGAAATATATGCATAAGTGGAGCCTTTAAACTGGTTAAATCACACCATGGCCTACATAAGCAGGGAAACAATGCACACATGATGGGCTGGTTTTTAAAAAGCCTGATAGACACGACACACAGCATGGCCACAGCGATGGGATCCATGTTAGAAAGAGGGTGCACACACACACACAAGAAGGGAAGCAACACACACGCACATTCCCATAATTTTTTCATGAAATAAACACTATTCCCAGCTTCATAAAAGACACACAGCGCCGTGTGGAGACGTGCATGTTTTCTGCACAGCATTACCACAGCACAGGACGGAATTGGCACACCTTACCTCACTGGTCTTGACATTTTGCAGGAATACTGTAGAGGTTAAAGGATGTAAGAAAAAAGGGGGAAGAAGCACACAGGGGGAGAAGGGAAAAAAAGAAATATAGATTCCCGCTCTGCAAAAAAAAAACCCCGAGGTTGGAGCACAACTCCACCGTGCGAGCGAGCGCGTAAAAATAAAAGTACTGCACCGATGTGTCCTCCAAACGCTAATATTCTTATTTTTTGTGTGCCTTCAGCTACTCAAAATGGTGAATAAAACAAACTGAAACTGCAGCCTATGTGCAACCAAACCCTCGGCCTCGAAGGGGAGGGTCTTCGAAGACAAGCCAAGCCCCCTTCTGGTCTCTGAGAGGAGCAGCGCGGCATTCCGCTCCTCTGATTGGCTGGTTTGAACGACGAGGTTCTTCCCTATTGGTTGATCGAGCTGCACGTTAGAACTCCTTTAGCATTCGGTTCCCCGCCTCCCTTAGCAAGCTCGGTTGCGTTAGCACTCTTAAGAAAACAAAAAGAGGCCCTCAGGTTGGATGCAAACAGTGAATTCAGTGGGTCACTAAATACCGTAAAGCAACATTGCAAGTGTGGGTTACAACGTGCACAAACATAATGTATATATCATGTAATATAAGATATTTTAAGGGTATGATTGATAGTTTTCTTGCTCATACTGAGGCTAGCCTCCCTAGACTGCTGCAGCAGGAGGTGAGCTACACAACAGTGGCAATAGCATTACAGGTATACTGTTTATTCCTCTGTTACATTTGACAACATCAGGCCTGTTATTCATCTTTTAAAAGGGTGCAGACACAAGAAGGGAAGCACACATGTAAATAAGATCCTACTTTTACATTTGGTTAGCCCTTCATTTCAGATAATCTACAGATGTGGATCTTTCAGTCAGTTTGTAGCCTATACTTGACTTTTGAGTTCAGTTTTATTTTCTATTCTAGATGTGTATGTGTTATATTTCTATTTTTGTTGTGCTATTTCTATTTTCAAATGATGTGCAATTCCTTGTTTTAAAATGCTGCTGTTACTGTAACAACAAAAACATCCCAATTTGTGATCAATAAAGTATATCTTATGGTCTTTATGCCTTTTATTTTTGTAAAGCACTTTGAATTTGCCTTGTGTTGAAAGGTGCTGTATAAATAAACTTGCCTTATCTTATTTTGTACTTAGGAACATTTCCATTATTGTTCATGAAATAAACATGTGTTTTTATTTGTATTTGATTCATGTGTGCTTGCCTTTTTAAATAATATGTTAGCCTACTCTTTCTACTTTAATCTGCACTGCAGATTTGCTGCTGTTATGCCATGAAACTCCCCGATGTCAGATGGATAAAGGATTCCTGAATTTCAGGATGCAAAAGTCCCTCAAATCATTACATCAATTGCTTATACCACTTTCAGATCTATGAACTCACCCATTAAAATCCAGATCAACTGCATGTGTCAACATCTATTCAGTATAAACTGTGTTCCTGGCCTGCATGGGTTAATGCAGGGAACGGAGAACTAAAGGCTAAACTGGAGTTTGTGTAATAACTAGAATTGACATTTTATGGAAGATTTTTCTTGAAATCAGAAAGCTTTTAAAATTGGATGTTTAAATTCCATTGTTAAGATAATCGTTTAATATTAGGACAATCATATATAGCCTTACATTAGTAGAGCATGAGAAGTGGATTTAAAAATACAGGAATAGTAACTATGACTCACATATTGTTGCCATATATTTATTATCAGAGGTGGGAGGAGTTCTCAGATCTGCAGCTAGTTGTAATGGCTTTGTAGACTGCAGGGTAGCTTGTGGATTTACTCCAGGTGGAACTAAAGTCTGATTTAACACTTGATTATATTTCACATCATTCATCCACATCTGTGAAGTAACTAAAGGTGGAGTAAAAGTACACAATTTACCTCTGAATTGTAGTGGGGTAGAAGTACTTGAGACAATCTAGTTACTTTAGACCTCTGTTTATTAATCCCTTATTTATTTGGTGATTTTCAAATGAGATTTTCACTTAAATAAGAGTGAAATAACTGAAGACATGTCCTGTCTTTGATAAAGCTGGTTGTTTATGTCTCGAAGATTCAAGGCTGTCAGAAAAACAGCATCAATAAAGAATGAGGGTATGACTGCACACTTACTCAAGGCTATAAAGGTATACAAGTAGGAGCAAAACACGTTTCTGGCTTTGAGTAAATGTGCATGTGTTATTTTCTGATTTGGATAATCATGGCATGACAACATTTCACATCTGAAAGACAATACATTACAGATGCATTTCAGTGCATACATGACCTTACACTGGTAGATGTGTTTACATTTTTGTTTGGAGTATCAAAACTATTTAAATATTCGTCACAAATGATACATTTACTGTACTTATAATTAATAACGCTTTATCAGGTCTTTTCCGACCTCAAAGCGCTTTACACACGACGTGTCATTCACCCATTCACACTTCATTCATGCAGAGCAGTAGCACTTTCTCTAGGGAAGCTAACATTCACACACACTCACACACCGATGCTGGAGGAAATTCCAACCCTATCCATCCAGACAGAATTATTACTGCGACAATGTATTATTTTTCTGTTACAGAAGGAGTCATTGCAGCACAGTACTAATTCAGTGAAGTCAATACGCTGCAGATGTGAGAGGATTAGACTTAATGGATGCACTTTTTCTTCCCAGACTTGGTGACACAGTCATGTTTTCCAAAATGCTAGCTGTTACATGGTGGCGGGAGTGTGTACACATTCATGGTGGTCCAAACATCAGCTCATCCTTTCACCCGCCTGATGATGAACATGCAGCACGTTTATACATTTCCTCCAAACTCAAATCCTCTTTAAGTAGGACACCAGAGTCAAAGCAGGAAATACGCCATGTTCATATGGATGCTATTTATTCACAAGTCTGAATGGACTGGTGAAGACCATGTTCAGGACCACAGAGGCCACATTATGCTTTTTGGGATTTTCCCTTCCCTTCCCTGTAGTGTTTTATTTGATATGGTCTTTGTGCATGTAAATGGTGTTCAAAGGCTAAATCCCTGTGTTTCCACCCCCCCCCGCCCTCCTGCCTGAAACGCCTCCATTGGACTTTTTTGTTTACTTCCTAAACATAGTTACATCCATATTTAACACTCCCGCTGCTATTGGCTAGCGCTCCAACACATTGTACGTGATAGGTTAAGGAGTTTGACATCCTCTTAGTAGTTGACCAATCCCAACGGAGCCGGCCAGCTAACCAATCAGAGCAGACTAGGCTCTGGTTTCAGACAGAGGGTGAAAAGAGGTGCTGCAGCACAGGCAGTGTGAGAACAATAAAGAGCTTTTTGAACATTAAAACATGAAGACATGTCACAGTAGAGACACTACATACTGATATACACCTGAACATCAACAGGAGAGGACTCTTTAAAGTAGAAACACTACATACTGATATACACCCAAACATCAGCAGGAGAGGACTCTTTAAAGTAGAGAAACTACATACTGATATACACCTGAACATCAGCAGGAGAGGACTCTTTAAAGTAGAGACACTACATACTGATATACACCTGAACATCAGCAGGAGAGGACTCTTTAAAGTAGAGACACTACATACTGATATACACCTGAACATCAACAGGAGAGGACTCTTTAAAGTAGAGACACTACATACTGATATACACCTGAACATCACCAGGAGAGGACTCTTTAAAGTAGAGGACACTACATACTGATATACACCTGAACATCAACAGGAGAGGACTCTTTAAAGTAGAGACACTACATACTGATATACACCTGAACATCAACAGGAGAGGACTCTTTAAAGTAGAAACACTACATACTGATATACACCCGAACATCAGCAGGAGAGGACTCTTTAAAGTAGAGAAACGACATACTGATATACACCTGAACATCAGCAGGAGAGGACTCTTTAAAGTAGAGACACTACATACTGATATACACCTGAACATCAGCAGGAGAGGACTCTGTAAAGTAGAAGACACTAACATACTGATATACCACCTGAACATCAACAGGAGAGGACTCTGTTAAAGTAGAGACACTACATACTGATATACACCTGAACATCAGCAGGAGAGGACTCTTTAAAGTAGAGACAACTACATACTGATATACACCTGAACATCAACAGGAGAGGGACTCTTTAAAGTAGAGACACTACATACTGAGTATACACCTGAACATCAGCAGGAGAGGACTCTTTAAAGTAGAGAAACTACATACTGATATACACCTGAACATCAGCAGGAGAGGACTCTTTAAAGTAGAGACAACTACATACTGATATACACCTGAACATCAGCAGGAGAGGACTCTTTAAAGTAGAGACACTACATACTGATATACACCTGAACATCAGCAAGGAGAGAGGACTCTTTCAAAGTAGAGACACTACATACTGATATACACCTGAACATCAGCAGGAGAGGACTCTTTAAAGTAGAGACACTACATGATTGATATACACCTGGAACATCAGCAGGAGAGGACTCTTTAAAGTAGAGGACACTACATACTGATATACGCCTGAACATCAGCAGGAGAGGACTCTTTAAAGTAGAGACACTACATACTGATATCACCTGAACAGCAGCAGGAGAGGACTCTTTAACGTACGACACTACATACTGATATACAACCTGAACATCAGCAGGAGAGGACTCTTTAAAGTAGAGACACTACATACTGATATACACCTGAACATCAGCAGGAGAGGACTCTTTAAAGTAGAGACACTACATACTGATATACACCTGAACATCAGCAGGAGAGGACTCTTTAAAGTAGAGACACTACATACTGATATACACCTGAACATCAGCAGGAAAGGACTCTTTAAAGTACAGACACTACATACTGATATACACCTGAACATCCGCAGGAGAGGACTCTTTAAAGTACAGACACTACATACTGATATACACCTGAACATCCGCAGGAGAGGACTCTTTAAAGTACAGACACTACATACTGATATACACCTGAACATCAGCAGGAGAGGACTCTTTAAAGTACAGACACTACATACTGATATACACCTGAACATCCGCAGGAGAGGACTCTTTAAGTACAGACACTACATACTGATATACACCTGAACATCAGCAGGAGAGGACTCTTTAAAGTACAGACACTACATACTGATATACACCTGAACATCAGCAGGAGAGGACTCTTTAAAGTACAGACACTACATACTGATATACACCTGAACATCCGCAGGAGAGGACTCTTTAAAGTACAGACATTACATA